ATAGCACCCGGCCAGCAGTTCATCTACAGTGGCTGCTCCACCGGCAAAGTGGTCGGTAAGGATTGTGTCAGAACGTGGGGGCCTCAGGAGGGGCAGGTAAGGTTTCTCTGGCTCCCCACCAGTGACCACCTTAAAAAAACCCAGTGACACCTACAAGTGAAATTTAATTTAGCCTGGGGCAAGAGAGGCTTAACCAGAGAAATAGAAAACATTCTACTCATCAACAGATTTAAAGAAAAAAAATTTTTTATTATTTATTATTATTATTATTATTATTATTATTATTATTATTATTATTATTATTATTATTACTGCTACTACTACTACTACTACTACTACTACTACTACTACTACTACTACTATTTTAAATGGAGATACTGGGACTTGAACCCAGGACCTCATGCATGCTAAGCATGTGCTCTACCACTGAGCTATACCCACCCCATCTCCGTCAACATTTTAAATTAAGAAAAGGAGCCTAGAATTCTAGTCAGTGAATATAATCAATTACCAAAAATATATTCAGCTCTGTTTTTTAGCCAGTTGAGGGAAGAGATTGCAGATGAAAGGTAGGTGGAAACAGAGACAAAAAGAATAACACACAAAGACACAGCATTTAGTACAGGGTGTTGTACAGCCACTGAAGCAGGGTGACTGCACGAAAAGAAACACAAACACAGCCACAGGTCAAAGGAGTCTAAGACAGTTCCACGCTCAGGGAGGCCTCAGATGGAGCCCATCCAGGGAGAGAGGAAGGTGCACCCACATGCAGATAAGGGACAGCAGGTTCACACGTCTGTGTAGACAGCCTTTTGTTCTCTTTTGTGGTGCCTTCCATAGCTCGTGGGCTTTTCAAAAATTGCTTCTAAAAACTAAAGCCACGTTGCATTTTCTTAACTATAGATCTTGTGAAATTTAGCTAAGGGCCAGAGACACCCAAGCTCTGCTAGACCATACCCTCAACCCGAGGTAGGGAAAAGAAACTGAGAAGTAACACCATCCTCGGGTGTGGGCTTTGCTTCCCTGGACAAGTGGGAAGTTGCCTGGGGGGCGGGTAACTGGTGCTGTGCAGGGAGAGGTGAGGGGTAGCTCACAGGTCTTCTGGCAGCCCCTCTCCACTCTGGCCTTTCCTGGACAGTGTACAACCTCCTGAGTGGCCACATCGTGAAGAAGCTGACCAACCACAAGGCCTGTGTGCGTGACGTCAGCTGGCACCCCTTTGAGGAGAAGATTGTTAGCAGTTCGGTGAGGATGCTGGGGTCGGGGGGACAGTGTGTGTCTGGGAGATGGACCTGGGAGGGGGCAGTGCCCCTGACTACTTGCCCCCTTCTTCCCTGCAGTGGGATGGCCACCTGCGTCTGTGGCAGTACCGCCAGGCTGAGTACTTCCAGGATGACATGCCAGAGTCTGAGGAACACCCTAGCACCCCTGCCTCAGTGCCCCACCCCTCTGCAGCCTTTTCCTCGCCCCAGTAGATCTGACCTCCAGCCCCATTCATGGGTGAGCCTCTTGACAAGCTCTCCGCCTCCTCCTCCCTTTCTCCCTTCTGGGGGATCTTTGGGGAGTCACTGGCAGTGGATGGGGAGAAACAGAAGCCCAGGCTTCAGGAGCCCTGGGAGATCCTCCCCTGGGGGCAGAGTGGTCTCCTCACGTGTTGACACCCAGCTTGGGTTTGGGTGGCTATCTCTGGCCTGAGTCTGGCAGGACTGCCATTATCTGGGGTGTGGCCTTTGTCAGCAGGAGAGCTGCCCTGAGTGTTTTTAATCATGTTTGGGTGTCAAGTGTAAGCTCCTAGAGTAGATGCCTGGGGCCGGGTCTGAAGTGAGCCGGCCGGCCCAAAGCCAGGCCTTCACGTTGAGGATTAGACCTGCCAATCAGAGGGCCAGGTGTTCTGGTCTTTAGGTCCTAATGGCTAGAGCTCTAGCCCCTCAGGGGAGGGTGGGATGGGTAAGGTGTGTCCTCAGCACCCTCCTGGGGTGGGAATTACGTCTTCTCTCTCTTGCATCTGGGTCTTTGGGGTAGGACAAGCTGTGGTGTGAGAGGCTCCATGTGGCCCCACACAGCACAGCCCATCCGTCCCAGAGTGTTCCATCCCATCAAAGCCAGCAGCTTCAAGGAGGGATGGTGAGGTAGGACTGCTTCGTCCTCTCACTGGCTTTGGCTCCCTCAATAAACTCTCTGTGGGAACCTGGTTCAGTGTCTGCCTATCTCTCTCTTTTTCCTGTCTGAAGTCTTTTATCCTGTCACTTCAAGAAAATAGTTTCAACAGAGCCTTCAGATATGCTCCTGTATGGGAGAAAATACAGCTTTGATGCCCCAAGATGAAGGGAAATACCAACATCATTTGTTAACTGAGCTTAGCAACAGGCAGTTAGTCCCTCACCAACCTCAGAAACTTGCCAGCAAGTAGAACTCAAGATAGCAGGAAATAAGCACGTTTTAGATTAGATCCTGGAACACCCGCCTCAGCTCTGCCCTGGAGCAGGTCCAGTCTACCCTGAGAAGTAGCCCAGAGCCAAAGAGAACCAAGTGGGCACTGATGCAGGCCCTGTCCAGGCATTCCACAGCTAGGAGCTCATCCACCCTCACAGCCACCCTTTTTTTTTTTTTTAATAGGTAGGGACATGGAGATGTGCAGAGGTCAGGCACTATGGAGCAGACCCATGGTGTGGGCAGTAGGGGAGCTTGAGTTCACATGCTGCTCAATTCCCCATTATCTCTAAGGCAGTTTTCAAACCAGGATACACACCTCCAGGGGGTTTTAAAGACACTGCATAGGGTTAAAAGATGTACCCATTTTAACAGTGAAACAGGTCATTTTAAAAGAATAGTCCAGATGCCCAGCCTCCATGTGCTCTCTTTCCTTCAGCTGATCTACCTGTGTGACACTGTCAGGCCAGATCTCCTTCCCCACCAGCCCTTTTCTTCACCCTAGAGATGCCACCCATCTTACCCAGAACTGTATTACCTCCAGGGTGCCAAAGGTAAAGGCAAATTAAAATTATTAGTGTCCTCAAAGCCTCATTTAATTAAGGCCCCAAGGACCAACTGTTCTTCTCATTAAGAGATGTATTTCCAATACAATTTTAGTTTATTATTAATTATCAAACTGTGTGAAATGTTTGTTGTACTAATTATACATTTTGTACTATTAACAATTTTAAAATTTGTACTACTAACAATATATGAAAATTCAATCTGGAAGAGAAAAAATTTCACTTTTAGGGCTTTATGATCACAGGAAATGTGTAAAAATTGTTTCAGATTTGTATATTTTTTGCAGAGAAGTATAATCAATAAAAGACTTTCAGGCATAAAAACATTAGAATAAATTCTCTGGGAAAGTAGGATGGAAACATAATTTCTGACTATTAAGATCTTGTCACGTGTTTTTTAAATAGATGATGGTGAAGTATAGAATCACTTGTGTTTAGATTCTATGGATATATTTAAAAGAGTGATATAAATAGCTTTATTTTGGAAATGTCAGTATATACAATACACTGGAAATTATGTCCTTTGCAGCTATTTAAATTACAATGAAAAATTTTGTGTCCACTTGAAAATGTGTGAGGGCTTCTATAGATCTCGTATAGGGTCCATGTCAAGGTATGGGCTGTAGGACCTGGAAGGAGCCTGATGGGTTCATCCCTCGGTTTGCAGATGAGGGCACTGAGGACCAGGGAGGGTTAATTGATTTTCCCAAAGCCACAGAGTTGGGCCCAGAACCCAAGTGTCCTTTTTTTGCTCATTCCTTTCACTACTTCTTGGGCCTCCACTGTGCTCTGAAATCCCCCCACCAGTTTTGAGGAATGAGGGAGGAAGACAAAAAGGGATCTCAAAGCAATTACTGAGTAACAGGGACTTCTCTTGGATAGGTTGCTCGCCACCCTATGGCTCCAGCCCCAGCGGTCAGGCTGGGAGGCCAAGTCTTACATGCAGCTAAGGCCTAGGGAAACTGGGGACACAACCTAAGGTTTCGATGGACTCCAGGCTGGGGGTTTTCCTTCTGGAGTCTCCTCCGCTTCCTGTCACCTGGGTGTAAACCTGATCTTTGGGGCATTGAGAGTCCAACCTGGGTTGGGTGGGGGTGACTTTGGCTTACCAGAGACAGGCAAACCCAAGCAGGCTGTGGACAAAAACAATCCTGAACAGCAGGCGTGGCCCTGAAACATGAACTAGAACATGGTCTGAGCTGGGGACAGAGACCTAGAGGGTCAAGAGGACACAGGACTAATAAGGGAGGACACAGGCTGCTGTCAGGACACATACCCGAGGCAAGAACCCTGTTGACGTGGCAGTCCTCTGCCCTGGCCCCTTACTGCCCCCCGCCCCTCTCCCTCGCCTGCCAGCTGCCAACAGGGCTCTGCCCTGTGTCTGCCACACCTGTCACTGCCTGTCCTTGTCTGGTGGGGGGGGGCCATCAGCCCCTCCTCAGCTGCCCAGCAGAACAAGCCGTTAGTGGGGAGGGGAGGGAACATGGAGAGGGGGCCGGTGGTGGGGGCAGGGCCCAGGGCCGGGGCCCGGATCCGGGCACTGCTGGGCTGCTTGGTTAAGGTGCTGCTCTGGGTGGCCTCTGCCTTGCTGTACTTTGGAAGTGAACAGGCCGCCCGCCTCCTGGGCAGCCCCTGCTTACGGCGCCTCTACCACGCCTGGTTGGCAGCAGTGGTCATCTTCGGGCCCCTTCTGCAGTTCCATGTCAATCCTCGGACCATCTTCGCCAGCCACGGCAACTTCTTCAACATGTGAGTCCATTCGAGGCTGTGGGCGCCTAGCGGCTCCCTGGGCTGTAGGATCCCAGCTCCCTCTTCCAGGTTTCTGTCCTCCTGCCAGTCCAGGACACTAAAAATACGCTAGGAGGTTGAGGAGAAGGTCAGAGGGGGGAGGGGAACAGAGTCATGGGGGTACAGGAGCAGGGCCAAAGAGAAAATATGGACCCTAGAAGGCTGAATGAGCCTCTAAGGAGATGGCCAAGTTAAAGTGGATGGGGGCTGGGTGGGTCGAGGGCACAGGAAACAGAGAACCAGTGCTGCTATTTGGGACCAGAGGCAAGTCCAGATGGGAACACAGAGCAGGGTGGGGAGATGGGGCTCAGAGGGTCTCAGAAGCCTTCCCTCTTCTCTGCCTACAGAAAGTTTGTAAATTCGGCGTGGGGCTGGACATGCACCTTCCTGGGGGGCTTCGTCTTGCTGGTGGTGTTCCTGGCTACACGGCGTGTGGCAGTGACTGCCCGGCACCTGAGCCGGCTGGTGGTGGGGGCAGCTGTGTGGCGGGGGGCCGGCCGGGCCTTCTTGCTCATCGAGGACCTGACCGGCTCCTGCTTTGAGCCTCTGCCCCAGGGCCTGCTGCTCCACGAGCTGCCTGACCGCCGCAGCTGCCTGGCAGCCGGCCACCAGTGGCGGGGCTATACCGTCTCCTCCCACACCTTCCTGCTCACCTTCTGCTGCCTCCTCATGGCTGAGGAGGCGGCAGTGTTCGCCAAGTACCTGGCCCACGGGCTGCCGGCCGGTGCGCCCCTGCGCCTCGTCTTCCTGCTCAACGTGCTGCTGCTGGGCCTCTGGAACTTCTTGCTGCTCTGTACCGTCATCTATTTCCACCAGTACACTCACAAGGTGGTGGGCGCCGCCGTGGGCACCTTTGCCTGGTACCTTACCTACGGCAGCTGGTATCATCAGCCCTGGTCTCCAGGGAGCCCGGGCCATGGGCTCTTCCCTCGCCCCCACTCCAGCCACAAGCATAACTGAAAGAAATAAAGGCACATCAGGCCTGGCTCTAGCTCCGCTCATCATTTGGTTGGTGGACCTGCAAAGGGTGGGAAGGATGAAAAGAGAGTCTGGTTGTCACCAGGATTCCTCAGCCATTCCTTGCTGTCACTGACCTTGAGTGTCCTTGTACTTGGTCGCTTTCCCTCCAGCTACCCTTTCAGTCTCCTAGTCCTTGCAGACTTCAAGCTATCTGGGGTTCTGATGTCAAGGACCAGCACCGCTAGGGCAGGTAACAGTGCCCTTAGGTATGGGCGGCATTCCTGCTGAGTAGATGCTCCATCTCCAGCCTGATTGATCTGGTTTTCCTGCCTCCACCACTGAATCTCTCCTCTGCCATCCTTAGAGGCACCCTACTTAGGGACCCTTCCTACCCTGTCTTCCTGTAGGGGGCTCTATGTGTGCTCTTTAACTGATGTTCATTGAGCCAAGCATAGTTCCATGCCATGTGGTAAGACAGTTTCTGCCATTTGGGACTCATGGGCTACTAGGGGAGGGAGACGATAAACTCACAAAAATAGCAAACACTTATATTGTGCTTATTCTGTGCCTGGCACCATTCTAAGTGTCTCTAAGTTCTTTATATAAATTCACATTATTTAGCCCTCACAACAACAACACTGTGAGGTAGCTTTGGTAGTGTTCCCATCGTACAATTGTGAAAACAGAGGTACACAGGTTAAGTAACTTTTTCACAGCTAGTAAATATCAGAGCCAGAATTAACCCAGGCAGTATGGGTCCATGGTCTGTGCTCTAAATCAGGGATCAGCAAACGACAGCCCTCATGTGGCCAGTGTTTGTATGGCCTGAGAGCTAAGAAATGGTTTCACATTTTTTAATGGTTGAAAAAAAATCAAAGAGTATATTTTTAAAATTTTTTACTGAAGTGTTGATTTACAAAGTTAGTTTCAGGTATACAGCAAAGTGATTCAGTTACACATATATATACATACATATTTTTTCTTTTCAGATTATTTTCCATTATATGTTATTACAAGAAATTGAATATAGTTCCCTGTGCTATACAGTAGGTCCCTGTTGTGAAGAATATTTCATGACATGAAATTCAAGTGCCAGTGTCCATAAAGTTTTATAGGAACCAGCCATACTAATTCATTTAGGTATAGCTGTTAACCTGCTGCAATGGTAGAGTTGAGTAGTTGCTATAGGCACTGTATAGCCCACAAAGCATAAAATATTTACTATCTGATCTTTTACAGAAAAGACCCTGATCTAAACCAACCCCTGATCTAAACCAACCCCTGATCTAAACCACGCTATCCTCAAAAAATAAACTGGCTAATATCAGAGAGAGAGCTGTGAAGGTACTAAAACAGACTGCTTTCTAACAGACTTGGAGGGAGTTACTTTATAAGGAAGATAGAGTTCTCCCTGAAGAAGTGACATTTAAGCTGAGAACAGAATGACGTTCTGAGGCAGCAGAAGGGTGTGTCAGGCAAAGGGATTAGTGAGAGCAAAAGTCCTGAAGCACGAATAACGTGACACTGACAGGTTTGAGTACAAATGGAAAGCCCAGGTATATGTAAGTAAAATGAAAGCAGTGGAAAGTGAACTGCAAGGGGAACAGGAGCCAGGCAGGCCTTTTGGGTCAGGAAAGTCCTCTGGATTTCGTTCTAAGGTCAACAGGAAGCTGAGAAAGTTTTGAGCAAGAGAAAGGTGGAATCCCACTGCTGTGTGGAGAGTGGATTACAAAAGAATGGAATCCTCAAGGGTCAGAAGAGAGCTGCCTAGGGCCCGTGATGGGGTGGTGCTGGAGTCTGAGTGTCACTACATGGGCCCGTGGACCCAGGGGTCCACGCTGGCAGGGCAAAGGGAGGCCAGGTCTGGCTACACCACCGAGAAAAGAAGGAAGAGAACCAGATAAAGCTTGTCACTGTCCCACGCCGAACAGGTAAAGATAAGAGCCAGAGGGCAGTCAGGGGGATGGAGAGATGGGAGGCGAGGAGCCCTGAGGCAGGCACTGGCGGGGGCGGGAGTGACAGCTTGGCGGGGGAGAGCAAGAAGTCTAGTGCGGGGAAACCTGGAAAGGAAAGAAGGCGGGGTAGGCGGGGCGTCGAGAGCAGAGCGGGGAAGGGGTGGCGGGGTGGGCGGGGTCGGCAGGCGGGGAGTGGAGAGACTGGCAGAGGTGGCGAGGTGGGGAGGGGGAGGCGGGGCGATGGAAACGCGCCTCTCGGGCTCTAGAGGGAGCCCCGGCTGGGCCGCCTCCTCGCGCCCCTCCGCCCCTCCGCCCCTCACCTCTCCCCGGTCTGTCCCCGCCTCCTCCAGTGCCTCCACTCCCACTACCCAGGAAGGCTGTGCAGGGCGCGAGCGCTACTTTCGCTTTCTCTTCCCGGTGCCCACTCCTCGCTCCGCGTGCGGCGCTAGGCCCCCGCCCCGGCCATGGCCACGCTCAGGGTCCAGCCTGAAGCCCAAGCCAAGGTGAGCGCCGCGGGTTCGAGGAAGGGCTTATCAGGGAGGCGTGGCTGGGAAAGGCTGAAGGCGTCCTAGACCCGCCCCCCCCAGCCCCCGGACCCGAGTCGGGGTCAGTCGTCGGAGTTCCTCGTGAGCCCCTGTGCCCAGAGCACCTGAGCCCGGGGAGCCCAGCCAGGTCTGCCTGCGGGGAGAGAGAGGCGAGGCGGCCGAGGTTCAGCGGGGTGAGGTGAAGCGGAGCGCTGGCGTGGAGGGGAAGTCCGCTGGCCCGGCGCCGGGCCCACACACAGACGGGGAGACTCCCGGCCCTGCCACCATGGGGGGGCCCGCCGCTCCACAGGGCACTCCGACCCTGCCCCAGTCGCTGCGTCTCTCTTACATCCCTCCTCACAGTCCAGGAGACCCGAGGGATCTGTTCCCACTTGAACCCCTCGCCCTTCACCACCACGAATATTCTCGTTCCCCAAATCCTGCCCCACGGGGTCCACTCCAACCTTCCCCAGGTCAGGCCCTCCACAACCCAAAGGGTCCTCGAATGAACTGGCCATAAAGCCAGGTGTCTGAAGGGCTGCCTGTGTCCCGCAGGTGGATGTGTTCCGGGAAGACCTGTGTACTAAGGTAAGACCTGCCCGGTCACCACTCCATCTCTACCCTGTCCCACTGTTCAGCCCTTCCTTGCTGGGCAGTGGCAAGCCCTGGGTCGCTGCCTTGGAAAAAGACACTTGATTCTGACCCCCATCCTCCTCCCACCCCTACTTCACAACAGACAGAGAACCTGCTTGGGAACTATTTTCCCAAGAAGATTTCTGAGTTGGATGCATTTTTAAAGGTACTGGGACTGGGCAGGGAATAGAGAGTAGGGGGCAAGGGTAGAGTCTGGGGAGCCATGAGAGTGAGGAGGTGAGATTTCGCCCCTGCCTCCAGCCCTTCTCCCACCCTGCACCAGGAGCCAGCTCTCAATGAATTCAACCTGAGCAATCTGAAGGCCCCTCTGGACATCCCAGTGCCCGATCCAGTCAAGGAGAAAGAGAAGGAGGAGCGGAAGAAACAGCAGGAGGCAAGTCAGGAAGAAGTGGGAGGAGGGACCCAACCCTGGGGAAAATCAGCCTTAGGGCTGACTCCCAAGAGCACCCCTCTCCCTGCAGAAGGAAGACAAGGATGAAAAGAAGAAAGGGGAAGATGAAGACAAAGGTATGACTATGGTGGAAGGGACTTGAGTCTCACCTCCCAGAATCTCCTAAGGATGCCTCTTCCCTGCCCCTCACAGTCCCCACCATGTGACTGACCCAGTGCCCACTTCCTAGGTCCACCCTGTGGCCCAGTGAACTGCAATGAGAAGATCGTGGTCCTCCTGCAGCGGCTGAAGCCTGAGATTAAGGATGTCATTGAGCAGCTCAACCTGGTGAGCCCTCCTACTTCCATCCCCAGGCTTCAGACCGAACCCTCTGTCCTCCTTCACCCCTGCCAGTTAGGGCATGGCACCTGCCAGGTCTTAGCAGGAGAGGGCACAGCAAGCGAAGCCAGAATTCCAGGCCCTGGGGTGCAGGATGGAGCTGGCATACACCCACTGTGGGCAGGGAAACAAAGGAGGACAGGAATCTGGGAATTGGGTTAGGGGCTGATGGGGCTTTGCTGCCATTCCCTCCTACCAGGTCACCACCTGGTTGCAGCTGCAGATACCTCGGATTGAGGATGGGAATAATTTTGGAGTGGCTGTCCAGGTGAGTGGCTGCCCAACTCTTCTCCCTGCCTTACCTCTCCAGTCCATGCTGCTTTCCACTTCCCGTCTTGCTTTCTTTCCCTAGGAGAAGGTGTTTGAGCTGATGACCAGCCTTCACACCAAGCTTGAAGGCTTCCACACTCAGATCTCCAAGTGAGTGACTGCAGTGACTGCCCACCTGCACCAGCATGCACACTCTGCCTTTGACTGGTATAGGGGCCTAGGCTCCCTCCTCCTCCCACTCCACACCCTTCTACTTCCCACAGGTATTTCTCTGAGCGGGGTGATGCCGTGGCCAAAGCAGCTAAGCAGCCTCATGTGGTAGGTGAGGCCCAGGTCAGGGTGTGTGGGAGGAGGGACACATTTGGTCAGGCCTGACCCGCGTCTCCCGCAGGGTGATTATCGGCAGCTGGTACATGAGTTGGATGAGGCAGAGTACCGGGACATCCGGCTGATGGTCATGGAGATCCGCAATGCTTATGTGAGGAGGCGAGGGCAGGGGTGGGCAGAAGCAGCTTTCCCAGGCCACCTACTCCCTGACCCTGCAGGCTGGGGGTGAAGGGTAACAAAGCTCAACCTCTCCACAAGGCTAGAAATGGGGCACAGTGCCACTGGGGGCCTGCAGCTGACCCTCACTCCTCCCTGGCCCCATAGGCTGTGTTATATGACATCATCCTGAAGAACTTTGAGAAGCTCAAGAAGCCCAGGGGAGAAACAAAGGGGATGATCTATTGAAAGCCTCCTCATTCTGTGATGGGTCCAGCAGAGACCTTCCAGACTTTCACAGGGGACTCCAGACTTGCCCCACCTTCTGCCTGTTGAGGTTTCTCCCTCACCTTGTCTCCCGGGCACAATAAATATAGTCATACCACTGCCCAACAACCCAAGTCTCTTTATTGGATCCTGAGCCTCCCCGCTGGCCCTGGCTCAGGTATTTTCATTGGTGGGACCAACCCACTGGGTGATTTGGGCATTGAGCTGCTGGTTGGTCCAGTCTTCCCGGATGTCATCAAGGTGGCAGTCAAAGTCCACAAGGTGCTGGTGGGCCCGGCCCTCCAGTAATGCTCCTACCATCTGCCGTGACTCTTCCCAGTCCCTCCACATCACTCTGAAATAATAACCCCCATGGAGGTCAAACCCAACAGGCAGTGGGGCCAGACAATTGGCAGAGGTTAGGGTCCAGAGAAGGACCCTTGGGGCAGAACCAAGGACAGAGGAGGCCCAGGAGCTGTGGGCTTCCAAGAAGAGGTAGAGGGAGTGGGGCACTCACAAGTTCTTGTCCTTGGGGACCCAGCGGAGACCATGGTTCTCTAGGACGATAACTGGGGGCACGTGAGGCTGGGGCACCAGTTTCTGATTATCCAACTGTGTGGACAGGGAAGGGCAGTTGAGAGTTTCAGGGATGCCCCTTCCTACTTCCTTTCCAACTCCCCACTCTGAAACCCAAGCCTCACCATAATAAGTACTGCATCAGGGAAGAATTCTGCAATCCGCCCAGCGATTTTCAAGGCCAAGGGCCCAGGGCTGTGTAGAGGGAAGATCAGAGGAGTGAGGAGCCTACTGTGAGCAGACCACATCCATCTGAGCTGGGCATCCCAGATCCCATAGACATGGACCCAGCGATGGCCTTTCTGTGTAGCTGGCCTAGGTGCATCAGGCCTGCTTGATGTTTTGTGCATGGCTGCTTGATGCTTGAGTGCTGTGGGAAACAGGTGCTCAGACAAAGCTGGTGAGAGTGAAAATCTAAGATGGTCTTTTTAGAGAGTAATTTGGCATAACCACTCAGATTTATACTGTATACTATATGTATGCTTATCTAGAATTTCTACTTACAAAGAATTTATTGTAATAATAGAACAGTGTATGTAATCACCAAAAAAATTGGAAACAACCTCAATGTTTAATGTAAGGCATTAAATAAATTAAGGTACATCCATATTCATACTATATAAGTATTAGGGTAAGGTAGATATTGGTGTAGAGATGGAAAGATGTCAGATATTTATTAAGGAGGGAAAAGCAAATTACAGAACAGTATGATTTGATCCAGATACATGATTACTATATAAGTAGATAACTTTTTCTATATACAGTTGACCCTTGAACAACAAAGAGGTTAGGGCACAGACCCTCCAGCAGTTGAAAATCCACAGATAACTTTACAGTTGGGCCCTCCCTATTCTGGATTCCACACAGAGATTCAACCGCTGCGGATCCCACTCTGGAAAAAAAATTCTGCTTATTAGTGGCCCCCCACAGTTCAAACCCTTGTCGTTCAATGGTCAACTGTATATGTAAAAAGAAACTCCCTTTTTTGATAAGTTGCTGGTTGGACTTCGTCTGTGTTCTTTCAGCACTTGGGGGACAACTCATTTAAAGCAAGTGTCAGCCTGTCCTTATTGAAACACATTTGTCCTTCCCACTACCATGGCAGCTCCTCCAGGAAAGTATGTTTCTTTGTATTTCCTCACTGCAGTACCCATCCTAGTGCCTGGTGTGCAGTGCCTACTCCTAAGCTTTCGATGAAGGAAAGATGGAAGGAATGACCAAAAGGGGTTCTCTTGACCCCACCCCACCCCCAATAACCCTTAGCCTTCTGCCTCTGGCTACCCCACTCACCTCTGATCGTCCAAAGCTGCATTGGCATGGTAGTACCCAGCCACTACCAGCCCGGCCTGGGAGCCCCACACATCCACCTGCCATGGGAAAGGGGCCATCAGTAACCCGCCCTGTGGGTGCGCACTATTGCCAAGAGGCCAGGGATGGGCTTGGGCTAGGGGTATTAGGGGGGTTCGCGATGGTCAATGGGCGTCCAGAGGCGGCACCTGGTTGAGAGCGACCTCCAGCATGACAGACAGGGCCAGGTGGCTGTGGAATAGGGGCACACAGTCGGTGAGGCACAGGCATTCTCCCGACCGCGGCGCCGGCGCCAGCAATAGCCCGTTGACAGCAGCGTGCGGGTACCGGGCGGCGTGCAGGCACATCTTCACGTAGGCCTGGGCAGAGATCTCCACCTCCCCCATGGCGAGCAGGGCCCCAGCTCGCATCCACGAAGCCCCCTCCAGAGCCCCAGAGCCCTCTTGGGCTCTTCCCTGTGCCCCCTCACTTAGGTTCGACGGTGACGCTGACTCGGCTCAAAGGTAGCCCGCTGGCTCCGGCAGACCTCAGCCCGGCGCCTGGCCCCCACTCGGTCCGGAATGCAGCCGGCCGGGATTGCACGCTGCAGCGCCGAACTCCGCCTCCCCTCCGCCCTCCAGCGGCGTCCGCAGAGCTGCGCCTGCCTGCGGGACACACAACCGAAGACTCCAAGTGGGACAGGCTTCCTCAGTCCCGCCCACGCAGTGCTCTTTGATAGGCTTAGAGGGTCTCGTTTTGTCCAATCACCAGCCGCATCCAGCTTGCCCCGCCTTTGTCTCCAGCGGACTGGAAAGAACCCTCAACTGTAAACTAAAGAAAGCTGCCCGCACGCTGATTGGCTACGATACCCCACTTCGGCTCTTCATTGCAGGATGGCTGCGCCTGTCACCTGTGCCGCCCGCCCGACTGAGCCAGCTGTGTGGAGCCCGTGCCCCGCGTCCCGCGTCTCCGAGTGGAGCTTCGAACGTGGGCGTGTAGCCTGGTTCCTGCTATAGAAGGAGTGGATTTGTACTCTAGAGCGGCTCTGCCGCTTACTAATGAGTCGTGTTACTTTGGCGACTACAGGTTATCTGGCCCTTGATTTCCTCCGTGTAATAGCTACAGAAATAAAGATGGCATTGGCTGAGGAACGGGGGTCAAGGTCAAAAAGAATTTTATAGACCCATCCTTCCCACAATGTTCTGTGGTATAATTTCCTTCACCGTAATGCCTTGAGAGCATTTTTTCCCCTCCCAGCCCTCGAGGAGTCCAACCATTCACCCATAATTCTCCCAATGAAACCTCATTCTCCTTTGAGGCATGCTCTGAGCTGATGGCAAAGGTTGTTCCTTTCTTCATCCCCTGACTTCAGCTGCAGACCTTTCCCCCTATCTATCCAAAGCCTGATTATTCCTTTAAGGGGTTGACCCAAATGCCACCTCTTAGAGGAAGCACTCATGAGAACTCCCAGATGGAAATAATCTTGTGAAATCCCCAAATGCAGGTATCTTCATGACTGTTATGGCATGTAACAGTTTCCACCCTGTTCTTTAGGATGACTTCTTAAGAACAGGATGGACCTGTTCATCCTTGTCTTCCTGGCACCCCTCCCCTTCCCCAACACCACATTCACATTTAGTGTCTGGACATAGGTGACACTAGTAAATGATCCCCCCACCCCGCCCCTGCCAATGGAGCACTGGAACCCAGAACCTCGTACACACCAAGCATGCACTCTACCACTGAGCTATATTCCCACCCCCTATAAATGCTTTCTGAATGAATGACATACACCAGAGGTAATCCACACAAAGTATATAGGTCATTTATTTCCCTTCTAACCCTGGGCTCAGTACATAGATGGCTTCTCTTCACCCTTTGGGTTGACAATTTTCTCTAGGTTGCTGCTGATAATATGGTAAAGCTCAGCCTGGAAGAAGGCCAAAGGGCAACAGTCAGGTTCTGGCCTTTCCCCTGCACTCCTCACCCACCTCCCTTAGGGGTTTATTCCAGACTCACATAGAAGGCCCTCAGGTCCAGCACCATGGCCCTGAGCTCCCCATAGGCTGCCTCATCTCGCTCGTGCACCAGGGCCCGGTAATCCATCTGGGATGTGGGAGGCAAAGCTGAGTCAGCCCCATGGGAGGTTGGGACATTAGTCTGGTTTCCTCATATAGGGAATAGGTAACTTGAGGAATCAGTTTTTCTCAGCACCAAGAAATGGGATCCCACAAGATCAGAGAAAGGGGTCAAGGTTTTTGAAGCCCAAATCAGTTTTCCTAGGCAATACTTTTGGCTTAATATTCTCCACATTGGGAAGGTCATAAACAAGATAAAGAGAACCTCTAACCCCCCTTCCTCACCCCACCCCCAGCCAGCCTTAGCTAGAAGGCTGGTGGACTATCTACTCACTACATGGGTCTCCTTAGAAGCCTTGGCCACAGCATCCCCACGTTCTGAGAAGTACCTGCAGGAGGCAAGGGGAGGAACCACAGGTATGGAGATTAGAGAGAGATACTCCCTCAGACCCTTCCCAAAGTGCCTCCATCATCCCAATGGGAGTGCCCAGCTTTGGGAATCCCAAAGAAATGTCACTGCAGACTCCTGTGCTGGCCCTCCAGCTGCCCTTACTTGGAAATGGTTGTCTGGAAGGCTTCCACTTTGGTCTTGACTGCATTTACCCTCTCCAGAACCTTTTCCTGTGGTGACGAGAGTAAACACTTCATCTCCTCCCTCTTTCACTCATGTCTCCCTCCCCCTACCCAGTTCATGTCTAGTTCCTCACTCCCCAAGTCTCTCCCTGCTCTCAATATCCTCACTCACCCTTTCTTACCTGGATTGCTACCCCAAAGTCATTTCCATCCTCAATTTTGGGGATCAGATGCTGGATCCATGTGATCACCTACATAAAGAGAGATCATGTAGGAACCATTCAATGAACTCTCTTGGTTCTTATTACGAGGCTTCCTAATAATAGCTACATTTCTCTGAGTACTGATTATGTGCCAAGCACTCTGCCATGTATTATATATCTCATTTAATCTTCACTGCAACCTTTCAAGGTATATATTATTACTATATCCACTTAACAGATGAAAAAAACTGAGTCACAGAATGTCTAAGTGACTCATGCAAGGTAACCAGTTAGGTTAAGTGTTAGAGTCAGGCTTTGAACCAAGGCAGTCTCCCTTTAGGGCCCAAGCCCTTAAACCAGCTCACTGCAGTGTGTACCCAGTACAGCAGTAGGTTCTAAGGTTATGGAGATGGATGCAGCACAGTCTGATTTGGGGAACACCACTGTGATACCAGAGGTCTAACAGAAAGAGGAGAACAAAAGGCATCTACCCCCAAGGCACTGAAGGAAGATTCCTATTTTGGGAACAGATTCCTGAATGAAGGACTTGCATCTCTGAAAGAGACCAGGGCCTGGCCTTGCTTGTCTTCTCTATTTCCCCCAATTCCCAGGCTTACCAGAATGCATTTTTCTTTGAGAGTCCAGACTTCTGGCTTAATCAGAGCAAGCAGGGCCAGGACCTTCTCATTCCCAGGAAGGAAGCCGCACTTAGGGACTGTGGGAAAGAAGGAATTTAGACCTCTTCTCATCCATCAGTTAATGTGCCATTTCCCTTTCCCCATCCACCCCTTCCTCTCTTACCTTCTTTCTTCTCCTGTTTATCCGTTTCCATCTAAGACAAAAAGGGGGAGAGTAGCTTTAGACGAGTCATGGAAGTTGAAAGACCATCATCAACACTAGGTTTAGAGTTGGAGCCCCACACCCTGGGTGCCTCACCTCATCATCCTTGGGTGGAGGGTCTGGGATGGGGATGTCCAGTGGGCCCCGGAGAGAAGTCAGGTCAGTCACATTGAGGGAGTCCTCCTGCACAGACCTCACTGTCAGAGGCTGCCTAGCATCTTCCCCTCATCCCAAGCTCACATTCCTCCATACAGCCCACCCGCCCTCTGCCTCCCAACCTAGGCTCAGGCCTCACACTATCCAGCTGTTCCCAGGCCACCATGCGAAACTGTTCTCGGCATTCTGGGCCCAGCTGTTAGCTAGAGAGGGTGGATGTAGAGGAGAGAAGCCGTGGGATGGGCCGGAGGGGTCCACACTACTCACCTGCAAGAGCTGATTCAGGTATATGATTTTCTGAGGCAAGAATCTGTAGAGGAATTCCTCAGCCTGTGGGTTACATTGCAAGGGTGGGAATCACAGAAGACCCTCGATGAGATGTCTGGGAAGTGGGACTGGAAGGGCCCTTGGAAATCATTGAATCCAACACTTACAAATGAGGAAACTGAAGCCCTGAAAAGTGAAGGGACTTGCCCAAGCTGGGGAGCGGCAGCACCAAGGTTTGATCTGCAGTATTACTGCTTTGAGGCCACAGCTTTTCCCTCCACACCAAAAGAGGGGAGAGGAAGTGGTGGAAGTGGGGAAAAGTATTAATCAAAGTAAAGGTAGAGATCAGTAATTAGTTTATCTTGGGTGGAGGTTTGGATAAGCGAAGAGCCCTGGTGGAAGGTGGGTTTGGGGGTCATTCTGAGAAGTTGCAACCCTCCAGTACTGATCTTAGATTCTGGGTCAAATCGCTAGAATCCAGAAGACTTACCTCCTGGAAAAGATTTTGCCTGAAGACATCCACCTGCACAGAGAACAGTACCCGGATGTTGGTTAAGGGTCTCAGTTGTCCAGAGTAAGATCCCACTCCCAGTGGGATGCCCTCCAACTTCGGTCAGGCCTTTCCTACCACAAGCCGGATTTCCCTGAAAGACCATGCTCAGTGCAGAGACTGGCCAGAGGGCAGGAATCTGAGAGTTCCCAGGCAGAAGTGAAAGCACTTAAAGAGATTGGGAGATTGGTCTGGCACGGCCTTGGTCCTCTGGAGTACACAGTTTGGCCTCCATTCCGGAGGGCTCCCCGGCCCCTTCCTGGCCTCCTGGTCCCCCATTACCTGTTTGCGGGCTTCCCCGCTCAGGCGCACCCCACAAGGTTTGGCCATGCTGCTCCAGTTGCTGCTAGATCGCCGGTCTTCCCGTTCGCCGCCTGGGCTTTCGCTTTCGCTCACCACGTCCAGGCCCGCCCCCCTCAACCCCGCCCTCTTCCTTCTTTTCCCCCTCCCCGTGACAGGCTGCAAACCGTTGGGAGCCCCTCAGCCATTCTCCGCCTGTGTGACTAAGAGAGGCGGTGCTGACTCGGTCACAAGCCCAGGGGCTGTCCGGGGGAGGGGCTACGATAAGTGGACCGCTTAGACTGAACAGGGGCTGCCCCTTGGGGAAGAGGCGGGGCTTACAGGGAGGGGCGAGGACCGTCCAGGGGATGTCGAGGGTTGGGGTGAGAGGGGTGGGAGAGTGGGAAGGGGGTTGTTCAGTGGTGGGCCCCCCCACCCGGAAGGCTCATTTGCAGTGAGAGAGCAGACAAGGATCAGAGTGGAAGAGTAGCAGGATGTGGAAGGGAGCTGGCGCGGGGGTTTCCTCCCGGAGAGATCCCTGCCTTCAAGACCGACTGGAGAAGGGCCTCGGTGGGGCTCAGGCCGGCGAGAGTTGAGTCCCCAGCTGAGTGGGATTTCCCCAGTGGGGTTCGGGTAGAGGAGGGCTTTGAGGTAAATTTAAAAAACCCCAAACCTGGGGCTATCCGTAAAGAGGTGGTATCAGCCTGGACGAAGGAAGGGAAAAGAGCTAGAACAGAGCGTAAAGCCTAGATACTCTGGGGGAGGAGCCAGAGGCTATTTACCCTTCTCATTGGCTGGGACCCCCTGACCACTCCCCTACCTTCTTGACCCCCCCCCGCCCTTCTTTAAGCTTAACCCCCTCCTTTTCCGCTGAAACTGGGTCGCAATCCCGCCCTCTTTCCTAGTACTTCCTGTTCCCGCTAACCCTGGCGTGGGGCCCGGGGCCGAAGAGTGACAGTGGCTTGAGTGACCTGGGTCGTCCGCGACAACCGAGTCGGGTTGCGAAGCCAGACCCCAGCGCTCGGGGCGACGCTTGGGCCGCGCACAGTCTGCGCGGGGTCCCAGCGGGCAGTGGGCTGGGGCTGACTCCTGTCTCAGGATGCCGGGGGAGGAGGAGGAGCGGGCCTTCCTGGCAGCCCGCGAGGAGTTGGCGAGCGCCTTGAGAAGGGATTCCGGGCAGACGTTTTCGCTAGAGCAGCTCCGGCCTCTACTGGTCACTTCTCTGCCGCCAGCAGCCCGCTACATGCAGCTGGACGCTGCACGTCTGGTCCGCTGCAACGCTCATAGGGAGGTGAGGCCTGCTCGGGAGGGGGACAGAGGACCTGAGGCCAGGCCGGGGCTCACAGTTCTCTCTCTGTTCTCTGACTGCTTCCAGCCCCAAAACTACCTCAACATCCTCTCCACGGCCCTGAACATCCTGGAGAAATACGGTCGCAACCTCCTCAGCCCTCAGCGGCCCCGGTACTGGCGTGGGGTTAAGTTTAATAACCCTGTTTTTCGCAGTACAGTGGATTCTGTGCAGGTGAAGCCCCTGGGCCCCTTATGGCAGAAGGGGACTTAGCCTGGGATAGGGGTTGGCTAGAAAGGGCTGGAGGCTGTGCTGAATCGGGAGGGGTCAAGCCCTATTGAGAAGGGGGCCCACTTCAGTGACTGGTTTGAATGTGTGGCAGGGGGGCCGGGATGTTCTGCGATTATATGGCTACACAGAGGAACAGCCAGATGGGTTGAGCTTCCCTGAGGGGCAGGAGGAGCCAGATGAGCATCAGGTCGCTGCCGTCACACTGGAAGTACTGCTGCTTCGGACAGAGCTCAGCCTGCTTTTACAGGTGAGGTACTTCTAGTTTTGAGGACTTAAGCACCAGGGCTGGGGAGCCCAGCCTAATAACAAAGCCAGTCTGGGGACCCCCATGCTGCCAAACCATGGACGTAGTCCCGACAGTAACTTGGGAACTCCTTGTACTTTTCTCCCTGAGAATGTTGGGGGACCAGGGCTTTGTTCTAGGGCTCTAAGCGGGGACTCTTGTTTGCAGAATATTCATCCAAAACCACACGCACTGGAGCAGCTGCTGACAGACAAGGTTGAAGATGATGTAAGAAAGGCAGGGATGGGGCTCAGCTCAAGGGACTGGTGAACAAAGGGGACAGGTGGGCCTGTGTCCGCAAGCCCTTGCTTAGTCCCTGCCCTTTTTCCTCAGACACTGCAGCTCTCAGAGTTTGCCCCCTTACTGAGAGAGATTGCTCCTGGCCACCTCACCATACCCCCTGTCCAAGGTATTATTGGCCTGTAATGGGGGAAGGGGGTACTAGTAGATTATTTAATGGAAATGTCCTCTATCTTCTTGGTTATCTTCCTTTCTTTTTAAAAAGAGATTAAAAGTGTTTCCTTGGGTTGAAAAGATATGCTGGAAAGTAATCTGTGATTTGGCCCCCGACACAGCAGATTTAGATGTAACCTGATCTTTTTCAGAAAGATGTTCTATTCTTCCTGTCCTGTTCTCCAGGCCCCACTCCTGGTCCCTGCTTCCTCTGTGGTTCTGCCCCAGGCACACTGCACTGCTCAGCCTGTAAACAGGCCTTGTGCCCAACCTGTGATCGTCTGTTCCATGGACACCCAGACCGTGCCCACCACCTCCGCCAGACTCTGCCTGGGGTCCCCCGGGTCACCCACCTGACTCCCAGGTGAGAGGCCTTCTTTTCTAGGTGAGAGCAAAATTGAGAGAACTTAATATTGCTTAACGATCTACTGTGTGCTGGATTCTGTGCTGAAAACGTTTCATAGAGGGCAAGCAGCCAGTTACTGCCCTCTGGGACATCATAGACATATGTATCAAGCAAGTAGCAATCACAGCAAGATAGATTATTATGGTGTGCAAATAGATAGTAGGAGGATGCAACCTAGTCAGAAGGATCAGCTCAATCAATTATCAGTATTTTAAGCATCTAGTAAGACTCAGGCCCTATGTTAGGGATATTTACCAGCCAGATATGAACTTGAAGCTGTCATGTAAATGTCGAACAGGCTCTGGGTATGGGAGTCTTCCAGACAGAACAACATGTGCAAAGGCCAGAGCCATATGTTGTCATGCAGGGAATGAGGGAAGGGACCCACGCACCAGGGACAGGGGCCCCCCTCAGCAGGCCATGTCTGGTTTTCTGTTACAGCTTACCTGCCTCAGCTCCGCCACGGCCTCAGTCAGCCTCCCTGCTGGCCCTGGGAGACAGCTCTCTTTCTTCCCCTGATCCTGCAAGTGCCCATCTGCCCTGGCACTGTTCCTCCTGTGCCATATTAAATGAACCTGGGGCAGTACTCTGTGTGGCCTGTGATCGGCCCCGAGGCTGTAAGGGGTTGGGACTGGGGGTCGAGGGTCCTCGAGGAGCTGGGGGCCTAGAACCTGAGCTTGCCCGGGGTCACTGGGCCTGTCAGAGCTGCACCTTTGAAAATGAGGCGGCAGCTGTGCTGTGTGCCATATGTGAGCGACCTCGGCTGGCTCAGCCTCCTAGCTTGGTGGTGGATTCTCAGGATGCTGGTGTTTGCCTGCAGCCCCTTCAGGTAACCTGTTCCTGGCCTTCCCAGCTCTTTATTTGCACTCGCTACAACAAGTCATTCTCTACTTCCTCATCCCGTTTTCCTTCAGTCCCCTGATATCTTCGCCCCAGCTTCTTATATTTCCATCTTGAGCCTCAGCCAGCCTTCAGTGGGATAATTCTTTCTGCCTTCCCAGCAGGGGGATACTTTGCTCTCTTCTGCCCAGACTCCAGTGTGGTACTGTATTCACTGTACCTTCTGCAACTCGGGCCCTGGCTGGGTGTGTGCTATGTGCAACCGGACCAGCAGCCCCATCCCAGCACAGCACACCCCCCGGCCCCAGGCCAGCTCTTTGGAAGAGCGACTCCCCGAACCAGGGCCTCCACGACGCTTCAGTGGCCCTCTGCCCAGTTCCTGTGGGGACCCTGAGAAGCAGCGCCAAGACAAGATGCGGGAGGAAGGTCTCCAGCTAGTGATCAAGATCCGGGTGAGGATTTGGGCCTGGCACGAGCTGGGGGTGGGGTGGAGAGGCTGCACTTGGTTGAAACAAGTTCTCATGAAACCTGTCATTGTTAGCAGTAGCTGCCTCTTATTGAACACTTCTCCCATGACAGGTGTCCTGCTGGGCACTGCTCACATGATCCATAGTCTGAGCTCAAGCACTGTAAGCATTTTGGTTCGGGCTAAGGCTGGGTGGAAGGTGCCCTTCCTGATGAGCCCTCTGGGTGGGACTGTGCCTTAGGAAGGGGAAGCTGGAGGTGCCAGTCCAGAGGAGGTCTTCTCGGCTCTGCAGTACTCAGGCACTGAGGTGCCCCTACAGTGGCTGCGTTCAGAGCTGCCCTATGTGCTGGAGATGGTGGCTGACCTGGCTGGACAGCAAGACCCAGAGCTGGGTGCCTTTTCCTGTCAGGAGGCCCGGAAAGCCTGGCTGGACCGTCACGGCAATCTTGATGAAGCCGTGGAAGAGTGTGTGAGGGCCCGGAGGAGGAAGGTAGTAGCAGCTGTCCTGGAGGTGGGGCATGGTTGAGGGTTGTGGATTTCAGAGCTTCTCACACACTTGCTTTTTCCCTCTTCACTCATCCTCGCCACTCCCGACTCACAGGTGCAGGAGCTCCAGTCCCTGGGCTTTGGGCCTGAGGAGGGGTCTCTTCAAGCTTTGTTCCAACATGGGGGTGACGTGGCCCGGGCCCTGACTGAGCTACAGCGCCAGCGCCTAGAACCTTTCCATCAGCGCCTCTGGGACAGTGGCCCTGAGCCCGCCCCTTCCTGGGATGGGCCAGATAAGCAGGTGCTGGTAGGAGGTGAAAAGCCCACTTAGTGGGGCAGAGGGCAGGCCGATGGTAGGATCCCTGGGGCTGACAGCCACTTCTTCCCTCGCCACCTGAATCACGTTGCAGAGCCTGATCCGACGGCTTTTGGCGGTCCATGCCCTCCCTAGCTGGGGCCGGGCAGAGCTGGCGCTGTCGCTGCTGCAGGAGACACCTAGGAACTATGAATTGGGGGATGTGGTAGAAGCTGTGAGACAGAGCCAGGACCGGGCCTTCCTGCGCCGCTTACTCGCCCAGGAGTGTGCCGTGTGCAGCTGGGCCCTGCCCCGCAACCGGGTAAGCCCTCCCCACTGCCCCTGGCCTTAGAATTGCTCTGTTCCCTTTGGACCCCCACCCTACCCCAGCCCCCACCTCTGGTCTTGTCTTTTGCTCTGTAGTTGCCCACTTCCCCCTGAAGGCTTCTGGGAAGGGAAGGGCAGGAATAGGCTACTTTCCTCTCTCTCTCTTTTTTTTTAATGTTCTATCATGGGAAATTTCAAATATGCAATAGTAGAGAAAACTGTGTGACAGATTCCCTCCTTGGTGGGGTAGGAGATAGCTCAGTGGTAGAGTGCATGCTTAGTATGCATGATGTCCTGGGTTCATCCCCCAGTACCTCCATTTAAATAAGTAAGTAAATAAATAAATCCCAATTACCTACCTGCCTCCAAAACAAAACAAAAAGAAAACAACAAAACAAATTCCCTCCTCCACACTCCCCCCAAGCCCCACCACCATGGATTCAACCAATTATCAATTGTATGGCCAAGCTTTATTTCACCTACATACACAGAGGACTATTTTGAAGCAAATCTCAGACATCAGACAGTTTATCTGTAATATTTCAGTATGTATCTGTATAAGATAAAACTCTTTGAAAATATAGCCACAAATACCATTGTCACACCAAAAAAGATTAACAGTTATTCTTTAATATCATCATCAAATACTCAGTTGGTAGGAATAGGCCCCTTTTATCTCCTAATCCCCCACTTACCCTAGGTCAGAATTGGCAGTTCTTGGGCCAAATACAGCCCAATTTAGTTAGACTAGCTCTGTATGTTTTTTGTTTTTACTCTTTATTTGAAAATAATTGTAGATTCATAAGAAGTCGTAAAAATAGTAGAGTCCTGTACCTTTCACCCACCTTCTCCCTATGGTGACATCTTACTTAACCGTAGTGCAATATTAAGGCCAAGAAATAGACATTGATACAATGTCAGCTTGCCTGCAGACCTTGTTCATTTTGTGCATGAACGTCTATGTGTGTAGTTCTATGCAATTTTTTCCCATGTATAGATTCATGTAACCACCACCACAGTCAAGATACCACAAGGGAACCCCCTGGTGCCACTGCTTTATAGTTGCAACCTTCTTCCCTTCCTCCTGTCACATAGCAACCACTAGTCCATTCTCCATCTCTGTAGTTTTGTCATTTCAGGCATGTTGTGTGTTTGCTTTTAATTAAATGTGGATGGCCTTAGAGGGCGTTCTTCCACTTACCTTAGGTCTCACTATTGTCTGGTTTTTTCCATCTGACGGTCTTCAGACATTTAGGTTGCCTGCCTGGCACTTGTTGGCATTTGAGGTTGCTATTCCTGCCCCATTGTTAATTAGACCCTGGTTTCTCAGCAGACACCGGCTACTGCCCCTTCCCCAGCAGCAGTTATAGCTTCTGACTCCCCGCTCCCCTTCACCAGATGCAGGCCCTGACCTCCTGTGAGTGCACCATCTGTCCCGACTGCTTCCGCCAGCACTTCACCATCGCCTTGAAGGAGAAGCACATCACAGACATGGTGTGCCCTGCCTGTGGCCGCCCTGACCTCACTGATGACACGCAGTTACTCAGCTACTTCTCCACCCTCGACATCCAGGTACTGCAGTCCCTAGGACTCAGGGTGACCTGGGCTTTGAACGGGAACCTTGCCCACCCACCCTTTCTGCAACGTGTCCCCAGCTTCGAGAGAGCCTAGAGCCAGATGCCTATGCACTGTTCCACAAGAAGCTGACCGAAGGTGTGCTCATGCGGGACCCCAAGTTCTTGTGGTGTGCCCGGGTAAGTGGCCTGACCACAGGGGTAGGGAGTGGTGCATGGTCAGGCCTCAGACAGCTTTATGCTCTTGCACCCACAGTGCTCCTTTGGCTTCATATATGAGCGTGAGCAGCTGGAGGCAACATGTCCCCAGTGTCACCAGACCTTCTGCGTGCGCTGTAAGCGCCAGGTGAGGCACATCCATCCTTTCGGAAACACCTGCTGAGCCCTTGGCAGGTACTGTGTTAGAGTTGGGGCGTTCTGGAGAACAGAACAGATGCATGCTGTGGGCTCTAGAGCTTACAGACTAGTCAGGGAGGGAGGGGGGGAAGGAGGAGGGAAGAGAGGAAGAGGGAATGGAGGGAGGGAGGGAGGGAGGGAGACCGAGCATAATTAGACCGAGCCATAAATTCTATGAAGAAAACAAATAGGAAACTGAAGTTAGGAGTCACAGAATGGACCTACCTAGTGCATAGAATAGAGAGGTCAGATAAGTCTTCTATAAAACGGTTTGGTTTAAGCTCAAGCCTGAAAGTTAAGAAGAAGCCAACTATGCAGAGAGTATTTGGGACAGAAAGAACAACACATGGAAAGGCCAAAGTCAGGAAAAAAGCCTTGTGTGGCTGGAGCCTTGAGAGCCAGGGTGAGAGTGGCAGGCGGTGGGAAAGGAGCTAGCTGCCAGATCAGGAGAGGCCTTGAGGCCAAACAAGGAAGGGATTGGCCTTTCATTCTAAGGCTAAGCAAAGGGTGAACGCTCTAATTTACTTTTTAAAAAGTTCAGCATTTGATACCAAAAAGGTTGCATCTGTCTTGTGAAACACAATACTAAAATGGGCACCTGAGACCTTACCACAAAACCTCCAAGCTGGAACACTCCCAGGGCCTTTCAGGCTGCTTGATATACACATTCAGAGGCACACTGGCTGCATGGTGGAGGCTGGACCATAGGGGAGCAGGAGTGGAGGCACAGAGACTAGAGGTTGAGGCGAGTAACCAAGGCGAGCCCTGGCCTGGCCCAGAGTGAGGTGATCACAGTAGAGGTGAAGAAAAGGGTTGAGCTCGGCTTGGGTGGTGGAAATGGAGACTTGCTGCTGAATATGTGTGGTGTGAGGAGAGGAGAGAAAGGCTGGCCCCTCAGTTTGGGATTCGAGCAAATGGTGGATGGCAGTGCCGTAAACTAAGCCAGGGACCACTGCCCCTGAGAGGAGGGGCCAGCAAGAAGTGCCTGGGATGGGGCTTTCATAAGAAGCTTGCTTCCTTCTGGCAGTGGGAGGAGCAGCACCGAGGCCGGAGCTGTGAAGATTTCCAGAACTGGAAACGCACCAATGACCCGGAATACCAGGCCCAGGGCCTGGCCATGTACCTTCAGGAAAATGGCATAGGTAAGATTCTGTCTGCCCAGTAATCTCTCATTGCCAGTGGCTCTCTTCCTGAGGGCCTAAGGAGCAGTGGCAGCCCTGGCCCTGACCTGCTGTCCCTTGCAGACTGCCCCAAGTGCAAGTTCTCGTATGCACTGGCCCGAGGAGGCTGCATGCACTTTCACTGCACCCAGTGTCGCCACCAGTTCTGCAGTGGCTGCTACAACACCTTTTATGCCAAGAATGTGAGCCCAGAGACCAGGGATGGGAGGTATAGCAGGGTGGGGACTGCTGTCTGGTGTGGGGGCAGAGGCCATTGAGGAACAGCCCAGAGGGAGAGAACAGTGTTGGGTAAAGCACCTCTCTATGTCCCCTCTCCCCTTCGGCTTGCTCCAGGCCCTCGAATGTCTCCATCTCCCCCCTAAATGCCTCATGCAGGGGTTCCTGAGAGACCAGGACCCCAATATTTTCCAACTAACTGCTGCTCTCCCATCTGGGTTTCCACCAGAAATGTCCAGACCCCAACTGCAGGGTGAAGAAGTCCCTGCACGGCCACCACCCCCGAGACTGTCTCTTCTACCTGAGGGACTGGTCTGCTCTCCGGCTCCAGAAGCTGCTGCAGGTCATGGATTTGCAAGTTGCCCAGGAGAGGAGGCAGGGTGCAGGGTGGCTAGAAGGGAAAGGCCGGATGCTGGGAAAACCAGCCGGCTGGCATCAGGAGAACCTAATGCCCATCCTTCTGCCCTCCTCAGGACAATAACGTCATGTTCAACACAGAGCCCCCAGCAGGGGCGCGGGCAGTACCTGGAGGTTAGTGTCGGGGCAGGCCTTGGAGAAGGCAAGAGGGTGGGCTAGGCTCCCTCTGTATGGTGGGTGAAGGGGAGGCTTGGGTCTAGAGTTGGACCAGGGCTCAGAGCCCATCCTGTGCTGGCTTGTGCCCTTCAGCAAGTCAGCCTCCCCAGGCTTGTTTCTTCCTCTGTAAAGCCAGGGTCATATCTACCTTGCAGCCATGTTATTTTATATAAGGCCACAGTAAAGCACCTGGCACCTCAATGCTAATTTTATTTTCCTATTTCCAAAGGATAATCATTTATTAGTTAACTCAGTGACTACTTGATGAGACTTGCTAGCTACACTGTTTTAGGTTCATGAGGGCAGCAGAAAGGTATTATACATGATTCTAAGCTAGCCCACTTCTTACCATCTACATAGATTAAGACCTTCACAGAATGAGTTAACCTTACAAGAGCTAAATCACAACCAAGAGAGCTGTCTCAAGGGAATATGTGATTATGGGCCAAAAGTTAGCTTGGCTAAAAGCAGGGACAGCAAGGTCCCTGCTTCTGTATCAGGAGGGGTCTGCATGATAGCATATCTCTTCCCCATGCCATTCATCACTGTTAGAGCAGGGGCTTCTGTCCTCAGTTCCCTCTCTAAAGACTGCTCCGTCTGCCTCCATCTATAACCCAGCTTCCCTGGGGCTCTGTGGTCAGTGGCCCCTTCCTGACAAAGGGTCCTTTCCTTCCCTTATCGCTAGGTGGCTGCCGAGTGATGGAGCAGAAGGAGGTTCCCAATGGGTTCCGGGATGAAGCCTGTGGCAAGGAGACTCCAGCTGGTTATGCCGGCCTCTGCCAGTGAGTGCCAGGCAGGGAGGGGAGCATGGTGTTGGGGAGGACAGGAGCACTGGGGGTACACCCAGGAAGAAAGGTGGGTCTCTGGGAGCAGTAGGTCCTGCGAGGAGTGGGGGGGGGGGCTCTAGGCCAAGGCTTGGAAAGGTAGTAGCAGGCAGAGTGCACAGGTTGGCAGGTGCCTGCAAGAACATCAGGTGAGGGGTGTCAGTCTTGTTCATCCAAGTATGCTAGTACCCAGCACAGTGCTGGGCACACTCAGTTAATATCAGCTGAACAGAAGAACAAATATTTCACCCACTCTTCTCCCTAGGGCACACTACAAAGAGTATCTTGTAAGCCTCATCAATGCCCACTCACTGGACCCAGCCACCCTGTATGAGGTGGAGGAGCTGGAGACAGCCGCCGAGCGCTACCTGCATGTGCGCCCACAGCCGCTGGCTGGAGAGGATGCCCCCACCTACCACGCCCGCTTGTTACAGGTAAAGCCTTCCCCAGCCTCACCTCTGACCCCACACTGTGGAAGTCCCTTGTTCAGCCTGTGTCTGAGCCCCGGGCTTCCAGTATCATTATCTTCTCTCTCATTCTGCAGAAGCTGAAAGAAGAGGTGCCCTTGGGACAGAGTATCCCCCGCAGGAGGAAGTAGCTGAGGGCAGGGGTCCCATTGAGGGTCCCGTGCTCTGACTCCCTCAGGAACAGCTCCTGCACCAATAAAGAGGCATTTCCTTGCCCAGGCTTCTTGGTGGTCCTTCTTCCTTCCTGATCCCACTGAGGGCACCAGGGAAAGAGCAGGCTAAACAGAGCTTTGCTGAAAGGGCCCCATGTAGCCCACCACCTGACCCTCTCTAGACTCAGGCCAGGAAGGAATTGACACTGGGGATGGCCAACATAGGATGGCCCCATACAGCCACCTGGCCTGGGCTTTTTCCTTCCCTACCTCTCTTATATTTTTCATTGAATTCAGCTATTTGGGGTCACATAGCTAGGTAACAAGCAGGCACTGTAGGGGAACACAGATGCACATGTGGTACAGAGCTATCCAGAGACCACAGAGCAGACTGCAGGACACTGTGGCCTCCCTGGGGAAGCAGCAATGTTAGAGATGGTTGGATACAAGCAAGGAGTATCTTGAGGGAGGAAGGGGAATGATCCTGAGGTAGGAAGGGCCCTCCAGACTGACAGCAGGTTTCCAACAGTAAGATTCTCAGATGCTGCTTCCCTCTGGTGGCAGCCAGTTGTCTTGCAACTCAGAGACCACGTGATTTCGGGGAAAAGGCCCTCCCTGGAAGAGAACTGAAACTTAGGGTGGGGACTGTAGAAAGGGGCGGAGAGATCCGGAAGCTGACTTGCCAGGAGTTGAGCTGAGGTTGGCTGAGCCCTGGGACAGTCTGCAGAGAGGTTCAGGTAAGATTAACCAAAAATAGGTGTCAGGGTCTCAGTGTGGAAAGCCCAGCTGGATTGAAGGTGGTGGGTGGGGGCTTCTTTGCTACGCTGAGGAGTAGACAGAAGGCTAGGAAGCTGGAAGTTTGGCCTGAGTAAAAGACTGATCAGTATCCCAAGCTCTATAGGCAAAGACCAGGGGGACCTGCTACCGGGTTGTTTAGGGAAGAAGGCCCTGCCTGATTCCCCTGACTGTTCTCTTGCCTTCTGGCCCTGCCCACTTCCGCCACAGCTCTGCCCCTGCCCTCAGCTCCCTGCCCTATGTACCCCTGAAACTAGCAGAGGAAGGATGGGTTGTGGGGGATCAAAGGATAGGTTGGGGGGGCAATGGATGAAGAGGGTTGATAAGGCATCTGAGAAGCAGCTACTGCCTTTGCAAATGCTTGGGGATCTTGCTGCTCTCTCACCAGGAGCAGGACACCAGAGGAGTTCTCTTTCAAACCATAGATTCCTGAAAAGTCTTAAGATTAAGACCGATGCTCAAGATTTCCTTCCAGATGTCACAGCCTAGAAAGTTACAAAAGATTTTTTTTTGGGTAATGCCTAGTGATAAAAATGAAACAATTCAGCCTCAGATTTTTGAGATGGATGGGATCTCTGGGGGCCCTTGCCAGAATCCAACCCCCATGACCAGGGTCTCCCTCTTCCCAAAGTATCAGTCCTGTGGACGCTTCCTGCTGTTCTTATTTCCAGGATGGCATCAGGCCGGGCACGCTGCACCCGAAAGCTCCGGAACTGGGTAGTGGAACAAGTGGAAAGCGGGCAGTTTCCAGGAGTGTGCTGGGATGATGAGGCCAAGACCATGTTCCGGATTCCCTGGAAGCATGCAGGCAAGCAGGACTTCCGGGAGGATCAGGATGCCGCCTTCTTCAAGGTGAAAGGCCTGGAAACCAGCCCCTCGGAGTGAGGGATGGAGTATACACCACACGGGTGCTCTCACCCTCAAGGGCTTGCGTCCTCCTGGGTTTCAGATAAAGGGGGGGGTTGGAGGGTAGAACTAGCTGCATAGTTGTCAGAGCCCAGTGCAAAACGTAAATGCAAAGCTTAGTAAGGATGTCAAGCCAGCAACAGCCAAGCATAAACCTAGCACAGGCTTCTATGCAAGTGCTCAGGCTGCCCATCCATGATGCCACCCCGTAGAGGGTCTGCAGGGGTCTGTACATGCTTCTACTTCCTTTACTGTTTCCTAGGCCTGGGCGATATTTAAGGGAAAGTACAAGGAGGGGGACACGGAAGGCCCTGCTACCTGGAAGACTCGTCTGCGCTGTGCCCTCAACAAGAGCCCTGAGTTTGAGGAGGTTCCTGAGAATGGCCATAGGGATGGGGCTGAGCCCTACAAGGTGTATCGGCTGGTACCACCAGGAACCCTCGCCGGTGGGTGTCCCCTTTGCCCCCCTACTCCTAGGATAAGCAAATGGAGGCGGAAGGATGGATATGTGGGCTTCCCAGGAGGATGGTGGGCCTCCCTCCAGGCCCCTCGGTCAGAGTTCTGCCCTGTCCTTGGGAAGCTCAGGTTCCCCTGCCCAGTTCTGCCCCTCCTTTCACTGTCTTCTATCTCTTCACTTCCCTCTGTGCCCACTTAAGGCTCTGGCCCTTTCTTTCCCTGTCAATATTCCACAGCTCAGCCAGTGACCCAGAAATCACCATCAAAGCGACACCACAGTTCCATGTCCTCTGAGAGGGAGGAGGATGAGGTTACTAGGAAGAACTGTACACTCAGCCCCTCCTTGCTCCAGGACCCCCTCAAAAACGTGAGAGCTGGGGAGGAAACTGGGAGAGTATGATGGCAGGACAGTAACTGGGGGAGAGGTGAGCCAACGATAGAAATTGTCTGCAGGAGTTGGTGGAGACCAATGGGGGAGCAAGCCATTCAGACTTCGGGAGCAGCAGCGGGAGCGGCAGCAGCAGCAGCAGCCCTGAGCCTCAGGAAGGTACCAACTGCCCTGCCTCTTGTGTCATCCCCCGTGCCACACCCTCTGGTCCTGGGACTCCCCAGTCCACTCTGAATGACCAGTGCCTCTGTTCCACTTCCAGGCAGGGACACAGCTGAGGCCCCTTTCCAAGGAGATCAGGTGTCCCTGGAGCTTCTGCCCCCTCCAGATTCAGGTACTTGGTGTTTGTGACTCATCCCTGCTCCTCATCCCCCCATGTCATTTCCTGTGGCTATGTGAGCATTATCTAATCAGTCAGAGCTTGCAGCAAACTGGGCCCACCTTACCCAGAGGCACTGGTTTCCAGGCAGTGCATCCGGCCAGACTACAAACAGCTTGCTTCTTAGAAACAGCCCCTATGTACTCTGTTCCCTGGGAATCCACTTTGAGACATTGATTCTGTGGGTTAAGTAGAGTCCCGATCTCTGGGACCTTCTTGTAAACCGTTAAGACCCAGTGCATTAAGCCCCGAGGCCTCAGTGGGAATCTGTAGATTAGCTCCTCTCCTGAGTGATGAGAAGGTCTGACAGGAAGCTCCCCTGCTGAGGAGAGTTGTGGGGTGAGGATAGAGGGGGCAGGAGCCTTCTCTAATCTCAGGAAGTGTAGCTGCTACCCCAGCCTACCATGTCCTCCCCAGCCCTCCCTCACATGGTTTCCTTCTCTGGACCTCACATTTCTCACCAGCAAAATGAGGACATTGGATTTGCAAGGAGCTCCTTTTCAATTCCCCAGGGTTTCACACTGACCAGTGGACCCCTGGGGAGGGATACGGGTGCAGCTGGCCTTTCTCTGTCCTCAGACTACTCGCTGCTGCTCACCTTCATCTATAGTGGGCGCGTGGTGGGTGAGGCCCAGGTGCAGAGCCTGGACTGCCGCCTCGTGGCTGAGCCCTCAGGCTCCCAGTGTGGCATGGAGCAGGTGATATTTCCCAAACCCGGCCCACAAGAGCCCACCCAGCGCCTGCTGAGCCAGCTTAAGAGAGGGGTCCTGGTGGCCAGCAACTCCCGGGGCCTCTTCGTGCAGCGACTTTGCCCCATCCCCATCTCCTGGAATGCACCCCAGGCTCCACCTGGTCCAGGCCCGCACCTGCTGCCCAGCAACGAGTGTGTGGAGCTCTTCAGAACCACCTACTTCTGCAGAGGTGAGGCTGCTCCAGCCCAGCACGGGAGCCCCCACCCCTACGTCTGTTCCCCACCCTGGACCGTGGGCCCAGCCACCACCCTGCGCTCCCTCCTCCCTGTGTTGGAGCAGATCCTCCATCACAGTCCAGGCATGGCATCCCTGCACTTGTGAGGTGCACATCCCTGTGCTCAGCCCTGGCAGCCCTCTTCCTCAGCCAAGGCCACGGAAGATGAGGCCCAGGTGGAACCCAGCACGAGTGTCCCACCTCGGGAGCACCACCACGTGGAAGCAAACAGTATAATCATGGGAAGGTGCGCCTCATGGTCCCCCCTCCAGATACTCACACACAACCATTCACAGGTTTGAGAGAGCTAGCACACAGCACAGACCCCGGCCCACTGCTCAGGTGCCCCCCAGGTTGCCCCCTCCCATCCAGGCCTGGAATTCCACTTCCTGCCTCCATTCTGCTCTCAATCGGACCTTGGGAATGGAGGCCAGGAGACCCAGAGCACGTGTGTCCCCAGGGCCAAAGGGTGCCTAGTGTAGGGAGGGTGTGAGCAGGCGACAAAGGTGTGGCACAGCTGTGTTAGCAGCCAGGGCTGCTCAAGCACTGACTAAGCTCTCCCAGCAGAGAGCAGTTCAGGTTGTTTGATGGTCAGCTGCCTCTTAAAGGGGCCCCTTGTTTTCCTGTTTATCTGCCGGTGAGCAGCAGCTTAGCTCCTAGCACATCTCCTGGCACAAGGCAGCAGCCTCGCCAGCCTGCAGCTTCTGCCCTGGCCTGGCTCTCCGAGTGGCCCCATTCCCTCCTCTTTCTCCACTCTGGGTTCTTCCCTCCACCCTCCCTGCCTGGGGCCCTCTCTCTTTTCTTTCCTTCTAACTCTTGACCTTTTCTCTTTCAGACCTGGCCAGATACTTGCAGGGCCTGGGTCCCCCACCTAAGTTCCAGGTGACACTGAATTTTTGGGAGGAGAGCCCCGGCCCCAACCACACCCCACAGAGTCTCATCACAGTGCAGGTGAGTCGGGGCAGGGCAAGACTAGCCTGCCCGCACGGGGTGTCCAGGAGGAGAAGGGGCCTCCTGGGGAAGGACCCCCAGGAAGGAGCTCCTGGTCATAGTGCTCACAAGCCCCTCTCCCCCCCTCTTCACACAGATGGAGCAGGCCTTTGCCCGACATTTACTAGAGACTCCTGAGGAGCAGGCAGCTACCCTGTCCCTGCTGCAGAGCCTGGAGGACCCCCTCTCCTCCTCCCCTCTCTGTTCCTCCTACCTCCTCTGAGAGAGCCCCAACCTCCACGCAGTCGACCAGCTGCCTCCCATCGTGATCATTCTCATTGGCTGTCTGTGTTGATTTTGTCGTTGAACTCCTTATGGAGCCTGGTTGTTGGGAACCCATGGATCCTTGTATTTGTGTGTGTGTGTGTGTATGTATTTTTTTTTTAATTTTGAGATATACCCTTTTTGTCTCTGAGGAACTGAGGGGGCCTTTCCCTCTACCCCAAATTCCAAAACCTAGCACTTTATATTTCCTTCTTAGTTCTTTACTAAGGATTTAAAATAAAATTTTATTGAAAAAGGAGTCAGAATCAGATTTGTTGTGAGCAGAAGGCAGCAGGGTCACAGGGAGATGATGGAGACGGTTTATATCCTGAGAGCAGAGTACTCAGACTCTCTGCTGCCAATGACTCTGGGCCCCTTTCCTCTCCTCCCACCGCAGGTCCTGGCCGGGAAGCTGTCTGGGATCTTTGGGTTCTGGGCCTGGCTCTCTATACCCTCTAGGCAGCCAGGATTAGGGAGAAGGTTGGGGTCAGCCACCAAGAGGGGCACTGAGCCTACAGCCACTGTAGCCACCTGCACATGGAAAAATCTGGCTCCACCGTCCTTGGCTGGAGGCTTCTGATTTCACCTAGCGTTGGACTCTGGCCTGGAGGTGTCAATGAACAGGAGAACTTAAGGTCGACCTGAAACTGTGAGCTACAGGCCCTGGAGCCTGGAGGGAAATCAGAGGGAGGAGCGGCCCGGTCTCCTGTGCCCATGGCAGACTGGGTCCTGGTGTTCCTTCTCCCAGCATGTGGAGCAGTGTCACCCCAGTTGAAGGCTACTCCCAAATTGGTCTCCTCAGTCTACATGAGCCCCACAACAGACGGCCTGGCCTAGACGGCCACGTCATCAGTACGCTGTCTGTTGAGATCCCAGGGTCCAAAGCAACCGACCCTTCTCTCCCTTACCCTGTGTTTATCCTGCTACCAAGCTGGAAGTCCTTCACAAGGCCGCCTGTCATCCCGCCTCCCTACACTCCGCTCCACCAGACCAATCCACCACCTACCTGACTGCCACAGCCTCCGGCTTCCCCCGTTCTGTACATGACAGCAAACTGGAGAAGGGGCCTGTCTGACCAGCTCCATTCTGTCATGTCACTTTTATAAGCTTTGTGTGGTTCACCTACATGATCAAATCTAGATGCCCAAATTCTTGAGGAACTTCTTACTATCTCACCTGGCAAAGTGCAGCGCTGCTTTCGAGACTTCCTGCCTCCTTGGACCTTCGTTGTCTTCAGTCTTGTCCATCGTCTTCCTGAAGAGCCAAGAGCCCAACAGGCATCTGCACTAGCAGTGAAGAAATCGGGTACTGAGTCTTGTGCCCTTGATTTGCTGAGATCCCTCTGGGACCTTCTTCGGACCTCCTTTACTTCCATTTTCTCTCATACCCCCACATCAAACCATCTGCAAATCCTATCAAAGGGTAGATTTCTGCAAAATCTACCCATAATCTGACCACTTATTTCTGCTCCCCTCACCAACACTGGTTTAACCACCACCATCTCTCATCTCTTCTTTCTGCTTCCTTCCACATCTTCTTTTCTGCAAAAGGAATCTTTTTAACACATAAATCTCATCATGTCACCCTTCTGCTCAAAACCCTCCATTAGCTTTCAATTTCCTCAGGGTAAAAGCTCCAATCCTTACAATGGCCTCTAGGCCTCCATTGTAGCCCCTGTTTTCATTTCTAACCTCACCCCTTGCCATTCTCAGTTGTTTTGCTCCAGGCTTCCTGAACCCACTGAACACATTTCTGCCTCAGGACCTTTGCATCTGCTGATTTTTTTTTCTAAAACACTTGTCCTTCAGGTAAGCACATGACTTGCCTCCTGTCTTCAGAGAGGGCTTCCCCTGAGCACCCGACCTAAATAGCAGCCCTCCCCACTTTCTCTGTTCTCCTATGTGGCCTCATCTTTCTTCATAGCACTAATCACCACTTCCCAAATTTCTAGTTGTCTACTTATCACCGCTCCTTCCCTAATCCATGAGAACAGAGACTTGTTTTGTTCATTGCTATATCTGCATTGCCTGAAGGAGTGCCTGGCGCATAGTAGGCATGTAATAAATACTTGGATGAATGAATGGATGAACAAATTGCTGTATCCCTTATCTCTTAAACTAGGTTCTAAGCACCCTGAAGGTAGGTGCCCCTACTTTATCATGTTTGTGCCCCAATGTGAACGCTTACGAACATTGACAATATACATACAGTGATTGAAACAACTTGTAAGTATCATGTGGAAGTCAATTTAGCCAAGCTCTGTGGAATAGGGACAGGGAACACGGATTCAAGAGAGCAGAGTTCCCAACCAGGCTGTGACTAGGACAGCCTAGTGTGTGGTCTGGGAGAAACGGTCTATACAGGCCCCTGTTTTCTCATCTGTAAAGGCAAAGCTTGGACTAGGTTTGGAAATACCTTTCAGATTTGATACTCTGTGATTATAAATTTAGGGCAATTGCACTTCATTTGACAAATATTTGCGGAGCTAAGTTTCAGGCACTAATGGACCCAAGTGTCAAGAGTTCTTAGATTGAAAAAACAAAATAAAATAGGGTCAGCTCAGCTGTAAAAAGTGCTGAGTTTTTTTTTTTTAACTGAACTACTGTTGATTTACAATATTGTGAAGACTTGGCCCTAACCCTAACCCTAACCCTACCTTAAACCTATCCTGAGGCCTAACCATAACCCTAAAACTGAACCTAACCTAAACCCTTACCCCTAAACATAACCCTATCCCTTAACTCTAACCCTAACCCCTAACCCTAACTGACCTTAAACCTAACCCTTAACCTAACCCTAACCCCTAACCCTAAAACTAACCCTATCACCTAACCCTAACCCTAACCAAAAAAAACAAAAACAAAATTTTACAATAGTGTCTTAATTTCCAGTATATATATACATATATATGTATATAGAGTCTTTTTCAGATTCTTTTCCATTATAGGTTATTGCAAGATATTGAATATATTTCCTTGTGCTATACAGTAAATCCTTGGTTATCTATTTTACATGTAGTGGTGTGTATCTGTTAATCCTATACTCCCAGTTTATCCCTCCCTCACTCTCTTTCCCCTGGTAACCATTAGTTTGTTTTCTATGTCTTTGAGTCAGTTCTTATTTTATAAGTTCATTTGTATTATTTTTTTAGATTCCACATTTAAGTGATATACAATGTTCATCTTTGTCTGACTTACTTCACTTAGTATGATAATCTCTGGGTCCGTCCATGTTGCTGTAAATGGATGGGATTTCATTTTTTGTGGCTGAGTAATATTCCAGTGTGTGTATGTGTGTTTGTGTATGTGTGTGTGTGTGTCAATATGCCACATATTCTTTATCCATTCATCTGTTGATGGACACTTAGGTTGCTTTCATGTCTTGGCTACTGGAAATAGTGCTGCTATGAACATTGAGGTGCATGTATCTTTTTGAATTAGTTTTTGTCTTTTCTGCATATATACCCAGGAGGGGGATTGCTGGATCATATGGTAAATCTATTTTTAGTTTTTTAAGAAACCTCCATACTATTTTCCATAGTGGCTGTACCAATTTACATTCGCACCAACAGTATAGGAGGGTTTCCTTTTCTCCACACCCTCTCTAGCATTTATTATTTGTAGACTAACATTAAATTTTACTTTTTAAAAAAAGTTTATTGTTTTTTAAATTGCAGTACTTGTAGATTTTTTTGATGGCCAGTCTACTGATATGAGGTGATACCTCATTGTAGTTTTGACTGGCATTTCTCTAATAATTAGCAATGTTGAGCATCTTTTCATGTGCCTGTTGGCCATCTGTACATCTTTGGAGAAACGTCTATTTAGATTTTCTGCCCATTTTTTGATAGAGTTTTTTTGTTTTTTTGATATTGAGTTGTAAGAGCTGCATGTATATTTTGGAAGTTAAACCCTTGTTGGTTGCGTCATTGCAAAACCTCTCAGTCTGTAGGCTGCCTTTTCATTTTGGGGGTTTCCTTTGCTGTGCAAAAGCTTGTAAGTTTGATTAAGTCCTACCTGTTTATTTTTGCTTTTATTTCTTTTGCCTTAGGAGACTGATCTAAGGAAGTATTGCTAAGATTTATGTCAGGTAATGTTTTGCCCATGTTTTCTTCTAGGAGTTTTATGGTGTCCTGTCTTACATTTAAGTTTTTAAGTCATTTTGAGTTTATTTTTGTGTATGATGTGAAGAGCTGAGTCTTAAAGAGGCAAAGCACGCCCTGGAGTCGAGGCTAGGAAGGACATTCTAGGCCAGAGAAATGGCTGTGCAAAGGCAGGAGGCATGGGGAAATTCAGGATATTTGTGACTGCAACCATACAACTTATGCTGTACAAAGAAATGTTTGAGACAAACGGCTTTTGTATGCTGAGAAGTATGCTCTGCGCCCAACAAAGCAAAAGTCTGTTTCAGCCAGGAGAACATTCACAACTGGGAAACAGCCAGGTGAGAAATGCCCACAACCTAAATTGTTCAGGTTTAGAAAATGACCCGGCAAGTCCTGTCACTGCTTCCTATGAGATCTGACTTACTCCGCATCAGTCTGTGACGGCTCCAAGGCCGCCTCCCACGGTTTCTATCTCCACAGCTCACTCTAAGCCCTAGTCTGGGCGCAAAGGCGGATCAATCGCTACTCGGTGGGATTCGAGGTGGGGTGGGGGCGGAGAACAAGGTCTAACCTCAGGTCAGGCGCCCAGAAGAGGGCCTGGAGGTTGTCCCCAGGATGACCCGACCTCCCGGGGTAGTTGAAGCGCCCCTGTTACCAGGCTCACTGCAGGGGAAGCCTGGGGTTTGCTCCCCGCTCATTGGTCTGCAGAGAAGCGCCTCCGAGGACCCGCTGTTACCGAGGCGAGGACGAGAGCCTATTGGTCAGGACACCTCACAATGGCCCCCCGGCCACGCAGGGTTCTTCCCATTGGTTCGCTGCCTGCCTCGGGAGACCCCTATTGCCTAGAACACAGGCCTGCTACTTGGCGCGCCTGGAACGAGCGCCCCCCAGCTGAGCCCTGTTCCTCATTGGCTGCTCCTATCTAATGAAGAGCGAGGCGCAGAGCCCCCCGGGCACTCTCTCCCTGCAGTAGGATCTAGCTCTGCTGGAGTGGGACCCGCCCGCGACGGCAGGAGCCAAAGCTGTGCAAAGGCCAGGAGCCCAGCATCTCTGAGGAGGACACCTGTTCTCCGCGGGGACCTGAACTGGATCGCAGTGCAGGCCTCCCAGCGTGAAGCTCTGCATCTCCGACTTGAAACTCAACCCGGCAACCTCCAGTAAGTTCAAAGCACCCGGGCATTGCGTGAACCAGCTCAGGGCTGACGGAGACGGTGTCCCAACTCCTGTGTATCCAGGCTACATCTCCATTTACTTATTCCCTTAATCATTTATCCACCCATTGTTTATCGGTTCATTTGTTTGGCATTCTATGGGTCCACCCGCTCCGCTGCATCCTTCTCTCTGTCAGTATTAGGAAATCCCGTGCCCTGAAGGCTTCGTCGGACTGAGATCCAAGAGTGGTGGAGACAAGTGAAAGCCCAGAGGGACCATGTTCTACTATCCCAACGTGCTCCAGCGCCACACCGGCTGCTTCGCCACCATCTGGTAAGGGCCGGCCGGGCCAGGATGGGCAAGCCAGGAGGGGCACCCAGGGATCCCAGCGGAAGGGCTCCCCTCTCCATCCTCACCCCACTTCCTCCCTCCAGGCTGGCAGCCACGCGCGGCAGCCGGTTGGTGAAGCGCGAATACCTGAAGGTGAATGTGGTGAAGACCTGGTAAGGCACAGGGAAGGGAGGAGTGGCCTGGGGCCAGGGTGGGTCAGGGGATGGATTGGGCTGGGCTGGGCTGTGGGGCTGGTCCTTGACGCAGTAGGTGTTCAGGGCCTGCTGTTTCCCCAGCGAGGAAATCCTCAATTATGTGCTGGTTCGAGTGGAGCCCCCGCTGCCCGGTCTGCCAAGGCCCCGCTTCTCCCTTTATCTGTCAGCCCAACTCCAAATTGGCATCATCCGGGTCTACTTCCAACAATGCCAGTACCTCGTAGGTAAGGCTGGGAAGGCTTCGAGGCAGGGCAGAGCGGAGGGTCCCTGGCCTGGGCTGGCGCTCTACCTTACCCTCCCTGCCCTCAGAGGACATCCAGCACATCCTGGAGCGCCTGCACCGGGCCCAGCTGCAGATTCGCATTGATATGGTGGAGACTGAACTGTGAGTATCCTCTGGGGACTGGAACCATCCAGCCTTTGGCAGGGAGCCTTCCTGCTTGACCTCAGCCCATCTCGACCTCAGTACTTGACAGCTCACATTCTCCCTCAGACCCAGCCTGCTGCTTCCTAACCACCTGGCCATGATGGAGACTCTGGAAGAAGCTCCAGACCCTTTTTTTGGGATGATGTCTGTGGATCCCAGACTCCCCAGTCCCTTCAATATCCCTCAGGTAGGTCTCATTCCCTGGGACACCTGATGAGTGGACACTGCAGAGGGGTGTGCTGTTCATGTGCCAGTTGTTCAGGGAAGGGCGGGCACCTGCTACAGCTCTGCCCCATAGGAGTTGGCGCAGGCCAACTGTCATGGGGGACCCATCCAGACAAGCCTGCTGCTTGTCCCTATTCAGGACCAACCTAGAGGCAGCTCTTGTCGCCACTCTTCTCCACACTATTCCCACAGTTGAGGCCCTAATCCAGACCCTGGTGTCTCTCAGCACCAGGTTTCCTTACCCATGTTCTTGTCCATCTATTTCTAATACCACTACAGCTTAGACAGTGTTACCCCCTTTCTTCAAAGATGTTGCCAGTGGTTCCTCACTGCAAACAAAATGCTAGCATTTAAGGCTCTCTGTGTCCTGGCCCAGAGGGAGCCATCCCCAGACATCCTCTCAGCGCATCCCCTGGGCATCTTTGGCTCCCAAACACCAGTCTGGCCCCTATGTCCCAAAGATACCACATTTACTTTTCTGTTTGAGCTATTTCCCTAGCCCTTAATGATCACTCCTCATTCTTTTACAGACTTCACTCAAATGCTACCCTTTCCCATGAAGCCTTTATCCCGCTCTTAGCCAGAATCAAATGTTGTTCTGGAACTCAGCACATCACTTGGGTCATGTTTTATCCTTAGTGTTGACTCTGGCTGGGGTCATATACTACTCATCTCTCCACTAGACCATACACTCCTTAAGATCAAGAACATTTCCTGTTCCCTCTGTCCCCCACAACACCTGACATAAGGATGTAGTACTTCTTTCACAGACAAGTTGACACAGACTAGATAATTGGGTGGGGGCAGGAAAAGGAGGAAAGGAAACGAGATAGTGAGTGGGTTCACTGCATACCAGTGTCAGTGCCACAGAATCGGGCATTTAGGGGTATCACTGTCCGCTGTCTGACTAGGGCTATGAAAGCGGGGAATTCGGGGGCTGAAGCTGAACCCTATCTCTTGTCCCCAATCCCTTCCCAAAGATTCGACACCTCTTAGAGGCTGTGACCCCAGAGAGAGTTCTTGAGGAGATTCCTCCTGAAGTCCCTACAGAGCCCAGGAAGCCAGGTGAGCAGAGAGAGCCGTCCTTCTGGTGAGAGGCGAAGAGCCAAGAGCTAAAGAAATAACTGCCTTTGAGCTTCTCTCAGCTGCCAGGCCGTGTGTGTATAACTGCATAACTGTCTCACATGAGTCCTGTGCAACTGGAGTCCTTCCCATTTTACAGATGAGGAAAGTGCAGCCCATAGTGGTTAAGCAATGTATCCTGGGTCAGCTTGCCAGGGCCTGACTAAGAACCTAGATTGAGCTGACTCCAGAGTCCATGCTTTCGCCTTACCACATGGGTGTGGGAACTCAGAAAGAAGCAGAGGGGCTGGTGTGACTTCCCTGCCCTTGCAGACAGGATTCCGGTCACTGTGGTGTCTCCTGAAGCCATCACGATCCTGGAGGAGGAACCCATACGTATGCTGCAAATCGAGGTGAGCTGTCCCCCTGCAGAGACCAAGGCCCAGGTCTTGCTTCTGGTGGCCCAGCCCCCCTGCATCTACTTCTCTCTGCCCCCAGAGTCCTGCCTTCTCTGCCTCCATTCCCCCACCCCTGCCCCTGGCCCCAAGCACCCCTGGGCTCCCTTGGCCCAGCCCGGCCTTGTGGCATGTGCCTCTCAAACAGAAGTGGAATTGAGCCCCTTCTCCTTTTTCTTCCTCTTCTGACAGGGTGAAAAAGACCTCCCAGAGATCAGCCGCCGAGACTTGGACCTGCTGATTGCTGAGGAAGACGAAGCCATCTTGTTAGAGGAACGTCGTCGGCTGGGTAGGCCTATCCGGGAAGGTAGGGCCTACCCAGCGCTGGATGGTCAGGCCTCCGCACGGGCAGTCTGGGCCTGGGCCATGCTCCCATCTCTTCTCTTCTGTGTTCTGAGCCCTGATCCTCTCTCTGCAGAGGCCAAGGAGGAGCCCCGGGCCCCAGAGGAGGAGATCGCAGTTCCCCCGCCCTCACCTCTAGCTCTTGCAGAGTAAGGGCAGGAACCCCCAGACCAGGTACGGGTCACTGCTGGGAGGCGGAGTGTCTTCATTTTGCTTGCCCACTTCCCCTCAGGGTGGAGGCGGCAGCGGAGCTACTTCCAGGCCGGGTCCCGGTCCCCGAGGAGCCGAAGCTGCCAGTCTGGGAGCCCAGGGCCCCACTTCCTGGTGAGTATCCGCTATGCCTGGGTCCTTCCTGGGGGTCCAACTTGCTGAAGAAAGGACCCTCTAGCTTCTTGCCTGGGTGGCTTTGAGAGTAAAGGCTGTGGGGCAGAACCAGGACCTTGAGTGTTGTTGCAGAGGTGACCCCCCCGCGGGAGTTGCGTCTGCCAGCCCCACCAAGCCCAGAGGTGAGTACCCTTCCAAGCCGCCTTCTCTTGGCCCTCCCCTCCCAGAGCTGCTCACCGATTTTTAGTTTCCCTAAGCCCAAGGCCACCACTAGCTTCCACAGGCCTTTGTGCCAAGGAGTAAAAGGTGCCCCTGCCCATGCCCCATTCTATCCAGCCTGCACTTCCCAGATGGACACCTCATTCAGGGCGGGAGCTGCACCCGCTCCCGGAGGCCCCACCCAAGCCCTCTCCCAGGGCACCTCTAGGGGCGGGAGTGTGGGGCCTGTTTGCAGTCCACAAGAACAACAGGAAAAGGAGTAAAGGGTAGCCTTGCCCCCTGCCTCCCCTCCTCATTCAGCGGAGGAGGCCCCCAGGCCCCCCACCTCCAGGGGCCCCACCTGCTCGCCGCCGCCGCCGGCTGTTATTCTGGGACAAGGAGACCCAGATCTCCCGGGAGAAATTCCAGGAACAACTGCAAACCAGAGCCCACTGCTGGGAGTGTGTGAGTGCAGCCCAGGCTCGGGGGGACAGAGGGAGGCAGGTGCATGCTGGGCCTTCTAAACAGTCTCCAGAGTGCACATGGTGGGGGTTTGCCCACACACCACTTTGTGACCCTGCCTATCACATCCAAGGGACTGGCTGAGTCGTCCCTTTAGCAATAAGCAGAGTGGGCAAGGACAGAAGCCTGAGAATTGGAAGGCCAAAGGCCTTGGAACAAGACTTTGCAGGTGAGGAAGGGGCAATGGCTCCTTCCTAACTGGGCTTTTGGCCTTCCCCACCATGTAGCCGAAGGTGCAGCCTCCTGAGAGGATGATCATAAGCCCTGCCGAGCTGTTCCAAACCCCGACTCACCGTGAGGAGTGGTGGGAGCTGGTGTGTGGGATCCTCTGAACCTGTTCCTCGCTGTTGGTGTTCCTCACGCCTCAAACCCTCTCCCTGCTGCCTGCTACCCTCAGCTGCCCTGCTGCCCCCAGAGCTGCTGGCTTTCTGGACCCACTCTGCCCAGCCACCCCCAAGAGCACTCAGGCGAAGGCCGCCTGAGGAGGCCGAAGAGGAGGCCGCAGCCGAGGAGGAAAGGAGAAAGGCTGAAACTCCAAGTGATATTGAGGTAACTGTATCTTCACTGCTTCCCGAAAAGACCATCTGCTCTGCCAGGCTCCAGGGCTGCTGCTTCTTTCCACGCGAGCACCAGGACTGAGCAGGGCTGCTCGAACCCCGCCCCCCGTGCTCATGGAAGCTTGGGGTCTTAGTTCTCTTTCTCTCATCCCCAGGCCCTGAGGGAGGCCCTGGAGCCCAGTGGGCCCCTCATGGTGTCAGGTAAGCACCTGGAGAAGGGATGGTGGAGGCCAGCACGATCCCAGGGAACCGGTCCCCAACTGCTAACAGCTCTCATCAAAGCGTTTTAACGCAAGAGAGCACAGACTGAGTGTCTTTAGTAACCCCCACCAACCCATCCCCTGCCCCTGGTGCTTTTAACAAGTCACTGCACAGCTCTGGCACCCAGTTTGACCAGGTGGCCCCTAGGGCCTGACTGCCTAGATGCAGAGAAACCCACTCAGGACCTCCCTCTCCCCTTGGACAGAGATCTCCCTAGAAGCGGCTGAGGAGGAGAGGGCCCGCGTCAGCCTCGTCCCCCCAGAAGAGCGGTGGTAAGCAGGACCTGGCCCGCAAGCCTGGCCAGGTGGGGGAGGTGGCTGAAGGGGTGGGCCCTCATCACCCTCACAGCCGCCCTTGCCCTGCTGTACCTCACTGCCATGTCCTAGGGCCTGGGCTGAGGTGGAGCAGCTGGAGCCCCCCGTGTTGCCCGCAGTGCCTGAACTCCCTGAGGTGCCTGTGGAGATGCCTGTGCCGCTGCCACTGGAGCCTGAGCTGCTCTCGCTGGAGGCCGTGCACAGGTACCAGGGAGGGTGGGCCGCAGTGGGTGGCCTGGGCTGGAGCCTTGGCCAATGGTCCTTGATCTCCACAGGGCAGTGGCACTGGAGCTGCAGGCCAACAGAGAGCCCGACTTCAGCAGCCTAGTGCCACCTCTCAGCCCCCGCAGGATGGCCGCCCGAGTCTTCTACATGCTGCTGGGTGAGCTGGGCTCGTGTGCCCATGCGGGGCTGGGGAGCGGACACACTGGCCAGAGACTGCCACCGGGACTCCCTCTCACCAGCCCTCTCTTCCCCTCTTCACCAGTGCTTGCTGCACAGGAGATCCTTCGTGTGAAACAAGAGAAGCCATACGGGCGCCTCCTGATCCAGCCGGGACCCCGATTCCACAGCGGTTAGAGCTCATTTACAAAGCGGTCAGGAAACTGCGTAAAACTAGGTCCTGCCTCACTAGGCCCTGCCTGCCTCATTATGAACAGGCATCTCTGTCCTTCCTGTTCTCAGAGCTACTGTTCAAGCAGAAAATAAACTGCCTTTATTACAGTCTGGTGTCGTGACACTGTATTGTCCCACAGCACAAGGCAGTGAATAGGGCTGAGACTCCAAGTGGGTAGGAGGCCCAGGCTTAGAATCTTTGGTAAGGCATGAGCTGGAGCTGGGCTGAGAGCTGGGCCTGGGTGGGCTCTGTCCTCTCTGGCCCAGCTGCAGCCCGTAGTCTAGGTGAGGCCCAGGACGGCCTGGAGCTCCTGGGCCTTGTCGCCAGGCAGGGAACCCAGTGCCGAATGGAAGCTGTCGGTGTGCTGTTTGGCCAAGAACGTCAGGAGAAGCAGCAGTGCCGCCTTGGTGTCTGGGTGGAGAGTGAAGAGGGAGAAACCTGGGGAGGGCTGGCTCCCGACTCCTAGCTGCCCCAGGCCCTCTGAGCCCTGCTCCTCCCCTCTCCCCACAACCCTCCCATGACTGCCACCCTCACCTGGTGGGATCTTGTTCTCGGCCAGAATGAGGCTGTAAATGCGCAAGAGCTCGGGAGCCACATCTACAACCTGTGGGAAAAGAAGGGCCAGCTCAGGGGCAGAAGCACTGCTGGGCCCCAGCACTGGGCTAGGTGGTAGGAGCCCAGGAGAGGCAGTCTCCCAGTGGGGCCATCTGAGCCTAATACTGATTCAGACATCCTGAACTGTGAAACATGAGAAGGACCCATGAAATGGGGTGGAAATAGTCCTTTTTTCTTTCCTTTTTTTTGAGAGGGTGGGATTGTGACCAAAGACACCTGAAATCCTGGCCTCAAGACCAAAAGAAACCCACACACCCAGGAGCTCCACCAACACAGTAGTTTCCAAAGGTGCAAGACAGAGGTGATGGAAACAGGAACACTGGGGCATGAGTCCAAAGCTAGTCACTTGGTGCAGACAAATCTCATTCAGAAAGCAGAGCTGCTCTGATTCAAATAGATGGTGTGGTGGCCAGAGTCCACAGGCTCCGTGGAGCACAATCTGAAAGAGTCCTGATCTAGGCAATCAGCCCAGGAAAGCTGTGACTTCTGGCTCAGAAGTGGCCAGGGAAGACAGAGCCTCTCAGAGGAAAAATGCTACGTGTCGAGAGGAAGCCCCTCCTCTCCCATTACAGGCCTGGCTACCAAGCCTTGCAGACCAATGAGAAAGCAAAGAGCAGCTTTAACCAATGCCAACTCCAAGGGCCCCAGCATCGGCGTTACCTGGTCAGGGCTGCTCTGGTACAGGAAGCTGAAGAGGTGCCCTATAGTGACCCACTCCTCCAAGTCCTCCTTCAGTGGCAGGGCGTGCAACAGGGCAGCCAGCACCTGGACGCAGACATGACTTTGGCCCCTAGCCCTGCGCGTTTCACGCCCTCCTCGGGTTCCCGGCCCTGCCTGATGCCCCGACCCCTCACCTGGGGCTCTGGTTTCCTTGTGGGACTGGCCATCAGCAGGCGGGCGAGTGCCCCACAGATGTTGTCACGGACACGATCATGGCGCTCCCGCGCCAGGAGGGGCAGCAGGAGCCCCAGCAGCTTGGGGAAGTGTCTGGTCCCCAGTCAAGGAACAGGCACATGGAAAGAACTTTCCCATCCCAAGTCCCAGGGACAGCCACCCTACCCAACCCCGGCTCCTTCCTGCAAGCTGAGGATACTCCTGGGCGGGGCGGCCTCCGTGCTCCACCAGCACACCCAGCCCAAAGATGGCATTGCTCCGCACTTCGGGGTCTGCCTCCCGGGCGCTGCTCAACAGCACAGGAAGCAGTCGGGACACAAACTGAGCCGAGGCAGCACCCAGGCTCTGAATGGACTCCGCCAGCATCCCCACTGCAAAGGACTTCTCAGCTACTGTGCAGCCCTGTTTCTGGTGGGGGGAGGAGTGCATGTCAGCCTAGGGCTGGGTGCAGGGCACATGGGGTTCAAAGCCAGGGGACAGAGCACTCACCATCTTGCAGAGCAATAATGGCAGGAAGCCGGCAAAGAAAGGGGCAAAGGCATCTCCCCCCGCTGCAGCTGCCAGTGCGGGGATGGCCTCACCAGCGTGCTCGAGCAACATGGCATCATATTCAGCCTGTGGGGCCAGGTTGGGAGCTGGAGTACCAGGGCCAGCTCTGAGACTGGGAGCACCTCTCACCATGCTCCTCCACTGCCACAGGTGGTCCCCCTGGGGGCTGCCCCTGGTTGACAGGATCAGCCCCTCCCAGGCTGGGCTTGTTTGCAGCCCAGATTTTTCTCTAGGTCCTCTCACTCTCACTTATCAGTCCAAGCCTGCCCTGAATCCCCACCTCCAGGAAGCCTTCCTTAAACCCCTACTAATTTAGGAAGAGCAGCATTGGTCATCCAAAGCCACTGATCAATCTTTCAGCAGCCCTAGTACCCCCAGGCCAAGCCCAAGCACACGGTCTGCCCTGCCCTGTGGAGACTATCTGGTCCCAGTTCGCACCCACAGCTCTTACCTGGTCTTCCTCGTCTTCCTCATCGGTGTCCTGACAGGCTGTCTGCGGGGAGGGGGAGCTCAGCTCAGCCTGGGCTCTCCTGCCCCTTTTCCTTCCCAGGGGTAGAGGAAGGGGGAAGCCAGATAGGTCACCTCTGGCTATCCCCACCTGGGCCTGGGCCAACTCTTCACCCTGCAAGCCCCGCTCACCTTCCTCTGCAGCACAGCCTTGAGCACACTGCAGAGCTCAGCCAGACGCCCAGGGGGCTGCAGCGTGAGGCTCCCACAGCCACGCAGCACCACCGTCAGGGCCTCCAGAACGGCCATCACCACCTGGCGCTCCCGCTCCCCGTGCACTGCCTGCAGGTAGGACGGCACCACCCGGGCCAGGGCGGCCTGCAGAGCTGGGGACATGATCAGCTGAAGCTCTGACCAGGCCCTGCCCCCTCCCCAACCCCTCTGCTTCCAGAGGCCCCAGCACCCGCTTCTCACCAGCAGTGTTGGGTTCCGAGGGGCAGCTTTGACAGGCTTTGTACAGCGCACAGCAGAACTGACCCAGGGCCTCATGGGCTGCCTTCCGCACATTCAGGTGAGGGCACTGCAGCACGAGGAGGGGGCAGGATGTGCCTGCTGGGTACAGGGCGAACACAGGGCCCCTAGCCCTCTGACCCCCACCCCTCCGCCCACCAGCCCACTCACCTCCAATAGTCTAAACACTTCTTCAAAGACAGTCTCCATGTAGGGAAGGAAGGCCACACTGTAGACAGACACAGGGCCATGGGGAAGGGGTTCCTAGCAGGGGCTCCCAGTGCCGGGGATAGCCCAAGGCTCACCTGGCGTTCACAGAGATCTCTCCCAAGGCAGCACAGGTGTCTTCCTTCTCATCGAAGAAGGCATTTTCCACGCTATACCTGGAGTAAAGAGGGGATACAGCAATGATCGGGTACCAGTAGGAGCACAGCTGACCCTGGGCCATCATCTAAACCAGGATTCCTCCGACCAGAACGGCAGACACCCCTCCGCACCCTGAGATCTCTGAGTCCTCCTCCTCCTCCTCATCCTCGTCCATGAGCTCCTCCTCTTCCTCCCCATCGCTCTCGTCGTCAAACAGGAGGAAGGCGCTGCTTCCATCATACTGAGGCTGGACAGGAGAGGCACAGCAGGGAGTCTGGCTCAGCTGGGCCCAGGAGAGAGACCCCATCCCAGGGCTGGCCTCCCCAGTCTCGCTGGGCCCATCTGCTCTCGGCTCACCACAACGCCCTCAGTGGAACGCAGTGACGACAGCATGAGTGCGGTGATTTGTGGCAGGTGGGGCGCCAGGCTCTCACCCATCAGCCCCGATAAGGCTGCAAACAGGCTGTACCTGGCGGAGGCAGGTGGAAGCTCTACCATCCTGTCGGCAGTATCCAGACAGGAGTGGGGAGCCCGGAGAACCCCTGGTTCAGAACCAGAGGACTCGGGTGGGGGAGGGGCACAGCAGGGTGAGGGCTCACTCACGTGCACCGCCGCAAGTCAGGGTCGTCTACCTGGTCGCACAGGCCCAGCCCCAGCTGGCAGCATTCCTCAGCCAGGGGCCTCATGGGCTCCCCCACTGTTCGCGCCAGCACCCCAAGCGTCTCTGTGGGGGAGGGGCTTGGTTAGCACAGCAATGTGAAGCTAGGCCAGAGGTGAGTCAAGCCAAGGCCCAGGGGACCAGAGGTGGCAGCTGGGGTGAGTTCAGAAACCACTCCTACTCCTAGCTACGGTGTGGAGGGGAGGAAGACACCTGTGCTGCTCAGGGGCGATCTTCTCTGGGCATCTGCCCTTCCCTGGCACTGGGAAGCCCACCTGGGAGCTCCTCACTCACCCAAGCTCTGGATCCGCACAGGCTGAAGGTCCTCGTGGCCTGTCAGCAGGAACTCCCGCAGGTGCTCCAAAATGGTGGGGAAGTAGGGCAGCATGGAGCCCTGGGCAGCTGTGGCTGAGGGGCAGCAGGACAGAATCAGAGCTGGAGGGTGAGCAAGGATCACATGCCATAGGTGCCAGATGAACTCCATGCTCCCGCCTCCAACTCACCAATGGCCCCCAGGGCGCTCACAGCCAGCTCCTTGGCCCGAGAGCTGCTGGGTTCCCTTAGAGGCTGCAGCATACACTCCATGAGCTCCGGAAGGTAGGGCTGCACTTTAGGTCCTATGGGAAAGGGCGCTCACTAACAACCAACCTAGGTCTCCTACTTGCCTGCAGGCTGACCCTCCTTGCGGGCCCACCACATCCCACTCCCCACCACAGGTAGTGGTTCCAGGAACAGCACATCCTGCCCCCTTCAGCCAGGACTACAGCCCCGTCCCATCCCTCGTACCCCCAAATGTCATTACTACCTAGATTCTCCACGAAATTCTCTAGGGCATAGCAGGCCTTGGCCAGGTGGTGCGTGTGCCCGGGAGGCACTGACCTCAGGTAGGCGAGGAGCAGTGGCATCACCTCACCGGAGTAGCTGCTGATGTGGGGCTGGGGGAAGGAAAAAGGGGGCCTGAGTCAGCTCAACTGCAGGGCACACGCCAAAGTGTTGAGGGCAGCAGGGATGCCTGAGAAGATGAAGCTGGGGGGCTGGTCCCTGGGACAGGCGGGAACTCTGAAATGGTGGCTGCCCACATTTGGCCTTGCTGACCTGTAGGTTCTCTGAGAACTGGCCCAGAGCGAACAGTGCAGCATTGCGTACAACTTGCGACGGATCCTCCAGGCTCTTGCACACAACCTGCAGCAGTGGGGGCAGCAGCCTGGATGGGGCGGGACAAGAAGATGCAGACTGACAGGCAGGATCTAAGAGCCCTAGGCCAAGCTATTCTCCCGTTTCCCCTAGGAAAACCCAGCTTTCTGTCACCAGATGGTGAGCACCACTCACTGGTCCCTATAGCTGGGGTAGCCATTAATCTTCTAAGCCAGGATGCGTATGAGAGCAGCAAGAAGATGCTATTGATAATTAGGCTTGAACAACAAACAGACCAGCACTGCTGTGGGTGGTGTGGTCCCCCTCCCCACGGCCCATCCTCACTCCAGGACAGGGGAATAAATACCTCTGTCTGATGTGGTCACCAGCTCCATCAGACAGCACCGCCAGCACCAGGAGGCCAGCCTTTCGTTGGTAGGGGCTCTCACTCCTCAAGGCCTCTTCCAGCATGGGCATCTAAGAAAGGAGATGGTGCTCTCCTGAAACCCCAGCATGAGCCTGCCTGGTCCTGCAGCAACAGGCCTCCACACCTACCAGGACACAAACATCCTCAGCCTCAGGAGACTACGCAAACCTAGGGGTAAGAGTCACACTTACCAGCAGGGGACAGAGCTTCTCAGGGGGCAAATGGAGTGCCAACATGTCCACGACCTGTAAAAGAACAGGGAGACTTTGCTGAACTCCACCTCTGCCCCTCAACCTCCCCTAACCACCTAACACCCTGTCCCCAGACCCTCTCCCACATCCCACCTGTACAGCAAAGTGCTTGGGTGTCTCCCCCACCAGCCCAATCTCCAGCTCTTCCTCCTCCGAATCCTGGTCCTCAGGATCCAGCTGGCCCAGTGGGGGCTCGGCAGCCATAATGGGGAAGAGGGTGTGCAGCAAGGGTGGCAGGAGACGATTTTTCAGTAAGGCCTGAAGAGGGAGGGCAGAATGGGGTCCCTGAGAATCTGCTCCCAAGATGGATTCACATTAAAAAATCCAGCCATTCAGGCCACAGGGGGTCCAGCAGGAGATTCCCAATCCCCCAGCCAAGGGCTGGGCTGAGTCCAGATCAAGTCTTGAACATCTTGGCTATGGTACTTTAGACACCCTGAGATGGACAGAAAGCCCCGGGAGTGAGATAAAGGACAGAGATGGGGATGGGGTGATGGGCGTCAGAGGGCACTCACCTTGCTCTTGACTTTAACCAAGAAAGTGAGGCAGCAGAGAATACGCACACGTACTGCATCGCTCAGGGCCACGTTTCTAGCCACCTGCCCAGAGACCAGTGAGACTCAGAAATAGACAAGGAAACTCCCAGTAGAACAAGCAGCAGGGATGGTGCCGACCCTGGGCTCACCTCCAGGCAGAATGTGAGGACCTCTGACAGGTGGGAGGTGATGATAGGCACCTCTGACTCCAGCAATTCATCCAGGGCCTCCACGGCCTCACAAGCCTTTGCCTGCCAGACAGGAAAGTCATAGGGTTACTATCCTCTTCTTCAGTGGACCAAGCTGATTCCTTCTGTACTTTCCCTCCAACAGAGCTCCTATCCAAATGTCCTCACCTCATCTACAGGGATCAGACTCTGCACAGCCACGATGAGCTTAGGCACCAACATTCGAGCAAGAGGCTGGAGGACACAGAATGAGCTGAATCACAGAGAGTACGATGTAACCTAATCCCAAGCTCCAGAAACTGGCAGCTTTCTTGAAGCCTGGACATTGGAGGAGCCCACACACAGCCACCCACAGGTTCCCCTCGCAATTGCTAGGCAGGACAAGCAGAGAAAGTGTCTGAAATAGCTCTGCATCCCGCAAGGGTGAGGACATGAAAGCCCAAGGACAGGGAGCCAGGGAAGGTGAGGGCCCATAGCTCACCACATCGTCAGTGCCGAGGTAAGGGGCCATGGTGGTCAGGGTGCGCAGGGAATAAAAGAGGAGCCCAGGAGAGCCCACCTCACCAAGGGTCTCATTCAGAAGCCGAAGAAGCTCCCGGTGGTGTGGTCGGAAGGCCTCGGGCCGGGAGGTCACCAGCACACTTAGCAGCAAAAGCCCCATCTGCCCAGGAGTTGGGGTTGAGAGAGAGAAGCTTATATGGTCTGTTCAGCTTCCAGATCCCTTCCTCCCACCAACCATGTGATAGTACCTCTCTCTCTGGGATGTGGGGGCTGTGTGTACTGTGCTGAAGAAGCTGCATGAGCTGAGGCCAGGCCTCCAGGCCTTCCTTTCGAAAAATGGTGGCTGAGAGCTGGGCCAGGCTAAGTCTCACAGAATGCCTGCGAACAGGAGAGATTCCCCACCCCCAATCACCCTCCAGTACCCTCCCCTGCACACGATGGCCCTACCTCTGTTGGATGGCCAGGAGAGAAACCTCCAGGTGTGGGCAGAGGGTCTCTGCCAAGTTGGGACACATAAAACAGCAGCTCAGAGGGAAACTAGCAGCATCGTGGTTGTGCAATCTGGTAAGTTCTGACCTCGCTCATACTCAATTTCACTCCCATTCTTCTGACTTGGGTTTGGGAGACCATCACAGCCCACTCTCAAGAACTTTAGTCTTTAACACAGCCTGAGAATTCTTCCTCCACTCTTGATCTAGAACTGAAGCCCCTGATCCCCAAGTCCCAGCCTGGCGCTGAAAAAGGCAGAAACCCCGGGAAGGTATCAGTCTGGAGCCAGTTAGGACCCGGAGAGGAAGCAGGTAGGCACTTACTCTGTCTCTCCCTGGAGGACCGTCAGGACCAGGGACTTGATGCTGGAACACAGGTGGCAGACGTTTGGTACCCAAGAGCCGCCTCAGCCTGGCCCCGCCCCGCCCCTGGCCCAGCCCACCTCTCCCGTTGCTCCGCCGCCAGCCGCCGCCAGCAGGTGCTCAGTCGTCTGCGGGTCAGCACAGCCGCGAACTGGCGGATCTGGGATAAGGAACCGGGCATGTGAGGGTCAGGGCAGGAAGGTGGTGAGTGGGCCGCCGGGGGCAGGAAATGGGGCCTGACCAATGGCGTACTATGGGACACTCAGTGGCAAGGGGCAGGAGCTTCACCTGAGGGTCGCCCGCTGAGGCCAAAAGGTCGCAGAGCGCGGGCAGGGCGGCGGGGTCTCGAAGAGCGGTCTGGAGCTGCTCGGTGGCCTGGGGGAGGCTGGGGGGTCAGTGTCAAGCCTTTCCCGCAACACCCCCCGTTCACTCCGGCCCGTTCCCGCTTGCCCCGTACCCGGCGGATGCGCTCGGTGTCCGGCAGCAGCAGCTCCCGCAGGATCTTTTCCAGGCCGGCGGGCTCCATGGCAGCAGCTGAGCCGCCGCTATGGGGCCGGGAAGGGGGAGGGACAGCACGTGGAGGTTCTGTAACCCACTTCCGGCGGAAAGGGCGTTGCTCCGCGCCTCTCCCGTCGCCAGGGTGATTCAACTCGCTTCACACCGAGCTCGGGCCCGGCTATTTCCGTTGGGCTGAGCTCCGGGTGAGCCGCGGAAACAGAGCCCCGGTAATACAGGTTCCCAGAGCCGACAGTTCCCAAGCTCCGGGGAGAGTTCGAGTTCCGTACATTCCGCGGCGGACCCGGATTACTATGGGACAGTGCCCTTAACGACAGGACACGAGTTCCTATATCCAGACCAAACCCTCCAAATACAGGATCCTTTTTCTTAATAAATTTTATTTTGGTATTGTAAAAAGAAAAATCAGGACCCAAGCTAAAGGCAACTTAAGAAGTTGAAATATATACTCCTTATATAATAGAGATTTGTAATTTCCAGGCCCTCTCTGGGGAAGGAAGGCCCAAAGGGCAAAGGGGAAGGCAACAAAGCCATCACACAACTCCGTCACTCAATCAGAAGAGATGTGGTAAGAGATCAATGGGGCGTAAAGAAAGGGAGACAAGAACAATAGTTTTGCCATTCAAAACTCAGTCCATCTTGAGGTTAACATAGATATAACGGATGAACTTTAGGGAAGAAAAAAAGGAGATGGTGCCCAGCATGAGGAAGAAGACATATCCAGTGAGTAAGGAGTAGCCAAAGAACTCTACTGTCTGGACTGCCCCTGACATGTTGGAGCGCCGAGCATAGTAGAAAACTGAATAGAAGAAGATGAAGAGCCCAGTGGAGCCAACACTCAGTACAGATCGCCACCACCAGCGGTAATCCTCGCCAGACAACTGGAAGTAGGTGAGTGCGATGGAGATGCAAGCCCCCACACTCAGCAGGATGGCAAAGACGAAGAAGAGGATGCCATACAAAGTGTACTGCTCCCGACCCCATACTGTGGCAAAGATGTAGTAGAGCTCCACAGAGATGGCACTGTGAAGAGAAGACACGATACACAGCATTAAAGGGCTGTGCGTTGCCAGCACAGTGGTCAGGCCAAAATCCAGCCACCACCCCTCCATGTTACTGCATCACTGTGGAAAGTGGGCCCATTCTACTCTCTGCCCTGGAGTTCCTGGCTTGATGGGAATTCTTTTACCTATGATTAGCTGCTCTCACTTCAAGAACATCTTCTTTGGAAAGTTGAGAGCAGGGATCTTGTCTGTTTTATTTTCCACTGTATTTGCCTGGCACTAAGAGGTACTCAACAGACTGAGTAATCAAATGAGCTTCAGGCCCCACATGGTGTTGCTAAATTCAGAAACCAGGAAGACGGTGAAAGCAGCAGTGTCTCTGGAGAGCTTTACAAGTGAGACACCTGATACTTGAACTGATTCAAGCTCAGTCCTGCTTGGAGAAAGGAGGAACCACTTAGTGATCTCTTAATGGTACAGCTGAACCAGGGATTATCTCTGACATTGTGTTAGGGTACAGGGTGAGCACGGAAGGGAAAAGTTAAGGTCAGGAACATGAAAGTGATGCCATGGAGTAAAGAGAGGATACCTGAAAGGCAGGAAGCCTCCAACAGTCATGTGGACGAGAGTAGACTTGTACCAGGGCTGGGGCGGAATCTCCCGGGCGATGTTCTTGGTGCGACAAGGTGCGTCAAAGGGACTAGCGTTGTTCTTCCCGAAGATGCCTCCAATGACAGTGAGGGGAAAGCCGACCAGCAGCCAAACCGTCAGAAGCAGCAGGATGGTGGTGGCTGGCAGAGCCTGTGTTGAACCATTGGCCCAATGCACGGAGTTCACCACACTCCACGTGAGGAAGAAAGGCACTGCAGGGATGGGCCCCCAGAGGGAGGGTCAGCACTGGGAGCTACATGCCTGGACGCACTTAATCAGACTGGACCTAAAGGGGTGAGGAATGAAACATCCTGCTCCCAGGCCAACTCCACCCTTCCGTGTCTCGTTCCTTGTTCCTTGGCTTACCGAAATCTCCTCGCCTATCCATTATCATTATTAAGGGTCAAGCAAGTCGTTACATAATGACCTAAGAGTGACGCAAATCCACCTGCCTCCAAGGGCCTGTCCTGCTATAGCATTGGAGATTCCTAGTGTGAGACATTCCTTTGAATTAAGGCCGTTTTCAGAAAGCCCTGGTTCAAACATAAATGTGATGGAATAGAAGACATTTGGGGTTGGAAACACAAAAGGTTCAGATTACAAACTACTACTGCCTTTGAAAGGACAAGCTGGCTTGAAAGACTAGAGTCAGGTAGCCCACTTCCAAAATAAAAAAAGCTAGGGGGCAAAAGAAAAAGGAGTGTCAAAAAATAAATTCAAGAGTGTTACTTCAGTGTAATGGTTGAGAATAGAGGCTCTAGAGTTTGACTGCCTAGTCTGAAACCTCATTTGCTGCTTTTTAGGAGTATAATCTCACGCAAGTTACCTAACCAGTCTGAAGTTCAACTTCCTCATCTGTAAAATGGGGACAATATTACCTGCTTCCTACAGTCAGTGTGAAGATTAAACGAGATGAAAGCATGTCAAGTGTGTATCACATTGCCTAGCACATAGTAAGGGCTTAATAATGTTTATGCAAAAAATGCATTTCTGTCTTTTCAATGGTTTTCTTATTGTTTCTTTTGTCTATTTTCATTGCCTTAATCTGACTCTATCTCAGGTTCCACGACGTGTTCTAAGTCCCTGAATCGGCCCACTAGGGCAAGGGCAGTCCTCACCAGAGAAGAGACTGGTGGTGAGAATGATGTTCCACACCCAACGCTCGCCTCCGATCTGCCGGTAGAAGTGGCTGGACACGTAGCCAGAGATGCAGCAAGTCAGGGCATACAACAAGATGGCTGCTGAGTTAATGGCCCCGTGACGGTGCACATTGAACATGCCCAGCAGCGCCATGACAATAATGCCTGCAGGGTGGTAGTGGAAAGCCCATGTTAGGTCTCCCCTGTCCCTCTTCTGGCAATTTCAGAAGAATCAGCCGCTTTTCTCCCAGACCCAGGGCCTCCAGCAAAACAATATCCCCCAATTCTGTTGTCCAGAAAGCCCACAACAGAAATATACTCATCCTTGCTAGAGCCATCCCACCCCTTAGGTCTGCCCCTCACCTTGGACAGACGACAAGATCAGCATATCTTTTCTGAACAAACCACCTACTTAGTTGTACCCCTTGAGAGAAATCCCAGATTAATTTTTATCACCTCACCAGTGCCAAGGGCCAGGAACTGGGCACCCACACCAAGCACAGCACAGAGCAGACCACGGTATGGAGGGAAGCGGAAGACATCTGTATGGATAATTTTCCAGCCATTGTCACCTTGGTCAAAGTCATCACCAGACCCTCCAGAGGTTGTCTCCTCATCCAAGTTGTACCGAGCCAGGTCATTCCGAAGCACACGCATGAGAATGACAGCCACAAAGCCCACCAGTAAAAACACAAGCACCATGGAATTGATGATGGACAACCAGTGGATTTCCAGTGTTCGGGGAAAGAAACCACCGTCGTCACCACGGCGCCTGTCACTCCGACGCTCGACTGAAGTCTCAGACCAGCGCACGCTGTAGGTGTGGGTGAGGCCTAGGAACTCATCAGGTCGTAACCCATCTAAACTGTGGGGCTTGACATCCCGCACTGAGACATTGGCAAATATAATTCGATCTCCATGGAATTCTAAGTGGAAGTCCAAATGGGTCCAGAGTCCTATCTTGTGGCTGTGAGGCAGGAAGCCACTCTCCTCCATGTAGCCCACAAAGCCCCGGATTGGCAAGTCATCCACCACAAATTCAAAGTAGTAGAGTTCTTCAATGGCCTGGCGCAGCTGTTCCACCTACAAAAACAAGTCAGGAGTCAGACAGGCCTCGCCAGGCCTCCCCAGCCACTGGATTAGAGAAGGGTTTCAACCTCAGCACTACTGACATTTTAGGCTGGATAACTTGTGGGGGACTGTCCTGTGCATTGTCAGATGCTCCACCCCTGGCTTCTCACTAGATGTCAGTAGCACCCCCTAATAGAACAAAAATATCCCCAGACATTGCCAAAAGTCTCTTGGGAGACAAAACTGCCCCCTGTTGAGAACCAGTGGGTTAGACCCTAGTATGCTGGGATTCTCCGAAATAAGCAAGTATGACTTGACAGGGTTAAGGCCTACAAAAAGAGAGGCAAGGTGTAAGAAGTTCTGAAGTAGACTAAGGAAAAGTGCCCTAAGATGGGAATCACTGAAGAAAAAAGCATCACTGGGAAAATTAGGTAGACTGTAAAGGAGCCAGTTAAACATGAGCCAAGAGGTAGGAATGGAAAAAAATGACTATGTAGGAGTGGCACCTCATTACCAACGGACAAGCTTGGAGTCAAGAGCCCTGGGCTCTACTATCAGCTGTGCAATTTACTATTCATGTCTTGGAAAAGTTACTTCTGAGCAAGTACGTTTAACAACTGAATGCGAACAATACTATCTGCCCTGCCTGCCACATGGGGTTGTAGTTAGAATCAAATCATATCACTTCCATAAAGTTGCTTTGAAAACTATAAACGTAAGGCACTGTTACTAGTCCCTGGGAGGGAGGGCTAATTCTAGTCAACGTGGAGAGGCTGACCTGTGCAGGACTGAGCTGCATGTGGCACAGAATTCTCTTCTCCACATTCTCCCGAAAGCGGATCTCATACAAAGACTCAGCCATCCGATCCCCATCCAGAACTTCACCCAGGCTAAGGCTTTTGTGGCGTATCTTCTCAGGGCTGCAAACTGGAAGCTGATAGTAGTGGTAAGTCTCCTGAGGGTTGTGGTAAGGTCCCACTTTGTTGACATATAGAATGACAGGGTCGCCGGCCTTGTAGTGTGTCACACCTTCCACCCCTGGCTCACGTCCTGTGCCCAGCAGCAGCAGCAGCAGCAGCAGCAGGAGTGGTAACCACTGGCAGCTCCAACTTCGAGGGTGCCCTAGAACTGTCATCCTTAACGCGGCGGAACCTGTTTGGGGGAGTTCTGAGGTTATGGGAACCAGGGATCAAATGACACCCCAGGTCAGGTCCTTCGAACTGAAGCCTGATGGCTCCAATGCCTCCCCTTGGCCTTTCAGATCCTCCCTGAGGCCACCTCCCCACTGCCACACCACACCATCTCTCTAGCCCGAACAATGGGCTCCCCCTCTGCTCTAGTCCTCTCAACCTAGGGTTCCCCCCTCCGGCAGCCCGCCAGCCCGGGGCCTCCCCGTGCACCCCAGCTCGTTTCCATGGCAACTCCACGCGGCCTCGCACCTCCGGCACCTTCCCGCGGCAACCCCGAGGTGCTCTCCGCCCGGGAAGGGCTGGCCGAGGAGGCGCCAGCGGCCTCTGCGGCCCCGTAGCCGCCCTTGCACTCCTGCCGGGGTCTCCCTCAGAGCGGCGCGCTAGCTTGGGACCTGGAGAGGACCTGACGACCGACCTCCCGAGGGCTGGCCACCGTGGTGCCTGATCGCAGCGGCTGCGGTCACGCCGCAAGACACCGCGCCCGGCTCCCTTCAGTGCTCCCTGAAGAGCTTTCTACCACTGGAGGCCTGGCCCAACTCTGAAGACGCCGCGAGGCGGCTCGCCCTTCGCCCCGCGGGGGGCCCTCCCGGCGATCGCTAGGGCAGCTCAGGACACGTCAGTCTTACCACTTCCGCCTTCACCCGCCGGGCCCTCAGCTCGGCGGAAAGCTCCTCTCCTGGAGCCTAGAGAGGGCCACTCCCCCGCGGCCTTGGCCGCTCCGACGCTCGGGTTGCCCCGAGAGGGGCTGCGTTAGAGGCCTGGCTGCGAGGACACGAACTCCCTTTTTTGGGTAAGAGTCGGCGCCGGTCCAGCCGCCCGTCCCCGGGGAGGTTGCAGTTGGATGTCTGAGAGCAGTGCCCGCTGCGCGCGCCCAGTGACTGCCCAGGACACGGAGCCCGGGCGGGGGCTGCGCCCACACCTAGAGGACGCCGCAAACGTTTGCCGGCTGAACCAATGGGACTCGCCACCGACTGCCGAGGCCGAGCCCGGAGAGGCGGTTCAAGGCCCCCAACCCGGGCGGGGGTGAGGCTTTGGGCGTCGCTGTGCTAGGACAGAGTCTGGATCTCACCTCCCTGTTGCTCTGCCAACCATCATGAATGGCCTCCCGCCAAAAACCAAATATGTAAATGAAATTATTTTCCCAAGGCTCTACTGGAGCCCTCCCTGACCGTATAACGACCGTCTGTGTCCGGCGGTAGAGGCAAGCCTGGGCCAGGTCTGGTGCAGAGGAACGCAAGGAGATGGGGTGTTCGCTCTTTTACCCCGTGAGTTGATCAGACTGACACTGTTATTGTTAAATGCAGGTAAAAAAAAAATCCTGACACGCTTTGGTCTCTATGTTTTTATTCTTATTTATCTGTGTGTATGTGTTTGGGCATCTCTTAATTTGTATTGCAGATTATTCTGGAAAAGTTCACCCTGATCTGTCTCAGCTGTTTTAAGGGGATCTGCTATTAGGGGAGTTCCCCTGGAGATCAGCCCTTGGCGCATTGACTTCCTTTGGCCACTTGGAAGCAACATGTAAGGAACCTGACTTAAGGTTCCCTCTTCCCTGGTAAAGAAAGTGGAAAATCACAAGTGGCTTCTGGCCTGAAATGTCCTTCATTTATTCACTTCAGCCCTCTCTGACCCAACCCTCCTCCCTGGAGGAGGGGGTGAGATTCCAGGAAGTACAGGGTTGAGTTTTTAGACAATCAATGAGTTTTGTAATTAGAAAAGTAACTTAGAAAATGGCTTTGGAGGAGACTTTTAAGTGACAACCATCTGGTCATTAAAGCCAGAAATCTGGGCCTCTTTCACAGTTAACAACCCCCTCCCCCCATAAGTTCAGTGCCACCAAGACTCCTCTGCTTTTGTCTCGATTATCCTCCAAATTGCCCTCCATGCTGCCTTGGTTCAGGCCCCATCCCCTCACCTAAATTACCGTGGCATCCACATTGCTAGTCTCTGGGTCACCTCTTCCCTTGGATCCATGTTATACACTGCAGCTGCAAGGATTTTTTTTTCTTTTTTTTTTAATCTTAAAGGTGCCCTATTTCCTGCAACAGTGATTCTTTCTTTTTTTTTAACTTTTAGTACAAATTTTAAAAGGTCGCTTTCCATTTACAGCTATTACAAAATACTCACTATATTCCTCATGTTGTACAATACATCCTTTGCCTGTCTTACACGGAAGTTTGTACCTCCCACTCTCCCAACCCTATACTGCCCCTCTCCTCTCATCCCCACCGGTAACCACTGGTTTGTTCTCTCTATCTGTGAGTCTCCTCCTTTTTGTTATATTCACAAACTGGCAACAGTGGTTCTTAAATCTTGGTGTGCATCAGATTCAGTCAGAAACTTGTTAAAAATACAGATACCTGGGTCCCACCAAATTAGGATCTTGGGGAAGGAGGTCACTGGGCATCAGTATTTTTTAACAAGCTCTAATTTTGATGCAAACCAAAATTTAACCATGAGTACATACAGTACCTTGCAGTTCTCAGTAATATGCTCACACTCAGATGTCTCATGCTGGATTTTAAATGCTAGCAGCACAGGGGATCTACTGGCCTTATTGGTTACCTTCTTCCAGGACTCAGTACACTGCCTGACACAGAGTAGGTGCTCAATAAATGTGACTAGTTGAAATGGACCAGATCCATGGAGGGAGTCTCACCGGATTACAGAGGTGCCTCCAGCAATGAATATGTTCCAAATTGCACTTCCTTCTCAAGCCTTGTGGCCAGTGGTGGATAGAAGGTGAATTATGATGTGTCAGAACATAGGACCTTGGGGAGTTCCGTAACCAAGAGGAGAAAGAAGTAACAACAGCCAGTAAAGACAGAAAGAACTGCTTCTCCCTTCTTCCCCCTCCAAGTTCCTAGTGGAGAGCTGAGCCCAGCATCCTAGACTTGTGTGACTTACACAGGCGAGCTTCTGAAGACTAACTTCACTTTGGTACCCTAGCCTTCAGCAGCTCAAGGCGTTGGCTTTCGGAGCAGACAAGAGGCTTTTAAGTAGCAGAGCTCCCTGCTCTCAGCAAGCCCAACACCATGGGGAAGGGAGACACCTTGGAAGCAGCACCAACCACCTCGACCTACCGCTCTGTCATGGAGGAGTATGGTTACGAAGTAGGCAAGGTCATTGGCAATGGCTCCTATGGGACGGTGTATGAGGCTTACTACACAAAGCAGAAGGTCATGGTGGCTGTCAAGATGATCTCAAAGAAGAAGGCCTCTGATGACTACCTTAACAAGTTCCTGCCCCGTGAGATACAGGTGGGAAAGGGGGCTAGAGGAGGGAACTGGAACCAAGCTGCTTAAGGCTTTTCAGAAAGGGGTTAGAAGAGGGTGGAGCCGGAAACCCCCAAACCATAACTGAATGACTCATTGGGCAATAAGGAAAATTACTTGATGTAAATTCAGCCTCCTTCCACCTCACCTCCAGGCCCTCAGAAAGGAAAAGAGCAAAGCATAAGATTTGTCCCTAGGCTACCAGCCCTCTGGGGTTTGATCCTGTTGCAAAGTTCTAAGAAGGTAGCAGTGAGTGAGTAGGAGAGGGCTGGGAGCGCAGTCAGGGTTCTCCCTTCCTGGCTTTGATGGGTCCCTCTCCCGGGGCCAGGTGATGAAGGTCCTGCGGCACAAGAACCTCATCAACTTCTATCAGGCCATCGAGACCACATCCCGAGTGTACATCATTCTGGAGTTGGCTCAGGGTGGTGATGTCCTTGAGTGGATCCAACGCTATGGGGCCTGCTCTGAGCCCCTTGCTGGCAAGTGGTTCTCCCAGATGACCCTGGCCATCGCCTACCTGCACAGCAAAAGCATCGTGCACCGGTGAGGGCGCTGCCACCTGGACACGGGCCTCTGGGCTCTCAAAGGGGTTTTATGCATATCTCCCATTTTCTGCTCTCTTTTTTCCTCCCTGACCTCTCTCCTCAGTATCTAGGCCTATTCATCCACTTTATTTTAATCATCTGGTCAAGAACACTTATTAAGTGCCCACTGTGTGCAGAGCCCTTTGCAAAAAGCAATGGTGAGCACCTAGTGGTCCTCAGGTACCATCCTCTCTCCTCTTTGGGTTCTGCTCACAACTCCAAGGCTTTCTTCCCTCTGCTCCTGTCCTCATAATGGCCTGTCTCTCCCTCTTTGCCTTTCATCTCTGGCCCTTCAGCTCCCGGTCTAATACTAAGCCCTCTCCTGACCCCCAGCCTTTCTGCTGCTGGTAGGGACTTAAAGTTGGAGAACCTGCTGCTGGACAAGCAGGAGAATGTGAAGATATCGGACTTTGGCTTCGCCAAGATGGTGCCTTCTAACCAGCCTGTGCGGAGTAGCCCTTCCTACCGCCAATTGAACTGCTTTAGCCACCTCAGCCAGACCTACTGTGGCAGCTTTGCTTACGCGTGCCCGGAGATCTTGCTAGGCCTGCCCTACAACCCTTTCCTGTCTGACACCTGGAGCATGGGCGTCATCCTCTACACTCTAGTGGTCGCCCATCTGCCCTTTGATGACACCAATCTGAAGAAGCTGCTGAAAGAGACTCAGAAGGAGGTCACTTTTCCACCCAACTACCCCATCTCCCAGGAATGCAAGGTGCGGGCTCCCCCAGGGGGGCTGAGGCCTCATGGGTGACCTACGGGGAGGAAATGCCCAACCTAGACCTCCCAACCCTGGGGAAGGCTCTCCCCCTACCAGAGCCATCTCACACCCTCACTCTCCCTTAGAATAGCGGGGAGGGCTTTAGGGCCAACCCCTGGGCTCCCACCTTGGATGTGAGTGATAAGCAGGTTTCAGCCTCTACCTGTTTAGGCCAGAAGGGAAATCCTGCAAGGATTCCCCGGCAGGGAACTCCTCCTCCCCTTACCCCTCAAGGTGTTAGCTTTCTGAGCAGACAGGAGGCTTTTAAGGGTCAAATCAGGGCCACCCTCCCTTTCACCAGAGTGGTGTGATGGGCTATCCTGCTTCTTTCTTAGGTCCAGCTGCTCATTGCCTGTGTGGCACAATGAGGGGCCAGCTCAGCCAAGACCTCTCTCTCCCCTGCCCTAGAACCTGGTCCTCCAGACCCTACGCCAAGCCAGCAAGCGTGCCACCATCCTGGACATCATCAAGGATCCCTGGGTTCTCAAGTTCCAGCCTGAGCAACCCACCCATGAGATCAGGCTGCTCGAGGCCATGTGTCAGCCCCCCAGCACCACTAATCATCACCAGTCCTTGGAAATCAATACATGAAAGTGGCTGAGGGAGGAGGGGGTTGAGAGGAGAGCACAGCAGGAGGGTCTGGGGCTAAAAATCTTTTATACCAAAAATAAATCTAATTCTGTTTAGTTTCATCAGGTGGAGTCAAAGACATTCTTTCCTCAGAGGAAGCTTAGCAGGGAACACTGTTGAGGGTAGGAGGTGGATTTCTGCCCAGAGCCTGTAACCAGTCATCTTGACAGCCGTTAAATCAACAGGGTAATTCAGTGTAGCTCACATGTGGCTTGTTGGGGAGGCGGGAAGGTGTGCTCAGATGAACACCTGCTTTGGGGAAGCTTTGTTATCCTTGCCGAGTACATGCTCATTATATCTCTGTGCACTCTAAATGTTCAAGCAGTGGGGCAGAGGCCCTGGTTGCTTTGTTTGGTCACAGCTCTGCCTGTCTGTGGTTCAAAGAGATGACACTTTGTTTTTTAAGAAATGAGTATCCGGATGTATGCAATATCTCAGTTCCTTCCTCCTCCAAATACCACCTTAACCACTACTGAAACCATCCCAGTGAATCATGGCCCCTCTCGTTACAGCTCCTACACACAGAAGTGACAGTTCAAACCAAGCCTATTAACTGTGTGTTTTGGATAAAGGAAAGCTACTTGCCCCCTTATCTCTGTATTCTCCTTCCCTGTCCTTGAAAAGGGGCTTTGTAAAATGAAAATGGGCGGTAAATCACGGGGCTCTCTTGGCAGAGGCCCAGTTCGGGGGAAGTGATGAGGAAAGACTCAGGGACAGCTCCACACGGTTCTAGAATGAGTAGCAGATGGCAGTTTCCTGACCCTCGGCACTAGACAACTCTAGGAGAAACTGCCTTGGAAGTTGGAGCAGTATCTGCCTGGAACATGCGGGTTAACATGTTGGAAACTCTGCTCCATCTCCCCTTCATCACTCCCATTATTATTCATTTCTTGAAATGAAGCTCCAAGGACCAGGGGACAAGTTTCAGGTGCACACAAGGCAGTATAAGCACTGGGGTTCCATCTGCCCAGTTTTATTGGGAACGAGGCATTGTAACTGCTAGCCAAGGGAGCCGGGGCTCCTCCCACACCAAGATCCCTCTTCAGAGTTGAGCCAAGGACCCTTTTCTCAGGCAGGGTCACGCCACCACCCCCAGGAGGACCTCCCAACCAGGCCATGTTCACGTTCCTCTAGCTGAGCACTTGGCACTTAAGGAAAAGCGAACAACAAAGGCAGCATCGGGTAGACAAGCCCAGACTCATCAGGACACCCACTCGGCCAACTGCTTTAGTGCTTCTTCATCTTCATCCGCTTTGGGAGCTTTGGGGACAAGGACACCCAGAGAAAGAAAGAAGTGTTAAGGCTCAGCAACTTCCAACCACTCCCTGCTCTAAGGCTCAGAGCTGGTGGAATTCTCTCTCCTGGCAAAGAACCTAAGGGTGTGGCCTTGCTGGGCTGCTCCTGATCCCCACAGCACCTTTGCGCAAATCGGAAGGGGCCTCTTTCTCCCACCATTTGCAGCCCTAAACCAGGGAATACAGCTTGCTGAGTGGAGCGCAGACCTGATTTCAGTCCCCATTACCCTTCAGTCAGGTGCCCTTATGCAGTCAACAACCCTGTGCAACTCTAGCAGCCACTCTCTCTGCCTGGATCCTCTGAGGCAGGATGGATGAGAAATAACTTTTCCCCATATCTGTCCCAACCTCTAAGTCCTTGAGATGACAGAACAGCCTCAGGTACCTGGCACTGCAGGCAGGTGTGTGGAGGGTACACTGGGCAGCGTGACTGGGGGTTCTTCCTCCTTGTCGCCCACATGTAACAACTCTCGGGCCAATTCCTCCTGCTCCAGTTCCTCTAGCTCCTCCAACAGTTCATCCTGGATATGGGACGACAAGACCATTCAAGAAGGAGAAAGGAAAATTCTACTTCCAAAAACGTACTACTTTTGGAGTACCCCCCAACTTGCCCCACAATTCTCTCGGGCATTCCTTCTGGCTGGTCCCATGCCTTCTCCAGTACTCCCTGATCCCCTCACTCCCAGTCACCTCATCCACATCATCTCCAAAGCCCATGGGCCGAGAAATGGCATCTGAGATCTGCTGGGCCACCTCCTGTTGTTCTGTGATGTCAGCCATCAGTTCATCCACCTTGTCAATGTCCCTGAGAACAGGATACATAGCCCAGAAATCAGGTAACAACGCCCCCGACCTTTTCATCTCACACGAATGAAGCCTCTCCTGCCTGTGGCTTCAGACTGATAAATCCATGGCTACCAGGTAAGAGATCTCTGGAAAGGTATAAAGAGGCAAGTCTGGGCTAAAAGATGACAAGAGGACAGGCTGATCTCTCTTCACTGAAGGATCTTTCAAAATGAGGAAAATCATCTTTCCTCCCTAGAATGCCCCAGCCAGCAGAGATCGTCTTGCAACAAGCAAGGAGGCTGACAGAGGTCTAGGCATCACAGGCATCTCTACTGTAAATTCACATTAGAAGAGGTTTTAGGATTCAAAGTACCACAAGCTACTCTCCCCAGTGCCCGGGCCCCCTCCTCCCGTCCCCCCATACCCACATGTCCTGGTAGGCCTTCTTCATGCCTCGGGCAGCAAGCTCCATGGTACGAAGCACTTCTGCATTGGTGGTAGCATTCTCAATGGCCTCACGCTGAAACTCCAGGGTGGATAATGTCCCGTCGGTTTGTGCCAGCTGCTGTTCCAACCTTTTCTTTCTCCGCAAAGCCTGTAGGGCAGCTGACCCAGTCCACACCCTGAACATCAGAGCCAGACGCCCCTGCTTCCCACCTGGGCCCTCCCAATTGGTGCCTCTCCCCCATTACCTCTCTTATTCTTGGTCCCATGCTTCTTGGCGGTTTGTAGCTCCTGCTGAATCTTCTGCTCCAGAAACTCCTGTTTCTTGATCAGTATCTTCTCCGTCTCCTTCAGTTTCTGTATTGCTTCTTCAGGGGTTGGCCCCTTCTCCTTTTTCCCTGGAGTCCAGTGGAGCAGCCCACATTGTATGAAGGAAAAATATTAGCCAGCAATCACTGAGCGCATAGTACATGCTATGCACTTGACTGTTATTATTAACCCCCAAATGACTTTCAACAATGAATATACCATCTCCACTTTACAAATGTGAAAACAGGCACAAAGATGTTAACATTTTTGTCTAAAACCACAACCAGTAAGAGATTGCACAGGAATTGAAGAGTGGCAGTATGACTTCCAAAGCCAGTATTCTTTTGCTATTTCAGCCTACCTTTCAAGTCATTCCCCATCTTTTTTTTTTTGGTTCACAGCAAACTGAGTAGAAGGTATAAAGACTTCACATATACTGCCTGCACCCACACATACATAACCTCTTCACGATCATGTCCCTCACCAGAGTTCAGTCACTTTTATAATCACCGTTCCACTTGCTATCCTAGGAGATATTCAAGGTCTTGATTCCACAGGCTCAAACTGAACAAAGTACAGGGGGCTAGAGAAAAAAAAATCTGATCTCAATTTTTTCATTCATCTTCTGTACTTCTAACAGACTTATTTAAAAACAAAAATCTGATGGTCCTTGCCTGCTTAAACTCCTTCCATACTTTCCATTGCCTACAGGATAAAGTAAAAAAAAAAAAACTTTAACAAGACACACAAGGTCCTTCAGACCTGGCCCTGTTTACCTCTCCATCCACACTTCTAGTTCCCTCTTCTTTCAGTACATGCACACGCACATGCACACACACACCTGTACACAGGCACACACTCACACTCACTCACAAGGCAGCCAGAACTTCTCATTTTCGTAAATACACCACACTTTTTCCTGCCTCTGTTTTGCACAGCTACCTCTGCACGGAGCACCTCAATGCCCAACCTGGCATACTTCTAGCTTTTTGGATCATCACCGGCCACGCCTGCATGTTCAGTGTGCCCCTGGTTTTTAGGAGACTCTCCATCATGGAGTTGCTACACTACACTGCAAATGCCAGCTTTGCTTGTCTTCCCCCACCACGTAGGCAGATTGTCAGAAGATTGCCAGCTGGGATTGCCTGTGGTCCAGGATAAAGTAAGCACCAGTATTCTGGACAGGGCTGGATGCCAGAAACTCGCCCCTCAAGTCTAAACAGTGGGAGCCAGCACAGTCGCCACGCCCTCCACTCTCCTCCCCTCCGGGGCCTCGAACTCTCCCCTCGAGGGTGGGGGAAAGAAGGCAGACGGAGCCTGACAAGGCGGCGCCTCCTGGCCCGGGACAAGGCCTCGCTGGGCCTTCGGGGTTTGCGGGACAGCATCTCCCAGGTCTCTCCCCGCCCCCTGCGGCCAGCACCTCCCGGTGACCGGTCTCGCCCGAGCTCACCCCTCCCGAAGAGTCGGCCGAGACCACTCATCGCGACCCTCGCCTCTCCCGCCTCCGCCCCACGGCCGCCCGCGCGCTTCCGCCTCGCTCCCGGGAGGGCGGGGCTCACGACTTCGAGACCCGCCTCGGCCAATCCCTCCTTGGGCACCGCGGCGACATCATCAACTAGCGCTAGCGAGGCCACTGCTATCACGTGTGAGACACCAGCCTCAAAGCCACGTGCTCCTCTTAAAGCGGCAGCTGGGTTTCCCACGACATAAAGGGCCGCCCAACCCCCACCCCAAAACAAAGTCTTTGTTTCCTGGAGGTTAATGTGCCGGGTAATGCAGCCCACTGCTTGGGGCCAGTGGAAGAGTTCTTCACGCCCTTGACAGAGCTCCGGAGAGGGGTGGGGATGGATGGGTACAAAGCGATCATGTTCTTGGGTTTGCCACAAGTTCATAAGGCAGGACCTGATGCGGTCTAACGCGTCACACTCCGGTCCAGGAACCTCCCAGTCGCCCACCCCAGGTCACAGTCTAAAAAAAGCAGAAACAACCCACACTGGCTAGATCTCTTCTGTCACACAGAAATTCACTTTAATAATTTACAAATGCACCTGAAAATGCCCTCCTGGTGTTCCTGCGGTTCTATGCCTCAAATGAGGTTCATTCACAAGATTGGGCTTCAGGGTCCAGCTTGGGCCTTTGCAAATGTCTCTAATCCTTGGGTTAGGATCTGAAGGTTCATTCCGTTCTGGACATGAATGCAAGTAACACCTAGAAAGAAAAGCCACATTTCATTAGGCCTTCAGGGATCCCCATGATCGCTCTCACCTTTTTGGGGTGTCACGGGCATGCAAACTCTCCATCCTGTACATATCTACCTAACCCCTTCCCTCTTAGGAGCCTTTTCTCCTCACTCCCCAAATGGCTGTCCTCACCACTCAGTACCCAGTTTGCTGACGTCTACAATATTCCGCCTCTCATCATCAAAGAAGATCATCTGGGAGAGAGGAACTCCAGTCTTCCGCTGCAACCTGTGCAAGACAGGACGGGTGACCACGCTGGCTTCTTAGCTCCTCCAGCCTTTCTGTTCTTCTTTCTCCCTGTTTCTACTCTTATCGCCGCCTACCTCTCGAAGTGTGTGATCTTGCTGCCTGGATAGATTTCCCGATGAACAAAGTATCTGACAAGGTCAAAGAGCTCCAATAGCTGATTGGCCCCTTCAACCTCACCTGTCCTGCAAAAAGGTGTAGTAAGATGGGATCAGGAGAGCGGAAGGCCAGGGCTGGAAGTGAATGTACATTTAACCAGGGGGAAATCAACTTGCTGTTTTTCTGGGATGGGTAGGCATCCTCGGCCCTTATTCAATTCCATATCCTTCGCGTCTGACCCAGGTGGCACTGAGCCAATGTTTGATAAACAAAAGGCACAGGGGAGGGTACCATTCGAAAAATATGCAAATACCTGCAAATTTGTACCTCCTAAATTTTTGTAGCCAAGGGGTTACACGGGAAGCCTCCTCATGCACACATATCTCAGCATTAGACTGACAGTACTTTCAGTCTCTCTTCTTACCGTGAGGCGGCCGCGACGGGTACACCCAAGCCCTGCAACCGTTCCAGGACCTCAGGCACCTCCGGGTACAGCCGGACCGTCTGCCCCCGCCTGTCGCGTACAGTTCCATCACTGGAGAGGGCGAGAGTGCGCTCAGCTTCCGCGGGACCCTGCCTGGCCCGGCCTCCCCAGCCCTGCCTCACCTCCTCTTGTGGAACGGGGGGTCCACATGCGTGTCCACCCAGAACGGCCAGAGCGTGTAATCTGCGAGAGGAAGGAGGGGGAGGGCTCAGTCTGGGAGGGCGCACGTTCTCGAGAGCAGCAACTGGGGGTTGGAAAGAGAGCGTCCTACGACATTCCCCAATGCGGTCCCTCACCCAGATCGAAGACCGCGAGCTTCGGGAGCCGCGCCATAACCCGCACCCACAGGATGCGCGCACCGAGGCCGCCCCGCCGTCCTTAGAGAAGCGGCGACTAGAGCGTCGCCAAGTGGGATTGGTGCGATGGTTCTGGAGACCGCGCAAGAGCGCCTTCTGGTGGTGGAGAGGGGAAGGACAGCTCACAGGACCACAGCGGTCCTCAATCTCTCCAAGTGATCTTCCCTTACTTCTCCACCCTGCCGCGCCTGACCAGCTTCTACTGAACTAGAGAAGCCAAGGAAGGGAAGGCCTTTCTTCTGGCACCGGCCTCTCATTTTATCTCACCAACTGAGACCTAAAGTGACCCATCATAGCTTGTCACTCCTCACTCCACCTTTCTCCTTATCAGCCTCTCCACCAAAGTATAGAACCCAGAGCCCTCAGCAATATTCCAGCCATAAAAGAATGTAGTGCCTGCAAAGTCCTTGAGGCCTTTCTTGAACCAGGCTCAAATGCCCAGTAGGGTCACAATGGGAGAGAATTCACTCCCCTAGTTTCTACCATCCATGTCAGTAATACGCTGATAGATATGTAACAGCCAATTTGGGGAGAAGGACTGATCTGTACTGTTTGTTGACTTATATTTCTACCATGGCCAATTTTAAGCTACCAACATGAAGTCACTTAATACGGGGTTGGGAAGAAAGGCCAACAGTTAGCTCTGGAGTCAGTCAGAGAGTAGGCTTTCTTAGAGTCTGATAACCCCTCTAGGGGCACATTTCCTTCCACAGTCCTACTCCTTCAGCCTGGTGTAACTGTGTGTGCCTGGGTCCATTTTGATTTCAGTCACATTTGTACAATGGAAGAAAGATTCCAGGAAGCCAGGAAATATTTTATTGACAACCAGGGACATAGCCATAAGAGAGGGAAGCACACAGGACTGCAAACTAAAACCCAACAGCCAGCAAGGGCCCTTTGGGCTAGGAACACTGCATCCTGGGGTCCTCACAGTCTCCCACCAACTGACACACACGACTGGGCATCCAGGAGAGGGGGCAGTGGCTCTGGTGTCCCACAGAGTGCGAGGATATATGATGCCTCATTATGAGCGACAGGGTAAGGAGGTAAAATGGAGGGGGGTCCATCACTGCCTAAGACCACCTCCTCCTCTCAGAGCCAACACCAGGTGGAGGACTGAACCACCTAGTATCTTGTAATCAGCTGCTGTCTTTTCATCGTTCCTGCAGGAAGAGGCAAAAAAAAAAAAAGCATTAGAAATATAATCTAAGTAGGGTTCTTAACCTGGGTTTCATGGATCTCTCTGGGGATTTATGAACTCAGATGAGAAAAAAAAATTACACTTTTACTTTTTACTAACACCTAGCTGAAATTTGGTTATTTCTTTCAATTTTGAACACAGGCAAAAACCTGCACTGGTGTTAGCAATATGGGTAACCTGTTAACAACAGAAATTAGGTATTTTAATATCATATCACAACTATTTGTAGGCATCCTGAAAATATTTCGGAAGTATAGTAGTTGTTATACCACCATTGGATCTCAATGTATTAATGAAGAAGCACATAGATTATTATATCACAGATTTCCTTTTTTAGTAGTTTGATAACTCTATTTCAATATAATTTGTTTCTTTTGTAATTCTATGCATTTTAGTTTATGTCTGCAAAAATCTTATTCTGAGAAGGGGCTCCTAAGCATCCTCAAATCGCCAAAGAGTCTGAGGTAACAAAAAAGAGGCAGGCCTGCTCCACCTCCAGCATCTAGATCCTCATTGGCAGCACGTAAGATTGTCACGCCCTTATTCCCATTCCAAACTCACATCTGTTTACCACTGTAGATAAGCCGCTGCTGCTGTGGCGGGATTCCCTCTTTCTCCTCCACGCGCTCCTTGATTCGCTCCACCTTTAGAGGTACAAGGAGTCAGGGGCTGCTAAGTGGGTAGGACCGTGGAAATGGAAAGAACAAGAACTGTGCAGATGGCATGAGAGCTAAAGGTCTAAGTTCATCAGCACATCCAAACAAATGTTCACGTAGGGAGACAGGCATGGAGAGGTACTGGGCGTACATTACCTTGTCTGTGGGTTCAATGTCAATCTCAATCTCCTTGCCAGTCAGCGTCTGAAACGGCAAGGGTTTCATGAGTCCTATGGCCCGATACACAATTTCTCTCCTAGGTAAAACATCCTGGCCTAGTCTCTGGGGATCCACTATCTTCTGAGAAATGCACATTCTCAGCAAAGCTGATCTGAGGTGTCAGAAGTGACCATACCCAGTTTCAGACATTTTTAGCTTGTGGACAACTTTGAAAGGGCAAGATTCTGTGAACCACGTGACCTTCTTAATCTCACAGGTCATTTACCTCCATCCCACTAGAATCTATGAGAATACTGTAATGCCTTTGAATAAGACAGCAATGAGAGTTGTCCTGAGGAAACTATTCCTTTAGGTGAGAAGGACCTTGCTTTATGTACCAATGCTAGAAATTAACATTCAGATAATTCAAAGAATTCTCAAGGACACTAGAGATCACCTCTGACCAGCTTTTTAAGTAATGTTAAAATTCAACATTCTATTCTCCCATATCTTCTCCAGACTTCTACCTAAATCCTAAGTTGCAGCTCTGGTCTTCCTGACTTCTTCCATAGGCTAAGAGCTGCTGATATCCAAACACAATACTTACACTCATGTTGTGCTTCATCCAATCTAATCTCCCATCCATCTTTGCTCCTAAAAGCTCCATCCACAGTCTGCAGTTATCCAGACCACAAATGCATGGTGCTTCTGCTCTTTTTCCTGTTGTCATGCCCTCCTTCACTCTTTCTCAAACCTTCAAGAGACCCTTTAAGATTGATGACTTGTCCCCAGTGCACTTTAATACCTATTACAGCTAGTTGTTTAAGTGTCAAACTCTCCAACCTACACTCCAACTTCCTAAAGGACAGAGACTGTTCATCTCCCTAATCTAAACACTAAGCACAGCGTTTGACATATAAGTAGTCAATAAATATCTGTGGAAGGGCTAAGTACACCAGTGATCATATTATGATCACAGCCAACATTGCCTGAACACTTCCCAAGAGTCTGAAACTATGCAGTGTCTTACACGCGTCAATCCATTTAATCCTGCGAGTATTTATGAGCTATGTGCTACTATCACCACTCACAGATGAGGAAAATGGGGCTTGGACAAGTTAAAAAGCATACCAATGAAGTCAAAAGGAGAGTATGGGTCCAAACACAGACTCTCTGGCCCCAGAACCTGAGGTTTTATTTAGCATTCTCCTCAGTATTGCCCGAGTCTGGCTGATCTCGAAATGAGACCCAGTATTATTGGACCCAATACATCTTAGGAGTACGTGTCCATGGAAGACTCACAAAATAATATTTGGTTTCTACTTATGCTATTTACAAAGACCAGCATGAAGAAAAGTAGGACCTAATTTCTCAACCACAAAACTGGTTCAGTACTAAGGATATTAAAAAAAAATGCATGAGTAATTCCTATAGATTAATCTGTTTGGACGCAAAAGAATGAATTACAACAGTGATTCTCAAGTTTCCATCCCAACCCAAGCTAGTCTGTGTGAAAATTTTCAATAGTCTGTGGTAAAATGAGAAAAACGACGACAGCAGGGAGATTTTCATGAAACTATATTCAGGCGTGAAAATGTCCTTTTATGAAATGACAGTGACAATATATGGTATTTTTTTAAGGCTCTTAACTGACAAAACGAAAAGTATGCAATTCCATGTTGTCCACAAATTATTTCACCTTCTTGTTCTTAATACTTTAAAAGCAAAGATTCTATAACTAGACAATTCTATTTTTAGGTAACTAAGCTGGAGGAAAACTTGAAATTTGAGCACATATACAAAGAGGAACATGTGAGGTTTCCTAAAAGCAAAACATTAGAAATAGCTTAACGCCTGTTAATAAAAACCTATTAAACTATGGTATATCCATAGAATGACCTATTTATTATGCAACAGTTTACATACTAACATGGAAAGATCTAAAGAATGTATGAATATGTACTATTTTCTGTATGTAGATACCCACATGCATACAAGTATAGAAGAAAGGGTTAAAAGTACACTAATCTCCTAAAACTGTGATTATCCTTGAGAGAGGAAGTAGGACTAAGGGGAGGGTTTATCAAAGCTAACTCTCTATTTAAATTTCTAGTAAAAATATATTCCTTTATCACATGAATATTTGCAAATATTGCTTCTAATTTAATAATAAAAATTTAAAAAGAGCACCGAAGACTCTAAGAGAAGGCCTAGAACTGCTCTCGTAAGAGTCAGATGCTTGGACCCTAGGACGTTTAAAAAAAATTACTGGTCTATAAAATCTAAAACTCTACGACTGGCCCTTTGTTTCTGAAACTGCCTGTAGAAACCCATGTATGTATCCAGAGAGCGATCTGGCATATCCCAGCAACAACACCTCTGGGAAAACAATTCTATGTCCAAAAATATACCTATGAATGAATGGTCACTGCAGCCTTTTGAAACTGAACAACTAGAAACACAATCTAAATATCAAACAATTCAGGGTTAAATAAATTATGGTACAAACACACAGGGAAAATCACAATCCTCAAATAATGTTTAGAATAACAGTAGAATTCCAACTTTGTAAACAAAACAAAAAACAACACACACATGTATTTATATGCTTTCAAGAAAGTTTGAAAGGACATAGACATCAGTGCTTTTACCTTGAGTTCTGAGGTTATGGGTGATTTAATTATTTTCTTTGTGCTTTTCTGTATTTTCCATTAATACCATGAATATATTGAAATGAGAAAAAAAATTTTAAACAATGTCCTTGACGAGAGTAAAAGGAAACAACTCTGTAAAGCAGCACTGACCATTAGCGACAGACACTTAATGAAAGGCACACATACAATACTACATAGTCTAAGAGCCACATTTTTAAAAGGTAAAATTAATTTTAATATTCTTAAACCCAATATAGTCAAAATATTATCACTTCAACATGTAACCAATATAAAAATTAATATATTCTACGTTCTTTTTTTCTGACCAAATCTTCAAAATCTTGTGTGTATTTCATACAGCGCACCTCAATTCAGCTGTCAGGTTTTCATCTGAAATACTTGATCTGTATTTAAATTTCAGAATTTACAGTTGAGAAAGTAGATTTACATTTCCAACTTGTTCCAAACAAGTTAAAAAGTTTCCCAATAACTGAATAAAGTTTCAGTTCTTAGATTTAACTTAGTTAAAATTAAATACAGATAAGATAAATAACTGAAATAAAATTTCAATTCCTCAGTCTCACTTGCCTCATTTCAAGTGCTCGATAGCTCATGTGGGCTAATGGCCACCGTACTGGACGCTGCTCAAGCATTCCAGCTAATAAATGAAGCAACACTAAAATTAGAATACCCTCAATTCTGTAACCTCCAAAGAGGGGGAAATAACGGATCTAGGCCATGATTAACATCACAGAAGGCAAAACGACCTGACAGAAGTACATATCACGACACAGCTTATGAATTATTCTCACTCATGAACAGACATAAAAGACTAATCAAGCCTCTAGATCTTATGAACAACTGACAGGAAATACAGAGGAAAGAGGAATATATTAAAAGACAACATGGGGATATAATCATTAAAATCCAAACTACAGGAAACTATAATGGACTAACAACCTAGATTATTCAACATGAGAAAAAGGGGGTAATGGGGAATTACAGATTTAAAAAGGCCTAAAATACTTATCAACCAACTGCAATGTATGGATCCTAGCTGGAAATTTCAATTGTAAAACACAAATGAGACAACAATAGTGAGAAACCACTGCTAATTTTTCAGGTGTAATAATTGTAGTTACATTAGAAAAAGAAGTTCTTTTTTACAGGTAAATACTAAAATATATACAAATAACATATGCTATGCCATCTGGGATTTGTTTCTTAAAACATCAGGTAAGGAAAGTTGGCGAGTATAAATAGAAAAAGACTGGCCACAAGATGTAGCTCTTTCAACTAGAGGGTGCATTATTTCTTCTCTCTGCTGTTGTATATGTTTATTAAATTAAATTTGTTTTAAAATAACTGAACAATTTTCAAAGATATGCTTTATAGTCAATTTTAAAAGATCATGTCACACTGGGTTTCTTCCCTCAAACCTGGTCACTGTGACCCGGGGGTACATTCAAAGCTACTCTACGAAGAACCTAAGCACGACATTCCGCTTTAGGCATGGGAAGCGATATAAAAGAATTTAAGTGATCCAGTCTTTGCCAAAAATCTTTTTCAAGTGAAGATTTGCAACCAGGAGACAATACATACAATTAATAGAAAAAAACAATATACAAGGAAATGCCACACTGAATATTATTGTCCAAATACAAGGTGCAATGATAAAGTGCTGCGGTGAGGGAACATCGATAGTGATTAATTTAAACCTGAATGAGATAACTTTCCATACCCACTATAATAGCTAAAATAAAAATGAGTGCAAAGCAGCTGGAATGCTCACTCATCTGCAGGTGGGAATGTAAAATGGTACAACCTTTTGGAGAACTGTTTGGCAGTTTCTTTTAAAGTTACATATATCTACCATGTGACCCAGTAATTCCATTCCTAGGTATTTATCCAAAGGAAAAGAAAACATAAGCCCACAAAAAGACAATGATCACAGAACATTGTGGCTATTCATAATAGCCAGAAAGTGGGAACAACCCAAATGTCCATCAATACGAGAATGGATAAACAAATATAAGTATGTGATACAGTCATCTAATGCAATGTTACTAGGTATTGAGAAGGAATTACAGATGCAACAACAGACATAATGCTGAGTGAAAGAAGCCAGACCGAGAAATTATATATTCTACAATTCCATTTTTATGAAATTCTAAAACTAACCTATGGAACTTTCAAAGGGTAGGGGTGAAAATGCTCTAGATCCTGTGGTTACACGGGTGTATACTGTTATTAAAGACTCCTTGAACTAAACCTTTAAGAATTTTGTGTTTTATTTTGTTTAAAAAAGCATGAATGAGAAAACTGGGGCTTAGATGGTAAAGACAGTTGCCCCAAGTAATTTGCTAAGAGGATATCAATGTAGGATCTGAGGTTAGGGAGTAATACGATGAAAAAGAACTTTAAAGAAGACATGTACACTCTGATTTTGCATACCATGTCTTGGTGTAGACTCAAAACTCTAGGAGGGTAGGGTGGAAGGAAGACCTTGTTGCAGGTATCCCAGAGAAATAAAGACATAAGTCAATGAGACCCCAGACGAGAATAAGAGTAACTGGAATGGAAAGAAAATCAAGCATAATGAGGTATCAGTATTGGAAGAAAAATTAGGTTCTATACGAGAATAACGACTCTATAAAGAACTGGGTTCCAGATACCTGGTAGACTGATGTGATCAATGTATGAGATGAGCTTTGGAAAGAGGGCTTAAGATAGAAGATGATGTATTTAATTTTAGAAAGAGAGAGAGAGATGAGGTATCAAGAGAAGATTTGAATCAGGAGAGTGCCAACTAAAGAATGTCACTTCCCATCTGGTTCTACAAGAATTAAGTCATTAGCTACTGCAGTCACTGACCTTCAACCCAGCCTGAAGGAGCTCAGGGTGGAGCTGATGAATAAGGCACTCTGTGCTCTGGGAAAATTGGCAGAACAGGCCTTAAATAGTTAGATATTTTTAGGAAAAAATTTTATAAACCCAAATTCTTGTATCTTCCCATACTCAGAGAAGCACTAAAACCATTAACTAAGATGTCTGTTCCTCTTGACTAGCAGGAACCTTCTACCGAGATATGTGCTTGATTGATATGCTGACCTCCCCCACTAACCTCTTTGGAGTAATTCCTCAAAGCTATGTAAGAGGCTGTCTCCTAAGCTATAGTTCTCAGTAAGTTCCCAAATAAAACTGAATTCACACCTCTCATGTTGTGTGTTTTTTCTTTAGTTGACAAGGGATTTAGTCACAAAGGACTGCAGAAGGAGATAGGGAACAAGCCAGCTACACGGAGAATAACATTTGAAGAATGAATAATTCACAAAGAAACCCTGCTAAAAAAAAATATCAATTGTTAAGTAATTCACAGCCAGCTAATTGCTTTCAAGAGTGTTGAACATACAGAAAAAGAAAGATGGACCGAGAAACCCATTTGAAAATGGAAAGAGAAGTGTTTTGGGCAAGGAGACTGACAGTTTTAGACAAGTACTAAATAAAAATGGATTCAAAGAAAGTAGAACCTTGCTACTCAAAGTGTAGTCTCCAGATAAGCAAGATCAGCATCACTTGGGAGCATGTTAGAAATGCAGAATCTCAGGTTCCAACCCAGACCACTGAATTAGAATCAGCATTTTAACAAGATCCCTAGGTGATTCTTACTCATGTCTAAGTTGAGAAGCCAACTAGAACACAGGTATTTTCTTAAACTGCAGGTCTCAACCCATCAGTGGGTTATGAAATTAACTAGGAATAGAATTCAAAATACCGGAACATAACACACAGTTATTTTGTGTTTGTACAGGATCATGAGGTAAAAATTTTGTGTGTAGGTTAAGATTTTTTAAAATGTTTACGAAACACAGAACACAAGTATAGTAATAACCCCTTCTTTAGACTAAAAGGATATGAGAACCCATATGTATCTAAAAGATAAAAGCATTCATCTGCTAAGATTTCTCAGACTTCTTGGACAGTGACCCACATTGAGAAATACATATGAACTAATAACATATATATGTATGTAATACACATAAAAACAAAAATAAAAATTTCACAAAACAGTACCCTTACCCAGAAGTATATCCTGATATTTATATTTTATCTTTCTTTTTTTGTTGTTGTTGCGTCTGGCCCATTGGCTTATTAAACTGATTTTACGTTAGTGATCTTTTATAGTCACTACTCAAAATTCGAAAACAATGACCTGTAACATGCTGCTTGATCTTTCCTTAGCTAAGAGGTAGCTCAGAAGGACTGAAGAGGTTAACAGCTATTATACATGGTAAATATACTAAAAAGCTGATGAAATAACAACAGACTTAATTAGCAGTAAAAAAAAAAAGAAGTACACTCATGTTGCACTGCATCAACTGTTAGTTTTTCTCTCTCTGTCTGAAGGTACAAAGGAGGAAACAGCAGACAAGACTAATATGGGTTGGGAACTGGTGAAGAACCAGGGGAGTTCAGATGGAGATGAAGGAAACTTCACTGCTAGTATCAAGTACCAGGGCACTGATAACTAACCTGCCTCAGTCAAGGAAGTGAGGCTGGTCCAGGATGATGGCTCAGAAAGTCAGGTGCTGACTGAACACAATCCCAGCTTTGGTTTCCTGAAGGCCGGCTGAGATACTACGCCTTGGCGACAACTAGCAAAAGCTCACAGTCTAGTCCCTGAGAAGCCCCCAGTTCCCTAGGCTAATGTTTTTGTGCCGTGCTCGCAGGAGCCTACGTTAGAGGCTGGGAGAAGCAGGTAACCTGGGCATGAAGGATGGAGAAACAGGGCTTATTCTAAGAATCCGAAAGAGGAGGTCAAGCCGCTGCTAGGCCTTCTTTATGACCGCGAGGGTTCGAATACAGCGAGACCCCGGACAAAGGCGGCCTCCTTCTGGGTCATGCCACGGTCCTAGAGTGAAAGCAGGAACATCAGAGACCCCGGGGTCGTCTAGCTGGGCCAGCCCCCAGCTCTCAAAGCCCTCTCGGGCCCCCCTACTTCCCATCACCCCTCGCGCGGAGCCCCGAGGCTGTCAGCCCCCTCCAGGTTCGGGAAAGGCGTGGTTTCCCTTCCCCGCTTCTCCCTTAAGGCACAGCGGCCAGCCTAGTACCACTGCGTCTTGGCAAGGCTGGAGGTGCTCCCACCTTCACTTTAATTAGCATCTTCTTCTCAGTTTGGGGCTGCACACAGATAAATTGCTGCTTCTACCGCTGCGGTCGCCGATCCCGCTTCCCAGCACTCCGCCTGTGAGTCACTTCTGCTTCCGGGTCACTGTCTGGCTCCACCTCCTTCCCCGCGCCCCTCTTCTTTTCTCTGGGTTCCCGAAAGGCGTTTCGTTTCGCTGGCGTCGTAAAAAAAGGGGGAAAAAAAAGGAGGAGGAGGAGGTCCGTTTAGTTACAGCAGAGTTGACGCCTCTGCGATTCTGAGAGTCCCTAGCGAGCCGGGGCTAGTGGAACGAACTACTTCTCCCATCATGCCAGGGGCAGCTCCGCGCATCCCACCCTGGGAGTTGTAGTCTCCTGCCCCTCGGATCCAATGGCATCCTCAGTGTGTGAACTCTGTTACCCAGAAGGCCTCGCAAGACCGCTACCGAAGCTAGAATTCCTCGGTTAATCGTTCTCTCCTGCAATTAGCGGAACCTGTTAGCGTGGCCCACAAGGCTCAGCGGGTCTCCGCGAGGCTAGCTGGTAAGTAAGAGGAGCTTCGGTCAACTGCCACCTGGACTACGGCGACAGGAAGTGAGTACCCCTATCCCGGAAGCTGGTTATGGGACCCCACCATTCCTTCCCGTTCTCAAATCTGCCTCTTACCCCCAAACTGCCCTTTGCAGGGGCGGGAAAACAAGAGTAATGGGGTAACGAATGCACCTTTTTAGGGTCACTCAGGATCCCATCCCAATTCTTCTTCCCAACAAATAGTACCTAGGATGGAGACACCAAGAGTAACTGAAACTACGGGACGAGTCCGAGGTGACCGTTTTGAGAGACTGTGCCTCGGCCGATGAATGCCCCAATCTTCCGAAACTTAAGCAAGGGATGGGCCCTGCCGCCAGTCCTAACGTGGTATTAAGGCCAAAGGAGAGATTGATTAAGCTACCCTTTCCTGGCTTTTCCTACCTTCCAGCCCTCAGATTCGTTGCTACCCCAAGGTCCCTGCCATGCCTCACATCGACAATGACGTCAAACTGGACTTCAAGGATGTCCTGTTGAGGCCCAAACGCAGTACCCTTAAGTCTCGAAGTGAGGTGAGCCTGCTTCCTTAGTTGTTCTTTCTTGATCCCAAGCTCCTGGTGGGCCAGTTCTGGGAAAATTCCTGGCTCTTGCCCTCCTACAATACTTGTTTTTTGGGTGAATGAAATACTCAGTTTCCTGTTCATATCTGCAGGTGGATCTCACAAGATCCTTTTCATTTCGGAATTCAAAGCAGATGTACACTGGGATCCCCATCATTGCCGCCAATATGGATACAGTGGGCACCTTTGAGATGGCCAAGGTTCTCTGTAAGGTAGGACTTCCCTCATGTCATTTCCTCAGTGGTGTCCAGTTTTGATGGCTGACTGCAGAGGTATGTGCATCCCCACCCCCACCCCAGGTCCACCCTGGCAGTCAATAGTCAGGATGCTCCAATTAACTGTTTTCTGCAGTACTAAAACCCCTTTACCTAATAACGTCAAAAGGCCATCTAAGTTAGTGAGATTCAAAGCTAAGTTTTGCCCTCATTTTTCAAATACATGTACAAAACTTTCCCTTTTCTCCTGTCCAGCAGTAATATATCCTGCCAACTTTTCCCACCACCCAGGTCACCCTCTCCAAATCACATGCATCCCTCTTTACACCATTGTTAGGATACTAAGTATTCACTGTTTTAATCCAGAAACTAAATACAGTTTGAGCCCTCAAAACTTCCTAACTAGAAGATCCTGGAGAGAAGCAGCTTATTTTCTTTCATGCTTTTTTTTTTTTTAATAAAATCTTCCTCTTCTTTAAGTCCTAGGTCCCTGGGAGGTTCAGGTATGTGCCCCAAATGGAATGTGTGTTTCTTAAATACAGGTTATTGTTCACTTTCAGAATGGAAGATACTGCTCCTGTAAGGTTACCTACCTCTGTATTTGTAGCTGAGAAGGTAGATAGTTACTTTGGGCATCCTGAGAACTTATACACTCTTCTGGTTAATCCATGTAGCCCTGATTGATGGAGTCTGCTGCTAATTGTGGCTCTGTTTGTCTTCTGGACTGCGTCTCCCTTTCTCTATTTTTGATTGCTGTAAGTCTGTGGAATGTCTGCTGTCATTTTTCTAAGGTTTATAGTTATGCAGCTGTAGTACTGTGTTTCTCCTGCCGTCTATCAACTGCTTAGGAATCCTGTTGTTGCCCATTGCCCACCTGGCCTGTCCACTAAAAGAATGGTGAATCTGACTTCAGTGTTAACAGATGCCCTGTAATATACGGACCTTGCTGGGACTGTCTTGATGCTTTATGTTTAGACTGGCTTTTCATTACTGCTGATGAGTGCTGAAGAAATCCGATTTTAGAGATAGAGCCAAGTCTCACAGTAATAATTAAAAGGTTGGATGCCAACAAGGATCTTTTTCTAGATCTCTAGCTTGGTGTGTAATTGGATATGCTTATCATGCCACCCTGTGCTGCTATATCTGCAAGGTCTGCTGACCTCCTAGAGTGATTCTTCTTTGTCTATCAGCATGCTGATGGCAGAATGTGGCTGAGAAAGCAGAATTCAGTACTGGCTTTAGCAAGGTAGTGTTGGTGATGACCTCTGAGTACAGCATTTGCACTTCCTTACTGCTGGCTGATATGTGACTCCCTTGGATTTCTCATTAGTTCCAAGATTTGTGCTGTCGCAGTCAACTGCTGTCTCTTGTCCGTTTGCATGTCTGTACTTTTAAAGCACAAGCGCCAGCATTCACAGCGGCCTTTGGATGCCTTTCTCAAATGGGATGTTGCCTATAATTTGCTGAGCTAGGGAGTACAAGTCTGGTGAGTCATGATATCCTTGAACTTGGCTGACTGAAATAGAAGGAATGAGATAGACTTTTCAGGTTGGTCCTGTCTCAAGAAAATGTGTCTTTTACTCCAGTGGAGATGGAGAAAGGGTAGCACCTTAATGGCTCTGTTAATCTTAAGGCCTTACCCTGTGTGATTTTGTGAGCATTTAGACTCACTGAATTACTGCTGGTAAATGGATCAGAAGAAACCAAAAATAGGTTAGTTCAGTACTAGGTTACCATAGGAGGAGGGGCCAAGACCTTGCAGGCAGACACTGGCTCCGTCCAGCCTTTTCACGGTTCTTTCTCGTCTACTGTCTGTCCCACTGTACCAACGGCTTGCCCTTGTCACCTTTTAAGTCAGAAGCACTGTACGGGCTGGCAGGTAAAATCCAATCCAGATTACTTAGTACTTTGGTGGGATTGTTTGACAAGTACTAGCTTACAGTAAAAAGCCCTGCTGGGTTTGTAGAGAGAATAGTGGTTAAACTGAAATCCCAGCTCAACCACTGACTTCTTCAAGTTGCTCTTTCCAGATTTCAGTCCTTTCATCCCTCAGGTAGAATAGTATAATGGTGTATTTCTGGAAAAAGAGACTCTGACAATGTTCTCTCCTTTTTAATGGCTCTTTCTTCTCCCCAGTTCTCCCTCTTCACTGCTGTCCATAAACACTACAGCCTTGAGCAGTGGAAAGAGTTTGCTAGCCAGAATCCTGACTGTCTTGAGGTAACACTGATCCCTTCCTTATCCCAGTCTTCCAGGAATCTTTGCTCAGCTTCCTGGGGACCAACCCTTACTCCCCACCCCCATTGGCTACTTAGCCAGGTCACTTCTGACATGCCGATGGTCTTGTTTCTCTCACAGCATCTGGCTGCCAGCTCAGGCACAGGCTCTTCGGACTTTGAGCAGCTGGAACAGATCCTGGAAGCTATTCCCCAGGTGAAATACATATGCCTGGATGTGGCCAATGGCTATTCCGAACACTTTGTTGAATTTGTAAAGGATGTGCGGAAGCGCTTCCCTGAACACACCATCATGGTACGTTTCTGTTACCTGGAGTTGGTCCATCCCTCTCCTTCCTCCACTCTTTCTTGCCAATTCATGTTGTTACATCAGTACGTGTCTCCTCTGCTATATTACGATTTTCCTAGTCCACTTAATTCCTATCACTGGGTAGTCATCCATGGTTCCATACTTTAAATATTTATTGACCAGTGCAGTTTTCTCTGACCCCTGAGACATCCAGCACTTTCTAAATCCAGCACCCGACATCATTCACCAATCCACAATGGAACACTTATGCATTGCACATACCTCTGGTACACAGACATCTGCCCACAGAAATGGACAGATACTACAGTCATATTAAATGGGTTGCATGAAATGATGTTTGTTTGTTTGTTTATTTATTTATTTATTTATTTATTTATTTATTTTTACAAGCTTAGGGGAGTGATGCCAAGGCCTCATTCTCTTCACAGCATTTAGGGGGTCTCTGTTCTGCCCATCAACAGCAAATATAACTGTGTAGATGGTATTCATTCAGCCTTCATTACCATGTCTTTCCCCTTTTCCTGAAGCCAGAGGTTTCATGACATAACAGCTTAAGTACAGGATGTGTCTGGGTCTTCTGGCAGGGACGGGGTGAGAAATCTACTGTAAATCAGATGTGAGCTCAGTCCAGCTGAACCCCAGCTTTACCCTAGTATGACAGTGACACTGGCCACTCACCCTCTTACCTCAGCTTGGGAAGCAGAGTCCTTTGAAGTGGCTTGTCTAAAAGCCCTCAGAGGGCCCAGTAGAGGGAAGCCAGGTACCTTTCTTTGTAATAATGTTGGAAGCACTGCACCTCCTCTGTTTCTGACCCTAAGAACACTCTGTTTTGATGGTGCTGTCCCAGGCAGGAAACGTGGTAACAGGAGAGATGGTGGAAGAGCTGATCCTCTCCGGGGCTGACATCATCAAGGTGGGGATTGGACCAGGTAAGCTGGTTCATCGGGGACCACTGGCTACCCCCTTCAGTGGCAAACACCATGGAGAACGTCCTTCTCATCCTTGTCATGTTCTTCTCAGGTTCTGTGTGTACCACCCGGAAGAAGACTGGAGTGGGGTATCCACAGCTGAGTGCAGTGATGGAGTGTGCAGATGCTGCTCATGGCCTCAAAGGCCATATCATTTCTGTAAGGCCCCACGGCAGGGTGCAGGGTTTATGAGTCTGCCAAACAGCTGGGTTTTCTGCCAGGTCCAGAGGCTCTGGTAGAGGTGAATCAGGATTCCTGGGTTCCTGTCAGCTTTGAGGTGGGCCACTGGGACACTGTTTAGAGAGCTTGGGAGATCCACGCTGTCTCTTCATAGTGCTCCTTACTTTGCAGGATGGAGGCTGCAGCTGTCCCGGGGATGTGGCCAAGGCTTTTGGTAAGGACGTCGGGAGGACATGGAAGGAGGATCCTGTAGAAGAGGACAAGTCACCTCTGAGGGTCTGGGATCAGGCTAGGAAAGGCCAAGAAAGCTGTTCAGATTCTTTTATGACTAGTAACTCAGAAGCCTGTGGTGTCACCTGGGGCAAGCCAGCAGGGAAATCCCAAGACTCTGATACAGACTCTCCAAGTGTGGGCTAGGACCATCCGCACCGTCCTTGCACTGCTGGGCGATGCAGATGCCTGAGCCCCACCCAGACCCACAGAAACTGGCTCCGGGAGGGGGCTGCACATCTGCACTTCCACAGCTTCCTAGGTGATCTTTGCTCACACTAAAGCTGGAGACCTTTGCTCTTGGGACACTTGAAGTGAGCCTCTGGGCACGGTACAAAAAGAGGCGACAAAACAATGGTGAAAGCAGCAAAAAGGAGAGCAGAAGCCAGGCAGGGCATCTCCAGAGGCTCTTTCTAAATTCTTGGAAAAGTCAGGCCCATTGAGGAATAGAGGCTTGGGCAGAGCGGGCCTGTGCACTGGGTTGTGGGTCAGCTAGGGAAACAGGAAGGTGCAGGAATCATCATGCCTGAGAATTTGGTGTAAGCTGCTTCGCAGGGTGAGCATGTGGGCACAGGAGCCAGGTTCATCTCTCTCCCCTCTGGTTGGTGCCGGCAGGGGCAGGGGCTGACTTCGTGATGCTGGGTGGCATGCTGGCTGGGCACAGTGAGTCAGGTGGCGAGCTCATCGAGAGAGATGGCAAGAAGTACAAGCTCTTCTACGGAATGAGTTCTGAAATGGCCATGAAGAAGTATGCTGGGGGTGTGGCTGAGTACAGGTAGGTGTGGAGGCCAGAAGCTGAGGGTTCCTGGAAAGCGTGACTTTCCAAGTAGGGTGGGGACAGAAGTCATGGCTACTGAAAGATGGATGGTACAGGTCTCAGAAGAAAAGTAGTGAACTGGGCTAAATGCTAGAGACTGGGGAAGAGTCACTGGGCTTAAGGAATCCAGAAGGGAAAGGTAAGAAAGCTTTTCCTCCTCGAAGGGCCTCGGAGGGAAAGACAGTGGAGGTGCCCTTTAAAGGGGAGGTGGAACATACCATTCGAGACATTCTTGGAGGCATCCGCTCCACATGTACCTACGTGGGAGCAGCTAAGCTGAAGGAGCTGAGCCGGAGAACTACCTTCATCCGTGTCACCCAGCAGGTGAATCCGATCTTCAGTGACGAGAGCTAGACCCCAGCAGTTCTGCCCTCCCAGGGTGCCAGCACCCCACCACAGGGCTGCCAAGTGGGCCCCTGCCCCATCCTGGCTTCTATGGCTATTACTCGGTCACTTCATATCCTCTCTCTCTCCCGAGGGCTCCGGCAGTAATTCTGTAATTCTCTGTCTGCACACGCAAAATGCCCAGGGCACTCCCTGGGAGGAAGCAAGGAAGGGAGGCTGGGAAAAATGAAGTAAGGTAATCAAATGGGAATCTGGGGACCCAGCATCCTGAAGATTATTAAGAGGAAAAGATGCTAATTCATACGTAATTGTTCTGTTTGGCCCTGGTCTGAAAGAGGTAGGCTTTTGGAATCATGTTTTGTTAATCAGATTTTATTAAACAGGATCTTTGAATAGCTACCAAGCTCAGAAGTGTTTACATATTTAAAATACCTCAATAAAGCGAGATCCCAATGCCTATAGATTCTGGAGTTTTTTGCACAAGGCTTGCATCTGGCTGCTGCTCCAGGGCAAGTGGAGTTGGCATTGACCCAGTGGAGTCAAGGACAGTGAGGACTTTCCCCATGAAATATCTCCATTCTGTGCCACCACCTCCAGGTACCCTGGCAGCATGAGAATTCCCAAAGTGTATTCTGGCATCAGGACACACGTCATATTTTCAGAATAGCAAAAGGAAATTTCTCTTCCAGACTCTCAGTCCTGGTAACCCTTTTGGGCATGTCTGAACGACACTTTCGAAAGGAAGGAAATGGCAAAAAGATTCTTCCAGCCCTGGAGTGGCCGGTTCTGTTCCTAAGCAATGACCTACACTCACCTTACAGAAGCCTCTGGTCCCCTCCTTCACACCAAGACAGTGTTTTAACAAATCCAAGATTTAATTATCAAGCATTACAAAATAATTTTAGCAGTGTGGTCAGGCAGCCCAAGCCTGGGCTTCCACTTGATTCCTCCTGAACTGCGTGCAGAGCTGAGGAGGAAGGAAGACAGGCAGAATGCCACGGGCGCTCCAGTCCTATCACAGGAGCCCAGAACTGTCTACGTGGTCACAGAAAGGGACAGATATGGCACTGGGGCCAGAAGGAGGCAAGTATTCACAGAAGGTGGGGATCAGGGTGTCAAACTTTGTCTTCTGATAGTTTCCCAAAGAATCCTGCAGAGAAGTGAGCAGGGAGAACTTAGCATCATTGAAACATGCCCTGGGCCCTTGTATTCTGGAGCATGTGCATTTCTGTCTTGTTTTGCTCATCCGCTTCCCCAGTTTTCCATTCCTTCCTACTTACCCTTCCTTCCCTTTGGCCATTTTCATCCTCATCGGAGTCCAAAACCAAGTCCCCTATGGTAATGTCAGAGTTGCAGAGAGATGGAGGACACACTGCAGGGAGGAAACCAGAGTCCAAGCACTCCTCTAGGTGAACACAGACCCCCAGGAGTCCCCAAGAGATGAGGCTGTCTGACCCAGTCCTGACTCAGGATACCTACCTGGCTTCCTGGCCCTAGGTGGTGATAATGACAACCTCAGAGGGTCTATGGGGCAATCCAAGCAGTTCCTGCGGTGGGAATAAGCAAAGACAGGGTGAAAGGAGAGCAGGCAGGGCACGTGCTGCTAGTAGCGAGAAGCAGCTCTTCTACTCACTCCTTTTGCTCCGAGGCAGACAAATCAACTGGGTTCTCCTTCAGCTCCCTTCCCCCCAGGGTCTTGGATGGACTCTTAGACTTTGCAGCGGAGGCTGCTCTTGTGCCCACAGCCCCTGCTGGATGTGCTGTGTGTGTCCCATGTTCTTCCCTGTTCTCAGGCTTAGACAAGACCTGGGCTGGTGAACCCAGATTCCTAAAGGGGAACAACATGACGGTGGGGCGCTCCTTACGGCCTCTGCTAGTGGATGCCCACCGGGACTGGACTCTTCGCCGGCCGAGAGGGGCCAGATTGAACTGGTGGCCAGTCACAGTTTCCGGCTGCTTCCTTGAGGCTGGTCCCTGAGGAAGGTGTAGGCTAGGTCTGGCTTTTGTCAGATGATCCTGGCATGCTGTTCTTTGTTGCTGAGGAGGACTCTGCTCCCTGGGCCCTGTCATGTTCCTTGAATCAGGAGCAGAGCGCGCTGAAAAAGAAAGCAAAGCTCCTTATAAAGGTATTAACACATCAACTCAGTCTGCTTTCTTGTGCCTCAGGCCCATGTAACCCTTCCAAATGGGCTGTTTCAAAAGGTGTCAGGCTAAATACTCCACCCCCCAAATTCCTAGCTCTCCTAGACAGTCCTGGTACCTGGAAGTGGCCACCCCATGTCCACGCCATACTGGCTCAGGGCAAAAGAAGAAGTGATGGAAACTCCAGGCTGCATCCAACTCAGCACATCCTGAAGCTGTGGACAGGGACAAAGGCGTGAAGACCACGGTTTTTGATACATGCCACCCCCTACCCCAATTCTGCCCTTATGTGTGTTTTGTCCTCAAAAACCTGCTGTGCCTGCAGTGTTGGCAGTGCTTTTTCCAGCTGACACAAGTATTCAAAAAACAGCTTTTCCATGGCAGCCAGAAAGGGTTCCCCATACTCTTGTTCAAGTTCCTGCAAGAGGGAAAGAAACAGGTCAGAAGAGGACTAACGAAAACAGCTACACCATAGCTTCCAAACCAGCCAGTCTCACCTGTAGCTTCAAAGCCAAATCAATGGGGGCTTCTGCAAGCTGCTCCACCTGCTGACAAAAGGTTTTCTGGGCCTCTGAGATCTTCTTCAGATCCTGCTTCGTCTGTTGAGGGTAAGGAAGGCAAAGAAGTTCAGGGAACCAGGATCCAGTGACCGAGAGAAGGAGCAATTCTGTTGCACCAAATGTTAACCGAGGTAGGGCTTGTTCCAGGGACTACTCACAGCTTTGGGGTCCCGCACTACAGGTCCAGACTCCGGGAAGTGGTGATGCAGGGCATTCAGAACCTGGGCCCAAGGCCGGCCCTGCAGGACCAGATCCACCACCAGCTGTGAAGGATACTGAGCTCAGAATCCCCATGTCGGGGCAAGCTGCCCTTTTCCAACGACTCCCACGCCCAAGCGGTCGGTCCAGGACTGGTCCTCGCATCCCGCCCCTTTCCCCTCTACCAGGTCCTACTGACTCCAATACCTTGGCCTTTAGGCCCATACACAGACGTTCATGGTGCCGGTAGCGAACCAAGCCAGGAGCAGCAGCACGCAGGGATCGTAGAAACTCCAACACTCGCGGAAAATGCTCCACGCAGCGTCCGCGCACGACTTGCCAGCTGGCAGCGGCTACGAACCGCAGAGCTGCGGGACCGGCCTCCGGAGGCGTGGCCATGGCCGGCGGGCTCAACCCCAAGGGCCGTCCCTTTGGGTTCCTACCTCCACCCGGAGGCCTCCCGACTCCTCCTAGGGGCGGGGCTTTCGGTGGCCCTCAGTGGCTCCGCTATTTCTGTCTGCGCTGGATACTTCGCGACCCGACTCTGCGCCCTCCCATAGGCCGCCAGAATTCTAGGGGTTTTCTCCACCTCGGGCTGGAGGCTGAATGAAGAAGACGGACAGCTCCACTGGCACCAGGCCGCTCTGCCTTAGTGCCGCCGCTGTCTCGAATCCGAAGGCTACGTTACTTCCAGCCCTGCGACCGGTTTCCCTACTCCGGAAAAGGCTGGGAGTGGAGAACCAATGGGCCTCCAGACAGGGGAAGCGTGACGTCGCGTCACAAGGCCACGCCCCGGCAGATCCGGCGCCGCTGCCGCCCCGCCCTCCTTGCCCTGCGCTTCCGACGGCTCCTGGGCGGCGGAGACCCTCCGCCGCTGGATGTCTCCGCGGCCTGCGGAAAAGTCACGTCCTTCTCATACTTCCCAGTCTGGGTCATAAAGCGAGGTTCATGCCACTCCCCTCTCCTTCGTCTTCACCCTCAAATAACGGTTTCTTAAATCCCAACTCCCAAACCAGGCGGCGCGCCGCTTCCAGTAAGGATTCAACTGTTCCTTTTACAAAACAGGAGAGGGCGCTCGCCTTTAAAAAATTTTAAAAGTCTGGAAAGATACGTCAGATTGTTAACCTGGTTTTCTCTGCGTGGTGATACTGTGGGTAATTTTTTGTGCTCTTATGTGTTTATCTTTTAAAAAAAATCATGTAGTTCTTAAATTAATAAAAAGATTTCCTTTTTCGAATTTCTGTTGACTGCTTACTCCAGTCAGCCTCCTAATGTAATTGACTGTTTCACTTGTCACCCTTCCCGGTGTCTCCCATTTCCATTGCCAAGTACAGAACCTGACACACTGTATGTTTTCTGTTGATTGAATTATCTACTCTGACTACCTTACAGAGCTTTAGTGAAACTACCCTTTCCTTGGGCCATTCCTTTTCTTAGAGAGAATGGCTCCTGTCTCCACCCAACATCCGCCTTCTGAGGTGATTCATACATTAAACTGCCCAGGGAACATCTAGTTGGAGGTCCCAAAGTACCCAAATCGGACATGGATGGAAATCTAGTTATCTTCCCTTTTTATATTACCTTTATTTATTCTTTCCCTAAAGTTCTACCTTTGCGTAGATCTGAGTTTCTGACCTATGTCATTTTCCTTCTTTCTGAAGAATTTCTTTTCACATATCTTGCAAGTTATCTCTCCTGGTGACACATTCCCTCGATTTTTGTTTGTCTGAGAAAATACTACTCCTTTTGAAAGATAATTTTGCTGGATATAGAAGTCTAGGGTGGTAGACTTTTTTCCCTCAACACATCAAACATTTCACTACACTTTCTTCTTGCATGGTTTCTGAAGAGAAATCCAATGTAATTCTTATCCTTGCTCCTCTGTAGGTAAGATGTCCCCTCTCCCACCCTACTGCCCCCAGGCTCTGTTCAAGATTTTCTCTTGCTTTTTGATTTTCTGTTCATCTTTCTTCTTAATTGTGAAGACAGGAATGAGAACTTTCAAGCTTCTTACATGCTAGACTGAAAATTGGAAGCTATTTTTCATTTTTAATTCTCTTTCTCCTGGGCTCTGTGTTTCTGTGCTTGGCACCTTTCTTCTGTGACCGTGAGTCAGAAACCCAGATCACTGCCGGTAACTGTCCTCCCTCCTTTCCAAATCTAATTCCTCACCAAGTCTAATCAATTCTACTTCTTATAGAACCTTCAAACCTACCCCCTTTTTATCATTCTCACTGCCTCTATCCTATTTCAGTTTCCCTGTTTCTCACGTTGAGAAAACTCTAGTTTCCCCACCTCCAGCCCAACTCTTAATTTCTTTTCCATACTGCCTTCATCATAAGCAAATGTGAAATGCAAAACTGATCATATCATCCCTAACTGAAAGTTCCTTCTTACCTTCAAAAGAATGCCCAAACTCCAAAATATGGCCAAAGGATTTCTAATGATCTGGCTAAGTTTACATCTTCATCCACATTCCATGCCACTTTGCACTTATCATGCACCTCTGTGGCCATCCTCTTCAAACTCCTTGCATTTTCCAAATACATTGTGTTGTCTCATACTTCGTGCCTTGCGCATTCCTCGGTCCTTCTTGCCTCTTGGACTAGACTTTCTTTCATCTTTTGTGGCTCATCTAGTAACCACCTCCATGAAGCCCCTCATGGTTCTCTTCTCAGGCCCCATAGCATCCTGTCCATCTTTTATTGACACCATGGTCAGGCAGAATTTATCTTGTTTTTTTTAAATACTTTAAAAAGTTTTAATTTAATTTATTTCCCTTAACAGAGGCCCTGGGGATTGAACCCAGGACCTTGTGAATGCCAAGCACACACTCTACCACTGAGCTACACCACCTACCCCCAGAATCTATCTTGTAATGTTGTTATAAGGATTAAATGAATTAGTAAATATAAAGCACTTGGAACAGTGCCTGGCTCCTAGTAAATACTACGTATACATCTACTGTATTTTCAATGTGTACATGTCTGTCACTCGCACTGAGTGGAAGACCCTGGAGGGAAGGGCTTACTTCTTTCTCGTACATATTATGTTACTGGTGACTAATCCAGCTTCTGGTTCATATGTTCATGGCTGACATGAACAGCTCCTTTGTTAGTCCTCTGTCTCCTGCCCCAGGAGCCCCTTGTCTTGCAAGCCTTCTTCAGCTCAAAGTTTCAAGAAGACTAGTGGTTGGAACTCAGAACATCGGGCACTCCTGGCTACTCCTTATTGTTATTGTTGTTTTGTTTTTCTTTTTTGAGGATTTCAAGCGTTTTTGAGCTCTGATACCTACAGGAGACTAGGGTAAAATGAACAAGTGTGAAGCAAGTTACAAAGTTGTTAGAAATCTTAAGCTCTCACGTTGTCTCCTGGGAGTTCAATAAAAAGAGGTACTGTTGTGTTATTGCTCAGCCTTTCTGGAAACTAATTTAACAAAATGCATCAGCCACCTTAAACATGCTCAGTCCCCTTTACAGAATAATTCTCTCTCAGGGGGGTTATCATAAGGAAATAATTTAAAATGAGCACAAAGATTTATGTGTTTGTACAAGGATATTTATCACAGCTCTATTTAGAGTAGCAAAACATTGGGAAGACATATTTCCGGGAGTGAGAGTTTAATCAAATAAATTATGTCATTTGTTCACTTTTATTAAAAATACAGTACAACAAACAGAGTTTGCTCCGTAAGTTCAAAGAACAATTATAAGTTACATCTTGTAATTGTTGCTTTTAAATTTATAAGTAGCAAACATTTCTTGTGCAGCTCGGTGCCGGGCCCTGTTCTAGGTCCTGGGTCACAGGTGTGAACAAGACAGATAAGGTCTCAGCTCTTATGGAGGTTATATTTTAGAGAAAATAGACAGAGTTTAATTTAAAAAAAAACCACTCTGGTGTTAAACGATTAACGCTAGATGGGATATGAAATAAAATAGGTTGATATGCTAAACAGACTGGAGGCAACAGAGTAATCAGACTGATGGACAGGGAAGAGCTCTGTTGGGAGGCGACATCTGAGCTGAGACCAGCCATTCCACCTGGGGGAAGAGTGCTCCTCCAGAAGGAAGAGCAGATGCCAAGTCTTAGGTAGAAGGTTGGTGGATTTGAGAAGCAGAAGGACTGTGGGGCCGAGGCAGCAGGGCCAGGGGCACGTGGTGGAGTGAGATTGGAGAGGGCTGCAGGGCCAGACGGATGAAGGTAGGACTTTGGATTGTTCCAAGGGTGATGGGAAAGCATTGGAAATGTAGCCATAGCATAAGCTGCTCCATCTTGAGCAGCACAGATTTTAAAATTTACATGTATTTTCCTTCCCTGCTGCCTCTGGCATGTCTTAGAACTATTTGGACAATGACTAATTGACCAGGAGAGAATTAGTCTTGCTTGCTTAAGAATTCCAGGGACTCAACTTGAGGTGGGAGCAGATGGACCCTGGAGGAGAAGATTAACTGCGCATAAAGCAATCAATATGATGCTGATCAGACCACTGCATGACCATTTCTCGAGATGATTATAGGAGCTGACTGTGCTGTTCTGCATGTAGCCCCTGCCTGTACACCAGCAAAACTTTCCTTTAAAACTTTTGTCCTCTAACTGGCAGCTTGGAGATGGCTTGGGGATATTAGTGCATCTTCCCAGGTTGCTGGCCTCCTGAGTAAAGCGGCCTTTCCTTCCCCACCAACACTTGTCTCTTGAGTATTGGCTTTTCAGGCGGTGAATGGCTGACTTTGGGTTCGGTTTCAGTCTCATCCGGTTATACAAAATTTTAAGCAGGAGAGTACCAGGATTTCATTTAGAGTTTAGAAAGCTCACTGGCTGTGTAAAAATTAGATTATTCAGTAATGAGAGTGGAAACACACCAGGAGGCTATGGCTGTTCTGCAGGGAGGGAGCACCTTGACAGTGTCAAGTGGAGAGGATGACAGATTCAGATATATTTCGGACGTAGAACTGATAACAATTGCTGATGGAGTGAATATTCGAGGAGAGGAAAGGGAGGAATCAAGGGTGACTTGTAGGTTTTTGGCTGGAACAACTGGGCCATTATAGTAACAATGAAATGGGAAAAACTCAGGAGGATGAATTTAGGGGTAGAATTCAGAGCTCTGTGGGGCGGCTTTCAGTCTAAGATAGAATATAGCCCTATTTTAATCCATTTCTAGACTGCTCAATGATTTTTGGACAGCTTACTTAGCTCCTTTCCCCAGTTTCTGTATCTGTAGAGGGGGCATTACAGCACACTCTACCTTAGGAGGTTGTTTGAAGATGACAGGCATTATTATATGTAAATAGATTAGTGCCAAATTCTTCCTCACTCAGAAAATATTTAGTAAGCATTTCTATGCACTAAATTGTGAACATACACCAGAGACCAAAACAGACAAAAATCACTGCTCTTGTGGGGGAAGGGAGACACCATAAATCAATGTAGTGTTAAAATATTTAATATGTTGAATGTGGCTAAGTGTTATGGAGAAAAATAAAACAGGGAAAAGTGGTCATGAAGAGAGAAGTGGGCTGCAGTTTAAAATAGGATGGCCATACTACTCAGCCGCTAAAAAGAATGAAACAATGTTATTTGCAATAACATGGATGGGCCTAGAGATGATCATACTAAGTGAAGTCAGTCAGGCAGAGAAAGACAAATATCATATGACATCACTAATATATGGAATCTAAAAAAAATGATACAAGTGAATTTTTTTACAAAACAGAAAGACTCACAGACATAGAAAACAAACTTACGGTTACCAAAGGGGAAAGACGGAGGAGGGATAAATCAGGAGTTTGGGATTAGCAGATACACACCACTATATGTAAAACAGATAAACAACAAGGTCCTACTGTATAGCACAGGGAGCTACATTCAGTATCTTGTTAAAATCTATTATGAAAAAGAATATGAAAAAGAATATATATCTATATGTATGACTGAATCACTGTGCTGTACACCAGAAATTAACACAACATTGTAAATCAACTAGACTTCAATAAAATAACACGGCTGGAAAAGGTCCCATTAAGACAGTGATATTTGAGGATAAATCTCAAAGGAGGGGAGAGTGCCAACCACGTGGCTATCAGGAGAAGGGGGAGCCAGGCAGGGAAAATGGCAAGTCCAAAGGCCCTGAGGTGGAGGCTTCAAGAAATAAGAAGAGGGGGGAGGGTATAGCTCAAGCGGTAGAGTGCATGCTTAGCATGTGTGAAGTCCTGTGTTCAATCCCCAGTACTTCCATAAAGAAATAAATAAACAAGAAAACCTAACTACCTCCCCCCAAAACAAACAAAGTGCAAAAGAAACAAGAAGAAAGGTGAAGCAGCAGTGGCTGTTTTTCTGCGAGAGGAGAGGAGCCACTGGGAGGAGGGTGAGGGGTGGTGAGCAGATTGGTGACATGATCTGACTGACATTTAAAAACATTCCTCTGGCTGCCAAATTGAGAATAGACAGGGCAGGGAGGCTAGTGAGGAGACTGGGGCTTCACTCCAAGTGGGGGAGGATGGTACCTTGGACTTGGATGGGGCAGTACTGGTAGAGAAGATTTGATAATAAACAAATGGTACATGGAATTCAATATATAGAATGTTAGATAGTAACATGTGCTAAGGAGAAAAATAAAGAATAAGGGGGCATAGGAAACATGGAAGGTGTTGCAATTTTAAAATGGGATGGCAGAGAAGCCTAAAGGTGATGGCACTTAAGCTAAGACTTGAAGGAGCTAAGGAGAGCCACATGGGGAAGAACTCCTCAGGCGAGGGCAGCCTTGCAGAGACGCTGGAGCAGGAGTGTGCCTGGCGCTGTCCAGCTAGGAAGGGGCCAGTGAGCTGCATGGACTGACCCGGGGGGGAAGCGGAGGTGAGGCAGAGTCACAGAAGACTGTAAAGATTTTGACTTAGGAGGAAGCCAGTGGCAGGTTTGGAGCAGAGGGCTGACACGATCTGGTCCACCTGCTCATCTGACTCACGTGTGAAGAACAGGGTATCAAAGGGCAAGAGCAGAAGCGGGGAAATGACTAGGAAGTGGGTGCCACGGTCCAGCTGAGAAATGAAGGCAGCTCTGGCAGCCTGGCAGCCCTAGGGGTGATGAGGAGTGGTCAGACTCTGGACACTGAGGAATGGGAGACAGAACCATCGAGATTTGCTGACAGATTGAACGTGGGATGTGAGAGAAAGAAAGAAGTCGAGGATGACTCCAGGAGTTTGGAAAAAAACTGAAAAGATGGAGTTGCCATTTACTGATGTAAAGGAGGCTGCAGGAGGAGGTGCCGGCGGGAGGACAGTGTGACTTGCACGTGTTACACCTGGGCTGTCTAGGAGACATCCCACAGAGATATTAAGAAGGCTGTAAATATACAAGTTTGAGGTTCAAGAAAAACCTACAATTTTGGGAATGAAGGATCCTTAAAACCACAAGACTGGCAGAGCTCACCTGGGCAGGGTATAGCTGGATGAAAGAGCACTTGGGGCGAAGGCCTGAGTCACCCCAACACCCCCAGGTTAAGCAGAGGCAGAGGCACCAGCCCTGGAGACTGAGAAGGGCAGTCAGAGATGCAGGAGGACCAGGAGGGTGGCTGGGAAGCCAAGTCTATCATTCAGTCTCTAAACATGATGTTTTCAAGGAATGGTCAGTGCTGTGGGAAAATGCTCACTGTGGGTTACATGGGGGAGAAAAGCAGCATGTGAAACACAACGTTAACAGTTACTTTCTGCACCTGGTGGTCGTTGAGCATTATTGTTATTCTCATCTTTACAATTTTATGTATTTTCTTAATTCTCAATACTGAACAGGTATGACTTTTGTAAAAATCCCCAGACAAGGATATTTGAAGTTAAATACCAGAAAGTGGCTTTTGCTGCTCAGAGAGAACTCCAGCCTATTTCTACCTCAAACATGTGTCACAGGGGAATTTGGGTCCTTCTCTCCCACAAGGGGTGCCATGGAGGGGGCAGTCTCACTCAACCCCCGGGGGCTTCAAAAGGGCTTTGGTCAGTAGAAGCGCCCTGGGGTCAGGGAAGACTGGTCCGGTGAGCCCTGGAGGCCATCCTGACACCTCATCTCAAGAGCTGCTGAGCGGTACCATCACTGACCTGCCAGCCACACTTCTCACAACCAGGGGCATCAGAAGTGCCACATGCATCCCCAAGACAGGCCGTGGGGCCACACCCCTTGGCCTGGCATATGGCAGATGGACAGAACAGCAGCTTCATTAAAAAAGTTTATTTGCATCTGTGCAAGAGAGGTCAGCTCCTCCCCAGGTGAGGTCCTCCCTCCTGAGCCCCCGGGAAGCAGCTCTGCTGCGGTCCCCTGTCTTGAGGCAGTGTCCTTGCTCATCTGACTCCAGTCCCATTGCTCCTGGCCCAGGGCTAAGCCCCGCCTCGAGATGCCATAGGGATGGTCTCTCCTGAGTGACTGTCGCCTCCAGCATCTGAGAAGCCCCCACCTCCAGCGGCCGGAGCCACGTCCACCTGGATGACCCCGTGCACTTGGGAGAGCTGTGGGCTGTCCAAGCTGGCGATGAGCTGGCGGGGGCCTGGTCGCACTGGCACGAATGTCTGGCGCAGCGTCACTGTCTCGTGGCCCCCAATGTCCCTGTGGGCAGAGATAGGGTCATGGGCCTGGGGTGACAGGAGGTGGAGTCGGGAGGAAGGACTGATGGGGCAGCCAGGAAGGAAGGAGCAGAAGGTGGAGCCCTTCAGGCATCTCTGGGCTCAGCTGTAATCTCCACACCCACGACCTACCAACCTGGACACAGCCTGAACCCCCAAGCCGCCTCCACAAGGCCAGATCAGCGGCCACCCACCCAGCTGCCGGAGCTGGAAATCTCTTCATCCATGATTCCTCCCTCCCTGCTCTCACAAACATCTGGACAAAGACTGCGTGCGGCACTGCCTCCCCCTCCTCTCCATTGCCAACACTCCTGCCCCAACCAGGTCATCGCATCCCCTGTAGGACTTCCAAGAACAAGGAAACTTCAAAATGAGACTTTGGGGCTTGACATGGTATTGCCAAATACTTTCAGGTTTGCTAAGAAAGAGAGTGGAAGAAAATTAATTATCCTCTGCTACAATCATCATCTTTCAGGATGTTATCTCAAGGAAAAAAAAAGTAAAGTCCATCCCAAGAACAGGCAATTGGCATCTTTAGATTGATATACATGTGTGTGTGTGGGAGGGGGAGAAGCATACACGTGCTGGTGGACACACACACACGTGTGCGCACACTACAGTGTCTTTATTTTCTTCCTTCCCATGGATCTCTGAAAAGCTAGTCCCAGATCACCCCTCTGGGAACCACAATTTCACCAGCCTTCTAACCAGACTCCTTGCCTCCCATCTCATTTTTCCATTCTATTTTTCAACCACTCAGAGGTGAACTGAACCCTTCAAGGGCTTGGCCTCCTTGGTGCTTATGAGACAGATGAAACTGTAGCTCTCTAACCTGCCACACAGGCTCATTCTGACTCACCCTGCCTGCCTGCCTGCCTGCGCGACCTCATTCCGCCACCACTCCCCTATCCACCAGTCCCACTGAACTCCCTTCCTTCCCTGAACTCACTTCCATTTTCATGCTTTGCCCCTGGGCTGCCTCCTCAGCAAGGGCTCCCTGGAGTTCCTCCTTCCCTCAGGAAAATTAATCTCACCTTTCTCTGAGCTCCACCAGCAGTCTGCATGTGCATTTATACCCTGGCTATGATTGCATTCATTTGCACCTGCTCACACCTGTCAGCATCTGTTCTTTTCAGCCTCTGCCTGAAACCCTTACCTCTGACACCCTGCCCAATGGAGCCTGCACTGGGGACACCCTCAGAAGCCACAGTCTCTTGCAAACACCTCAGTCCTTCAAGGGACTGAGCTAACACCCCAACACTGAGGATGAGCTCTCCTTGGGGCAAAGCACGTAGCTTGGAGCCTGCTTCCAAGGGGCATCCCTGGACCACTCTCTACCCCTTCCACCTCGGTTAGCTGTGTGGTTTAGGACAAGTTACTGGTCATCTCTGATCCTCACTTTCTGATGTAAAGTGGAAGATGGTCTTGACGGTGCCTCCAAGCTCTGTGAAGAAGGGAAGCAGGGGAGGCAGGGAGATAGATATACGTAGCTTACTGATTAAGTTACAGACTCAATTTCTAAACTTCCTGTCATAATATACAACTTGAAATTAAGTCTACAACGTAACTGGTAGGCTATACTCTGCCTGCTTACCAATTTGTGTCTTTAATCTGTGTCCACTTTTCCATAGATACAAAGTTGAAGGTTGTTTAGGTTCAGACCAGGCTTCAAAAGTCTATTTAACCTGTACTCTAACTGAGCTGTACTATTTCAGAGCCGAGCCTTTATTTGTAAGATTATTTCCAAGAGAAGTTTCTTTCCAGTTTCCAGCTAAGGATGTCAAGATCTCTCCCTACCCTGGTCTTCGTGTCCGGTGAGACCTTTGCCACACCCCAGTTTGCGAGTTTAAGCTGAGCACGTCATTTTCTAAGACTGGAAGCTGCCTGCAACAATGTACAGGTAATAAAACCAGCTCCCTGACAAGGACACCAGAACTCAGATGTCCACATTAGTATTGTACTTCAATTACAGACATACTCAACCATGTTGAACATTTTTAAAAACCCCTCTCAGATTTTCTTTCAGAGCCATTTAAAACCACACACACATCACGTACACCCAGTCACGTACTCAGGCAGCACACACACTCGTCACCGTCCCTCCTTTACAGCCAAGTTTCATTTCTGACTGGAAAGGGCATTGTCATCCATCTTATTCACTTATCTTATTAATTAATGTTAGTTCTCAACGACCTGAGGCTGTTTCTCCAAAGTCACATCCACCCCCTTAAGGCCACCCTAAGACATTCTAGAGAATGTGACTTAGGCTCCAGGGGAAATTCCCGAGAAGTGTTTGGAGCAGGCTTCCAGCTTCCCCTGCTGATTGCTTTGGTAGTGACAACAGCCATCTGGAGGAGTACGTTCTGGAATGTTTATTAAGTGGCCAGTCACCAGGCTGGGTGGCACACCTTATGCTATAATGCAGTTCCATACCACAGCCTTTGATGTGCAAATGATAGCAAAGGAAACGCCCATCTTGGAATCTAATGTATCCAAACCAGCAGCTCGGGGACCTCTCCTCAGGACTCTCAGTTGTCCTGGAGGCCCCCGCCTGGGCTCACAGCAGCTGAGATGCCACAGAACGTCCAAGGAGGACATGCCTTGCGAAACCATCATCCAGCCCTCTTACCGGTGGGAAGACTGGGGCCTTACGTGGAGGGAGACTCACACAAGCCCCACAGCTGAAGAGAGGGTCCGGGTCTCCAGCACTCGGCATGGTGGTCCTTTCCTTACTCCCTGGCGGTGGCAAGAATCAAAGACCTGGTGGGGCTGCTGAGTTAGGGGAGTCCAGCTCTGGAGATCCCACAGGACACGGGCACCTCCCTCTGTCATCTGGGAGACACCAGCAGGCGAGCTGCCTGGGAGTCTCAACCTCTACCCTCAAAGCTGCCAGAGACCCTTGTAGGCTGACATGAGGAGTGCGTTCCTTTGGGACATGTTACATCTTCCAGGGGAACAGGCTGGGGCAAAGATCGGGATAGCAACCTTTCCAGCTTTGGCCTACTGGTGAAAGGGGTGGCCCCCAACAGGCAGAGGGTACTGTGTGTGGGCAGAGGGATGGGCAGGGACCCTCTGCATCCCCCACCCAGCCCTCTACACGTGCCCTTGGTTTCCCTCGGGTGCTCTGTGTCGAACTCTGCGTCGAACAAAGAAAATGCTGACCCCTGTCCCCAGAGAGCTGATCTCAAAGTCAGCCTCTAGCCTCCTCTGCTCTCCCTCTGTGCTGTGCCCTCATGTGTAGGTCTGTGGGCACTTGCTGGGCACTTGCTGGGCAGAGAGCCTTGCCTGACTTGGGACCAGGCCCAGGCAGTTTGGGTGAGGGCCCTCCCCTCCAGAGCTGCTGCTCAGCCCTCACGGCACTGCCCCAGCAACAAGCCTGAGAGCCTTTGCCTGGCGCTTACCATGGCCCCTTAGGAGCTGTGAGACCCTGTGAGCTGTGGCTACCAGCTGCCCCATCTGGAAAGGGGGAACAGCTGCCAACAGAGTTGGCAACAACTGATGCTGTGCTGAGTATCATACTAAGCACACTATCCTCTGACTCTCACAGTGACCCTCAGAGCCCGGCATTTTTGTTATCCCCACTTTACAGGTGAGAAAATTGAGACACAGAAATCAGTCACTTGCCCCAGGGCACATGGCTGGTGAGTGGATAGAGCTGGGACTTGAAGCTAATCACATAATGACCTCTAATGTTCTTTAAAGGGTTCTTATGATCTCCAAATGAGCTAATATTCCTGAAAGTGCCTGCTCAACTCCTGAGAGCTGGGCAACATTAGTGATGAGTTGCTAGTGATTCCTATGTGAGGTTTTAGCTACCTAATGAGCCAGTGAGGCAGGGTGGGGACACCACACAGCGCTGCCTGCAGCAAGTCTTCCTAAACACCAGCTGGACTGAACTGAGTCAGGAGGTGTTGCCAGCTGGCGCCAGGCTGCTTTGCTTACCGTCCTGACCGAGAGAGGAAGCAAATCTGGGACTCATGTAGCCCGGGAGGCGGGCAAGGGTGGTGGCAAGAGCAGGAGAGGATGGACTCACCCAACATTGAGGACCTTGGGTCTCTGCAACCCGGAGCCCTCGAGCCGGAAGACAACATTGGTGAGGGTGACAGGCAGGGGGTTCTTGAAGACAATCTGTACCTCGCACTCCTGGCCCACCACGGCTGCTCCCAATAACTGAGAAAAAAAGAAGTCCCCACCCCCACATCAGAGACCCTGGCCAGACTCAGAAGACTGGACACTCCACCAGAGAGGGAGAACTCCTTAGGACCAAGACCTCCTGGACCCCACATTTCTGCCCCTGAGAGAGGGTTCCCCCAAAGCCAGAGAGGAAATTCCAACCCACCCCCAAGCTGAAGCCACCACAGAATCAGGGATAGGAGATCTGAGTTTTACAGATGAGGAAACTGAAGCCCAAGAGCCCAGAGCCAGTCCCTGACCTCCTCCTGCCACTGCTCATCTGGCCAGCCCGCTCCCAGCAGAGTGCCCGACCCCGCTCCCCTGGCTCTCTGATTTTCCCCGGCCCCAGCCAGCTGCACTACCGTGAGGGAGAGGTCCGGGGTGCGCAGACGGAAGGTGTGCTGCTTGGCCAGCACCTGCCCGTTCTCCTTGACGTGGCCTGAGATGTTGAGCAGCATGGCCCCCTGGTCCACGAGGTGGGGCCGGTACTCCTTGTAGGCCACGGGCATGGCCACCCGCTCCGCTGGGGAGGAAAGGCATGGCATCACTGAGGCTGCATCCCCAGACACAGCCTCCCAGGGTTTCCATGTCCCCAGCCCCGAGGTGCCCAGCCACGGTGGGGTGGGGGTTAGGGCTCAAAAAGGAGCACTTACAGGCCCCTGGCGCCAGCACCACTTCCTTCTTGCTCTCCTTGAAAACGGACCCAGTGACGCCGGTGTAGAAGGTGACAGAGAGGTAGAGGTGCAGCTTCACAGTGCGGCGGCTGCTGCCGCGGTTGGTCAGCACCACACTGACCGTCAGGTCCTGGCCCATCACCGCGTCCTGTGCCTCCACCTGCACGGACACATCCTCGGCCGAGTCCCGGGAGGCGTACACATTGGGTTTGCTGCCATGGGCGGCTGCTGTCTCCACTGCCTTCCGCTCTGCATCTGAGCCTGGGGTTGAGGGTCAAGGGTGAGGTTACAGCTGGGTGGGTGAGCACTCAGCAGGAATGCTTGGTGTGTCCTGAGCTGGCCGGGTTGGGGAGACAGTACCTTCTGGGTGCTTATAGATGTGGGTGATGTCTTCCCGCATGTTGGAGCCAATGGCCTTGGTGATGATGAGTGTGCCAATGGCCTTCTCCTCCACATACACAATCTTGAAGCTGCCGTCATCCTGCCGCTGCCAGTAAACCTTGTCACTGTTCACCTGTTGGGGGAGTGTTGGGGGTGAGCCCGGAATGAGTGAGCCAGAGGGTCTGAGTGTGGGCCTGACCCCCAGCTGCCCTCCCCTGAACCTAGGAGCTGCAGGCAGGGCTAGATCCAAAGGTTGGGAGCTGCCTGGCAGAGTCAAAGTGGGAGACTTTCCAAGCTTGAGCCAGACAGGCCAGAGAGCAGGAAAAAGCTGGTCTGGGAGGCTCTGTGCCATGTATTCTACATTAATAACAGTAATCCCTTATGCTCATTCTCTGACTTTATGACTTATAAAGCAGTTTCATTCCCATTATTTCTTTTGATCCTGAGTACAGGAAGTATGGCAGCCATTATTAACTCCCTTTTACAGATGGGGAAACTAAGTGACTTGCTCAAGGTCACACAGCTAGTCAGTCAGTGATGAAGGTGGGACCCGAGAACCCAGGACTGACACCAGTGCCCTGGTCTCCCCAGGCTGCCCACGAAGGCCCCTGGAGCGCAGCCCTCACCTCGGCAAAAATGAAGGGCGTGTCATACTTCATGTAGACCAGGCCGTTCTTGATGGACTGCACAGAGCAGGGGCCGCAGCAGAAGATGCCTAGGGGAGTGAGGGCATCATGGAGGTGAGAGAGCCAAGGAGACTGAGGGGGGACCCTCAGATCCGGGGCCCCCCAATCCAGGCCCCGTGTCCACTGCCCAGAGTCAGCACCTACCCAGTCCAACTCAGGGAAGGCAAACAAAGGACAGCACAGTTCTATGTGGCCTCAGTCACTGGCTGGGATGGCGGGACAGGGACAACCATGGGGACAAGCCTGCCTTGTTAATCCAAATCACTGGCACACTTCCTCCACTGGCTGAAGCTGGATGCTGGCTGTCTGTGGCCCCCAGAGGTCAAGACCACCCCCTCATCGTACATCAAGACAAACCCAGAGTCCTCAGTGGCTCTGCTGGCTGGCTGGGAGAGCAATGACCTCATGGTCACTGTTCTAGGAAGATCCAGAACCCCTTAGCTCTGCAGCCCCCTGTGTCCTCTCTGTGGGGAGGTGGGAGAGGGGGCTGGTGGGAAACAGAGTCTGTCCTCCTCGTGCTCAGGAGGGTTTTCTGGAGGAGACAGGCTGACAGGGAGGAGGCTTGGCAGGAGAGGACCCAGAACAGAAAGTGAGGGCCATCCAACAAGAAAGAATTTGAGAAAACACCTCACACTACAGTCTCCTTTTACAAATGGGCAACAGGCTCGGCAAGGCAAAGCAGGTGCAAAGACCGCACAAGGCAGTCGGATACAGAGAGGGTAGAAAGCGCTAACGTTTGCTGCACAGCTACTTTGTTCCAGCCCTGCTGCCAGTCTAATCTGACTTCTCATCGGAACTTCCCAACCATCCTACATGGAATATCATCTCATATTACAAATAAGGACACCAAAGCCCAAAGGTGCAGAGAATTTGTCTAAGGGGACTTGTCTAAGAAGTGATCAGGCTAGACTCTGGCCCGGGTCTGGCTGGCTCAGAAACCCTGCATACTGCCCAGCCCACCACCTCCAAGAGCGGGGACCGGAACTCAGGTCTCCTGGTGCCCTGTGCCAGGCTGCTCCAGCTCTGCAGGCATTGTGGGGTTGCACAGCTCAGGGGGTACTGTTCACAGAGATGATTAAGAGGGAGTGGTCTGGCCAGAGACCAGAGGAAGAATGTGGGCTAGGGGAGGGCCATCTGACCCAGGGAGAGGGGAAAAGGTGGGGGGAGGGCGCCGGAGGGGCATGCCGGGCTGCCCGGGCCCTGAGTGTTAAGGTGGGAAGGGGATGAGGGACCCGTTAGAGAAGAGATGGTGCAAGGGGTCTAATTTTTGCAGAAACGTGTATCGCGGAAAGGAGACTCCAAGTTATGCCATCAGTGATTGTTTCTTCGGGCCGCGCTGGGTTATAGAAGCCGTTTTCTCCCTTAAATCCATTTAACCCTGATTGTTTTCTATGCTGTACCTGTAACTCATGGTGAGCAATGGAACAGACATGAGAGGAACTTGGTGAAAGTGAGAATACGTGTCAAAAAGAGAAGGAGTCAGGAGCTGGGTTTGCTCTGCTGCTGACTTAATGCTCTGTGCATGAGAGAAAGTCCCAAACCCAGCTGATCTGCAGCATCACCAGGGGAACTTTCAAAAATACAGATTCCTGGAATCTCTTCCCAGAATGTCTGATGTGTCAGGTCTGGGGTAGGATGCAGAAATTTCCTTAAAACAACACAAAACAGAAACCTCCTGAGAGAAAATGGGGAACTTTTATATTTTATGTTATGCAATTCTATACAATTAGTCAATTCATTTTTTTTCCTTTTAAGCAGGTCTTCTAATAATGACTTAAAAATATATATATATATATGTATCCTTCATTAATTATCTCCAGGACATGCAAATAAAAAAGTAAGCAGGAATAGTGTATTTCTAGAAGGAGGGAAACCTCTCACTGAATTTTCTTGAATCTTTGGATTTTTCAACCATCTAAGTATTGTAACCATTACAAATAAATAAAATTTAGGCAAAGAGTTCTGCAGAAAAGTGAAAGTAATTGAAGGGCCACATGGTGATTGCCCCATCCAGGACACTGGGGTTTGTTACGCAGGCTGGGGAGAGGGGGAGGGGCCCCGATTGGGGTCCAGGAGCCAAGCAGGGCCCCGTCTCACCGCTGCTGGTCTCCTGGGGTGTGGCGTCCACGACCTGCCACCCGTCGAAGCCTGAAGGCAGATCTGGCCTCTTCATCCAACAGTCATTCCACACGTGGAAGTTCCTGGATGGGCATGGACGGAGGGCTCCCTGAGCAGCCCACCCAGGGCCTCCCCAGCCTCCCCCCGGCATCCACGTCTCAGGTCATCGGTCCTCAGCAGGAACGGGCAGCTCAGCCCCAGCCCCAGCCTCACCAAACGGAATCATGGTTCAGGTGCTCGAGTGGCTTCATGTTCTCGTCAAAGTAGATGTCCATGGTGAGGGATGTGTCTGTGTCATGTGCGGAGTTGAAGTTGGTGACAGTGCGGGTGGCCAGGCCCAGGCAGCGTAGCACTGTGGGGGAACCAGGGTTGGGGTTCAGGGCCTGGGACCAGGGCAGGGGTGGGGGGGCAGGTGAGGCATCAGGTCAGGAATAATAGGGAGACAAGGGCAACTGGGGTTGCCAAGCTGGGTCAAGGGTCACAAGGGTCAGGAGGAAGCCAGGGTCACCTGCCTGGCCTTGTCCCTGTCTGTCCCTTCTCCCTCCTCTCCTTTAGGCCTCTCTTGGTCGTTAACACTAATTACTGATAATGAAGGCCTGCCTACCATCCACCCCCGCCTGCCCCTGCACTGTAGCCACCATTAGGCTGGGCTCCTGAAGGTGGAGCCTGCCTTCCCTCCCTCCTTCTCAGAGGGCCCAGGTCATTCCTGTCCCGTCCTCCCACTACCTGTGGTAGTCACACCGGCGAAGACCCAGCACTGGCCATAGGGGACAGAGTAGCCGGTACGTAGGTAGCTGAGTAGGATCTCCACACTGCCCACCCACGCCGATGGATTGGTGCCACGGGAGTAATCGCCAGACCAGTTCCCAATCAGGACCCCATTGTCATCCAAGGAGTTCACCTGCCCAGGACAGGATGGGATGAGGCAGAGTCGGGGGTGAGGCTCAGAACCCCCCATGTGGGTCCCTGGAACCACCCCTCACTCCTAAATACTTCAGGATCCAGTGACAGCCTGAGCCCCGCCCATTCCTCCCAGAGCCTTCTGCCCCCCCACCCTGGTCTGACATCGGAATGTGAATGATGGGTGTGCCAAATTTTGGGTTTGGCCCTACATTCCACAAGAGCTGGGACAGGAGCCAGAAAGGACATGGTGAGGGGCAGGCATGGGAGGGAAGAGGAGTGAGACCCCTTCCCACAATACCCTTGGCAAGGGCCGGGACAGGGCTGGGGTCCTGGAAGAATCAGAAAGGGCAGGGGACAGACACACAATAGGGCTCAGAGATACAAGGGTGCTCACCATGGCAGAGATGACCCGGGAGACACTGACTGGGTCCCCACGGCCTCCATATGGCATGCCCCGTCGGTCCAGGATGTACAGGCAGGCATCCAGCACCCCATGGTCAAACTGGAGGGAGAAAGGGCAGAGGTGACCCCTAGACCAGCACCCACTCCCCAGCCCCACCCCACCTGCCTCTAGTGCCCCTGGGTGCACAAGGCTTGGCCAGCTGTACCTGTCCGTAGTTCCACGTCCGCTCGCCAATCTGTGCTTCGGTCCCATAGTAAATTCTCCCAGACTCATTAAGCACGTACTCCTGCCGCCAGTCCTCATGGTCCACATACACGATGTCCTCTGTGCCCCCAAAACATATATGCCTGGTCTCTCCAGCCCCCTCCCTGGGTCTCACCTGCCCCTGGGTCAATTCTAAAGGACTCATGATCACTTAGGAAGAGCAGGGACGCCTCTGGCCTGACAGCACTGCTCCCAGGAAGGATGCAGCGAGCGTAACAGAGATGTGGGAGGATGGTGGCTATAACCAAGGCTCTTCACCAGGAAAGGTAAGGCTGTGTGACCTTGAGCTGGTCACCTTTCTACATTGGATCTAGGTCCCCTCACCTGGAAAATGGGAGGCTGGCTTCTCCTCAGGCCAAGTACCCAGGCACATAGCTGGATCCAAGGAAAGGAAAACCTGACCTGCCCTCCCCTCCCCTCCTGTCCATGCCCTGCTCCTGACTCCAGTCGGCTCACCTGGGCACCAGGGATTGAAGAGGATGTAGATTTCATTTCGGGGGTCAAAGGGCAACTGGAACTCGCCAGCCTCTGAGTGTGTGCGGACCGTGAATTGAAACTTGCCGATGATGGCGTTGGGGGAGGTGTGGACCCGTAGGTTCAGATTATTCCCACTGGACTTGGTCACCTGGGCCTTCCAACCTCCACTGCCCCCCTTGCCCACTGGGATGATCACATGGGTGCCCTTGCCCACTTCGGGGTTGTTTCCTGGAGTGGGGAAAGCAGTGATTAGCTGGTGAGGCCTCTCCGAGGACAGGGGATGGAGACTTGGACTTCTCCCAGCCCCACCCAGGATGTGTACGAGCCAGTGCGTGTAGTGTCCCTGAGTTGGGCCATCGCCTGGGCAAATCTCTGAGAGCAGCTGTCCCCACCCGATGCTTGCCCACATGTCAGGGCAGAGTTCCAGCCGAACATCCCAAACCTGTTCCCCTGACACTGAACTCAGAGGTGGGTAGAAGAGACCAGGTCACCGTCACCCTCTGCCTGCCTGTCCCAGCACCTGGGCTGGAGGAGCAGAGCCACCCTGGCTCAGTCCAGTTGCCCCTGGAAAGGGCAGTTCACATCCTGAAGGCCCACCCTGCCTGTTCCCTGGGGCAGTAGCTTCTAGAGCCCTGGGCATCCCTGCTGGAGGTGGTGGGGGTACCTGGGAAATTAGAGGCTGGGTGGGCAAGGCTAGGCCCTAATAAAAGGGTAAGAGGAGTCGCCCGCCCCCGGCAGCAGCATAATCACCAGCCTAGGTAGCCAATGGCCACCGAGCAATGCGGTGAGGGAGGCACCTGCCCTGAGCCATGGGGACAGAGAGAGGGAGACAGAGTTGGACAGAGAGTAGAGCCACTCCCTGGGGAAGGAGGGAAGACCCAGAAAGGAGAAAGACACGCAGAGGCAGCAACACCCAAGGAGATGCTGTAGCAAACACCTAAAGAAAAAGTATTTTGAGACAGATGCCCCTGGAGGCTTGAAGAGGGCAAGTTTCGGAAAATGGGGACATCAAGACCCTCCCTGAGGCACCCCTGGGGACACACTTACATGCTCACACCTGCCTTGTCTGGCAGAGCACAGAGTAGGGTAAGGGCGGAGCCTAAAGATGGCCCTTTGACCCTAATACCTGGGCTGGGGGCCTTGTTAGCAGTGCCCCCCACCCCACCCTGCTGAGGGCCTTCACCCCTCCCACTGCAGGTCCCACTGACCGATGAGCAGCTCCAGGGTGACACGATCAGAGGACTCATAGGGTCGAGACAGGAGGAGGACCATGTGGAAAACCTGCCCACGGCGGATAATCAGCTCATCGTACTCGAATTCATCTGTGTGGTGCTCTCGGCGGTTCTGGTCCGAACGTGAACTCAGGAGATCCACACCAGTCACCACCAGCATACCCTCTGCCAGGCCAGAGTTCTAGATCAGTGAAACCTCATGAGGAGTCCAGGCCCCCATCATTAGCCTCCCAGGCCCCAGAGATGCCAGAATGAGTCTCAGGCCCCATTAAGGCCTTCTGGCTCTCAGATCATGTGGACAGGCAGGCCTCACCTCGGATGGTGCCATCTCCAGCTGCATTCACAGCACTGCCCCGGGAGCCAGGCTGGCGGGAGTCTGTGCCCCGGGAGTCAGGTCTTCGGCCCCCAGAGCTGGATCCTCGACCCCTGGAGCCAGACCCACGGTGCTCAGGCCCCCAGTCATCATCTGCTGCATTCCGGCACGAGCAGCAGGCACAGCAGCGAGCCCAGAAGGAACGGCCCCCTCGGCGTGAACGTCTGTCTGGCTCTGGCTCTGGCTCTGGCTCTGGAGAAGGTGTGGTGGGGGGCTGCCAGGGGTTTCCGCCCCAGCGGCCCACATCCGAACGAGGACTGTCCATTGTGCCTGGAAAGCGCAGGGAGGGTCTCATCACCTGTTCAGACCTCCTTTACCTAGGATGCACCAGTCAGCTAACTCAGAAACTCTCCATCCAGAGAGCTGATTCAGTCCCAGCCTGATGACCGCGACGATATGATCTTGACCCTGGGAGTCCCTCAGATCTATCCAGACACCTTTCCCAAAGACTCCTCTCAGACTCACCTGAGAAACTTCCACATTATAGAGAAGAGTCTTCCCCGCTTACCATCACTTCCACCAAACCAGATGCCCAATCAAGAAACCTGTTCAAGGACCCATCCCAGGAAACGAATGGACGCTTGTCACAGCCTCAAGATCTAGTAGCACAGACCATCCCGGGCCTGCTCCCTCCACCTGCTGGCTCCTCCGTCTAGAGGTCCAGAGCCAGCCACATCAAGGACCCATTTCTTAGCAGCGATCTCCCATCCAAGGCTCCTTGCAGAAGACAGGTGAGTAACATTGGTGACTTGGAGTCCTGGCATTCCCCACGTCAGGTCAAAGACCCAAGAGGAGCTGAGAGGAGGGGCGGGGTGCGGAGGTGCCAGGAGCCGGGCTTCAGGCCGTGGAGTCTCAGCGTTGGGGGCAGCCTCTCGGGCTGACAGACTAGAGCTAGCCCACACCCCACCTTGCTGGGGCTGGGCCTCGGCGCGCGAGAGGCCCCCAGACCGCACCGCCCGGGCTCAGCACCTCACCTGATAGAGGTGTTGGCGACGGCATCTCTGAGTCCCGCAGCCGGGGTGGAACAGGTCGGGACTGATAGGAACGGGACAGACGCCGCCGCAAGAATGGAAGGTGTGGGGCGGGCCAGTAACTGGTTTATGAGGGGTAGGGCGGGGCCAAGCTGCTGTTAAGAAGGGGGAAGCGAGGTTGCTCCATCTCCCTCTAAGGGAGGAGGCCTAACCTCTGGGGGCAGTGTCTAGAGGTAGGGGCGGGAAATGAGGTTGGGCTGCACCCCTCTTTCCCCTTTCGAGGAATGAGGAACCGATTGGAGGCGGGGTGGGGCCTGGGCTCCGGAGAGGGCGGGGTCAGGGTCGGGGGTCTGTCACAGCTGAAGCTGGAAGGCCTGAGGAACCCCAAACCATGCTGATCCCTCCCAGACTGGCCTGGGTAGAGAAGTTCCAAGGGCAATGGGGCAGGCTGCCCCATCCGCCCACACCCCTATCCAGCAGACCCTCTGTTCCCAAGTTCAGGCTGCTTGCTTCTGTCTCATTGGCCCCGGTTGCCAGGCTCTGGCGCAGCCCAGGCCAGGTTCAGCCCTATGAAACTGCCCATGGGCCTGGTTCTGGGACTTGTCCTGCCCAGGGAGGTCCTGGGATCCCAAGCTACAGACTGGTGACATCAGCAGCCAGGCCCTCAGACTGGCTCCACCAGCCAGCCCCTGGCCTGCCGGCTCTTCCAGATCCTCCTACCCCACCACCCAGCTGTCCCTCATTCCTCTAGCTACTCCACAGTTCCCTGCATGAGTGAGCTGGCCCCCTGCTTCCTGTATCCCTCCAAGTTTGGGACTGGCCCGGGTGTGTGTGGGCAGGGATCAGAGTAGGAACAATCTCGTTTCCTACCTCCCACCTATGCTCTAATGCTCAGGTGGGAACTAAGACCACCTCCCCAGGCTGTAGAGTACCCGCTTCTCCAAGAGTCAGCTGGACTGCAGAGTTCTCCAACCTGCAATTCTTCCTGGGAATCCTGACCAACTGGCTCAGGGCACCAGCCCCGACTCCACCCTGACACTGGGAGAAACACTGGGGAAGCCATCAAGAGAACCCCAAGGCAGAGGAGGTCAGGCATCTTCAGGAAGGCTGGGACCCTGTTCTTGGTGACTCTTCTCTCCATCCCACTGTTGTCCCAGCTCTGCCCATCAGCCACTGAAGAGAAGACAGTGAAAACAGGGTTGGCAAGAAGACACAAGGAAGCTGACTGGAAGAGAGGCTGAGTTTGGTGATGCATCCGGCAGGAAGGTGCCTTGGGGAGTGGGGACAGAGGCTCCAGGACCTGGTAGGAAGCCCTCCACACCCTTGCTGACCTTTTCCAGTCCAGGTCTAAGCCCCAGACCCTTCCCCTACCTCCAACACACTCAGAGGATGCACTAGCGGAAATCAAAATCCCAGGCAGGTAAGAGACAGGTCAGCCAAAGGGCTTCATCTAGGGACTGTTTGTGTATCACTATGGATACAGGAAGGGGCAGGGCCCTGAGAGTCTGTATGTGTGTGAGCACACGTGGGCCCAGGCAGATTCTCAAGACACCAGGAAAATGCCTTGTCACACTCTCTCCCTCTCGTTTCCATCAGTCTTTCAAATTTACCCCAACCCAGCCAGGTTTGACTCAGTGCTCTCACCCCTGAGCCACTCCCTTTTCCTCCCTCCAGGAGGCTTAAGTGCCTCAGGGCTTTCCAAGAAGGACAAGGGGTGTGTGTGTGTGTGTGTGTGTGTGTGTGTGTGTGTGTTGGAGGGGGCACCATGGGAAAAGACAACGTGTGTGTGTGTATGTGTGTGTGTGTGTGTGTGTGTTGGAGGGGGCACCATGGGAAAAGACAACATTTCAGTCCCACGGAAGCTGAGGCCAGGCTCTGCCCAACCCAGAAGCAAGAACGTGAGTCTGGAATCCCAGACTAAGGTGCAGAGACAGCTTTGGCCCCAGCACTCAGGCCCAGCAACCTTGGGCGCGTCTCCACAGCCGTTTCCTCATCAGTACAATGGGCCTAGTCATCTCAGCCCGGAAAGCTTGTGAGGATCAAGTGGGATTAAGTATTTTCAAGGGCTCTTTGACCAGAGGAGGCGATTCACGGGGGACTAATAGTGTTGTTATAAGAAGGCGGAGTCGGGGCGCCCTGGCCCATTCCTCCTGGGAACAGCCTTCTCAGCTGTGGGGAAGGAGAGCCAGGGCAGAGAGGGCATCTGGAAGGGGTAGGGGTCACGGGAGAGACCTTCATGAGCCCTTCCAGTTGGACATGTTTACAGCTGCTCTGTAGTCCAGCTCCAACCAGAACCTGAACCCAACCTGATCCCAGCCTGAAACCTAGACTCAGCCAGGCCCAAACCGGAAGGTAGTCCCAAATCCAGTCCTTGTCCGGATTCTGCCCCAGACACTGAGGCTTTGGTTCTCCATGATAGGGAATAGCAGGATTAAGCATAAAATAAAAGTAGAGGGGGTCCAACACACCCTAACTCTCTCCCTTTCTTTTCCAGGTGGCAGTAGTAACAGTGGTGGCGGGAGCAGCTTAGCAGCCTTTGGGGGCCACTTCGTTGTTTATTCAGTTCCAATAAGTTAAAGGGCAAGGGTGGGGGCAGGGTGTCTTAGGTGAGGATGCTGCTAACTGAAGGCAGCAGCTCGCCCAGCTGCTCCGAGACGCCCGCTGCTTGGCACAGGGGGTTGCCCTGCAGGTTGAGGAGGACCAGCTTGGGGCAGGAGGCAAGAGGCTGGAGCACGGCAGGCTGCGGGAGGCCTTGGGCAGGAGTCAAGGAAAGCTCAGCGGGATCCCCCAGACCTGTCTGCTCCTGTATAGCCATCACTGTTTTCCCTCAAGAACGGGGACTGGTGCCCGGCAGCCTGGTTGATGGGCACCTTGTCTGCTTCTCCGGAAGGTGTAAGGCTCTAGTCTGCAAACACTTGCCGCGGGGACCCCAGGCAGGAAGCACAGGAGGCCTGCTGGATGCAGTACCAGAAGGAGTAATGGAGACTCTGGTCAAGGGGGAAGCTAGCCCTGGCTGCAGAGGCACCCATGACTCAACGGCCAAGGGTTGCCAAATGGAAATTAGACCAAAGGGTGCTTTAACTTTCAGTTTTTAATAAGAATCAGAATTCTAAATTTTTTTAAAATATGAAACTTCCTGATTTAAAAAAATACGATGTGGTACTCAAGAACATCTGCAGGCTGCCGGTTTGTGAACTCTGGTTGAGGAAGTCATTTACTTCCATCCTGCAAAACTCTCCTAGCCCAAGTCAACGCTAGCCCCATATAGCCCCAGGCTCTCCTCTCTCATCAGTTTAGCCAGCCAGAGCCCCCTCCCCCCGCCAAGGAGCACACCCACCCTGCTGGCTGCCTGTCCCTTCCTGGTGTGGCACCTCGCTCTACCTGCTGTCTGAAAGGCCCCCAAAAGGAAGGATACGGTTATTGCACAAAAAGAGCTCCTGCAGCCGGGGCAGGTTAGTGACACCATCCAGGGACTCGATAGCATTATCATTGGCCTGCAGCACCTGGGGATCAGGAAGGGTAGGGAAGACAGGACAGGGCATGCAGCTGTCAGCCTGGGATTGGTACAAGCAACTGGGGAACCCAGCATGATCAGCTTACAGTGCATGGAAGGGCTCCTGGGGTCAGGTGGGATGACAGAGGACAGGAAGGCAGGGGTCATCTGTTGGGGCTGAAAGGACCCAGACATCTCTTTGTAGGGTGAGTAGACTGCTGAGGTGGAGGAAGGGGAAAGGACCCCCCAGGGCACTGACAGAGAAGTGAGTGCGTTACCTCAAGGCAGCGCAGGGCTGCCAGGGCAGGGGGCAGGGCTCGGAGACGATTGTGCGACAGGTCGAGGTGAGTGACCAAGAGCAGCTGTTCCAGATGGCAGAGCATCGTCAGATCCTGAGGAGGCAGGAGGAGATACCCAGTGAGCCCTGGGAGAAAGTCCTCAGGCACTGCTTATCCGGCACTTGCCCGGCGTGCCCCACACAGGCCCTAGGGGACCCCAGCTGAGGAGAGGACGGAGCAGGTGGGAAGCTTACCTGACAACCCATGGCAGTACATGCTCCGACGGATGTGAGTGCTGGGGCTGGGGTGGGCCGGGGAGTGGAGGGAGTGGGGCAGGTACAGGGGATAAAGGAGGGCGCTGGGATAAACACAGACATGGGCAGGAGTGGGCCTGGTGAATCTGAGGGATCGGTTTGGTAGGAATAAAGGTGGGCAGCAGGGACATGATAAAACTAATGTGTGGGGAAGACTGATTGGGGGAGATTGATTCAAAAATCTCTGGAAAACTATTCAGGCTTTAGATGATGTGGCCAGCTCCAGGGAGAGAAGCAAGGGAAGGAGTGGAGGAAGAAATGTTCAGCGGGGCACCTGAGACTGAAGGCAAAGCTGAGGACATGATGTGACCCTCGGCTGAAGCCCAGGGAGCAGATAGAAAGGCCACCCAGATCAAAAGAAAGAGGGAGGGTAAGCCAGTGGGGTGAGGGAAGGCGCATGCGCAGTCCCTACCTTGTGACCCAGGTGCAGCACGCGCACCTCCGCATACTCCATCTTGAGCACACTGTTCTCCAGCAGGAACTTGCTGCGCAGGTCATCCAAGTACGCTGCCCGCATTGGGTCCACAGCCTGGCAGGGATTGGGCAGACAGGGAATGTGTGTCAGCTGCCCTCCAGGCCTCCCCCTTGCTGGCTCCCCCAGATCCTACTTGCCTTGAGGGTCTGGAAGTACTGCAGTGTCTCCTTCTCATACAGCAGGGGGTCCAGCGCCCGCATCAGCAAGATGATGGTGAGCAGGCACCCTGAGAAGAGAGTGAGAAAAGGATGGACTCTCTTGGATCTTTTTCTGCTCCCATCCTCTGGAGACCCTTTCTGATCTCCCCAAGGGGACCTCCTAGGAAGGGGCCTCCTGAGAAAAGCAGGAGCTAGGGGACGGGCCTCACATTTATTCTCAGGCTCCAGCTCCTGCAGCTCCTTACAGGATTCAAGCTCGGACTGTAGCACTGTGGACTTCTCCACCGACAGTTCACACCTGGGGGGGGGCGGGGGGAGGGGATGATGCCCACAGTCCTAGGGTACTGGTCATCCCCAGTATCCAGTCTGAGACCACCTGCTCAAGCCCCCAGCCTCCCACCCCAGATGCCTGATGCCCAGAGTGCAGAGTCCCTCCCCCTGTCTGTAGGCTTCCATGTCATCGTCACCTGAAGAGCTGTTCATCTGTGGCCGAGTCCCGGCACCAGCATTCTTGGCGGCCTGAGAGAAAGAGTAGATGGTAGGAGGGGACGCCCATGAGAAGAACAGAGGGATGGGGGGCTGCTGCAAGGGGTGGAGGACGCAGGCTGTGTCACCTTTCAAGAGCACACACTCCTTCTGGGCATTGCCTGCTGTCCAAATGACACGAAATGTGTGTTGGGGCAACTGGTCATTGAGGGAGGCAGCGGGCAGGTCACAGAGCTGGAAGCATACGGTCAAGGAAATACCTGGCCTGCACCACTTTTCTGACTCCCCACCTCAGCCCTGCCCCAGCCCCC